TTTCTTTATGCTTCTTCTCCGCTTCCCCTTACTATTATTACATAAAGATTTAACCTCATTTGTGTAGGCATCAATTAGACCAAACCCAGAACAGATTACACTCTTTAATTCAAACCAATCTGAAGCATTACCGTATCCTTCATCTGTGTTCAAATGAGAAAGCTTTTGTTCAGTTCCAAGAGATTGAGCTCCAATCTTGGCATTTAGAACCCTAATTGCTGATCCAACACAAAATGTTATTCCCATTACTTCGAAGTAACTAACTAGCCCTCTGTCAATCCCACATAGTAATTGATATCGTAGATTCGAATACAATCCAGCATTGATCCCAGCACCAATTGCATTGGCACCCATATCACTCATATTTGAAATTATCAATTCTCTGTTCTCCTTATCTTTAGAAGAAGAAATTAGTAATGTTGACAAACCAATTTGAGCTGTTCTTGCAGCAGCACCAAGAGTGAACAAATTAATAGCCTTATAAAAATAAGAAATTGCTCTTCTTTGCGAATTAAACTCCTTAAGCCAATAACTCTTTTCAAAAACATTGTTAGGCAATTTTATGAGATTATGTAGCCGTTGAAATCCAAATCACCTCCCCAACGATAACAGGAGCTAAAGACCAAACGACAAAAAGCATTACATGCAACAATAGTGGCTGCATTTATAATAACCAAATTCCATTCTTTTTCAAATTCTCAATCCCTTTTTGCTTTGTGTCTGACCAAAGAGAAAACCCAAGTGAGTTAAAAGCTTCCAGAAACAGTTTATAAGGCAAAATGGGTCTGCTATCATTTTTCCACTAAGATCCCTAGATAAATCCTCTGGTAAGGTCCTGCATAAAACCCTAGCCATGCTAGGCCTTGCATTGAACCAAAGAAACCTTGTAAATTGAGCGGAACTTGACATTCCCATTGTATAAGCCAGTTTAAGCCCCAAAGGCAAGTCCTTTATTGGTTTCATCCACTCACTAGAACCAGCATCAACACACTCTTTATCGAAAATCTCCGGTGGCAAACCTTTTAAGCTAAAAATCACAAACGGGTCATCATTGCCACCGTGGCCACCATCATCATCTGGGTCAATAATATTCCAATTATACTCATCATCATCATCACTTCCACCGCCACCACGGCCGCCAGTTCCGCTGATTCGTCTCTTACCGCCCCCATCACCACCAGAATGCAGTTAAAGGTTCAAATTTTATTGCATGATCATGTGATAGGTCAAGTGGGGCCTGCTCAAGAGTCAACATCCCGTGTCCAAAAGTACCATGTTTACCTCTCATTGAAGCAGTAATGACGGATGAGAGCGCAAGAGGTATCGTTAATGTTGAAGAACGTCGTTTAAAATACATGACCAGCCATTTATTGGTAGCCTCGTGATAGTCGAACGACGGGTCGCCTTATCAACGAACTAGAATACAATAGGAAGGATTCGCGCAACAGAGAAAAGTGTTCAGGATTCTTAGAAGGCCAATTAAAGAGCGCCACGTCTATCCCTAATAAAATGGACTTAGGCCCATTTGGTTGATGTTAGTTTGGGCTTCAAAGTAAAACCTAAAATAAAGATGTGGTGGTGATATGGACTAAAAGAGATTCCATTAGTTAGCCCAGTTTACTTTTGTTTTTCTTTTTTTAAAACAATTTGCCGTTTATTTGGGGTTTTTTTGACAAATATAATGCTCTTCAAAAAAAATTATTTTTCAATCTACTATCAAACCAAAACTATTTATTGATATAATATTTATCCTGTCATGGAGAGAGGGTATTACACTGAAATCAATAACTCAATTGGTGGTTTCAGGACAATATAAAAAGTAACTCACACTTATAAACAGTTAGCAAAAAGTAATTATATATATATAAAAAAAAATTTTATTCCCTCCGTTCCATTTTATTTACTTGTTATTTCTTTTTTGGATGTTTCAAAATATTTGCAAGGTTTCTAAATTTATATATGTAAATAATTATTTTCTCTATAATAACATTTATGATTGTTCGTTAAATGAAGCACTTTTATTAACATCTTAATGAGTTAAGGGTGAAAAAAAGGCAAAATAACTTTTATTGGCTAAATTTTTAATATGCTTATTTTGTCAAACCATGCAAACAAAATGGGACGGATAGAGTATTTTATATTTAGACCATCAATTCAACCAGTGGTTTCAATAATAAATAAAAATTTCAAATTGTCGCTTGTCAAATTGCCACTAAAACACACAATCCATTCGGTGGTCTTAGTGTAATAATAAGACGTGACCATTAATCAGCAATAAGTACACAGAAAAATAGTATTTTGTTAAGAGTCTACCAGGTTAACTAATAGTTTCAATAAAAAAATATTTATTTACTCAAAATATTTTTTCATCAAAACCCATATTTTTACACAAAAATCTACTTTTTGTTAACTAGTAGTCACATCCCATAGTTACGCTAATCACTTAATGATCGTGTGTTTTAGTGATAATGCAATTTGTCTTAACTTAAAATTTTTAGTGACTATGTTAATTAATAAGATTACTATTTCAATCTTTTTTAATATGTTAGCTAAGAATAGTCTAATTTTAATTATGAAACTATATTAGAGAAATATTAATTATTTATCATATCAACAATTTGAATGAACTAGTCTCCAAAATTAAAATAATATTAATATACTAATTAGAACAAAATTAAAGTACAATAATGAAATAATATAATTAACTAACAAGTGATTAAATTAATATAAATAAACAACATCCTAAGACAAACTTTATTTAAAAAAAAAAAGTCCAATAGTGTAAGAAATTCTAAATTGAAATCTAAAAATTAAGTAATTTATAGAAAATGAAATTAAAATCCTAATTAAGTAATAAGTAAAGGGAAGTGAGCAATTAATATATATAAAAGAATAGAAATATGGGCAAAAAAACATATGCATGTGAGACACGTGCAATCATCTTATAAGAGCACCTATTTTACCCATCTTTGTATGACCATTTTTGCCCTTTGGCATAAAACTTCATGTGGGCCATGTCATTCCCTTTCACTCCCACCATCCCCTAAAAATGGTTTTTAATAAAATAAAGTATTTTATTTATTTTCTCTCTCTAATAATAGTATGAAAAGATGAGGAAGGAGGAGCTAGGATGCACTTTTCCTATGAAGTTGCTCTCTCTCTCTCTCACATGGCCTCCATCATCTCCTGCTTTTTATTAGGCAGAAAAATAAGCACTAATTCTACTATTTTACTTATAAAAAATAATTAGTGATTTCACATGTGTGCATGTGAAATTGGACATCATATTCCTTATCTATGTTATTGTTTTTCCCTTTCTTTAAGAAAACAAAAAAATATATCCCAACTAGGAATTGATTATGTGCATGACTTCCCTTCTATTTCCTTTTCTTTTTTCTTTTTATTTTTTTATTTTTTAGTTTTGAAGAAGGAGATCGGAACATGGATTTATTATCAAGTCGTATATGCACTTGCCATTAGACTATGTATTGTCACTCCCAAATGTCATATTTGCCTACAATATTAATTTGTGCATGTCTTGTTTATCTATTTTTTTGACAAATTTTGTAAATTAAAAAAAGGGGTTTTTGGATTTTGGAAGCATGACTTTTTTTTCACACCAAAGGGTATTTCTTTATGGATTAAACAATGCACATAGAAAATTTTAAGAAAGAGTGTTTATAAAAGAATCAAATTACTTATTTAGGAAAATAAATTATTTTTTACTTCTAATAAGTTTAAGCTTCTAAATTAAGTGATATGTTGAACTCTAATTGGATATATTGATTTCAATGTTAATAAGTTTTTTCCTGAATTCTAAATGGTCAATGCTCTTAAGGAGCGCCCCAAACACAAAAATTGGTGTTGCCCACATCAAATATAGATCAAAAAATTCCAAACAAAAGGATAAGAAATCAAAAGAACATGGTGATTTTGCCTTGTTTGTCTGTTAGGGTTACCATAGAACATGGAAAGATTCCATCTTACTCAATGATCATAACGAAAAATAACTAACCTACTCTCAAAAGTTTTATTTTAATTTAATCCCCACTTAATTAATTAATTAATTAATCAAATATTAATGGTGCTGAACTGTGTTTGTCTTAAAAAAAATATTAATTATGACAGAGTACTTCCTCCATACTTCCTCTACTCTAGTAAATCATATGAGCTTTATTGGAAATCATCACATGCACATCAATACCATGATTTCCAAATTCTTGTCATAACTCATAAACCCACAGAAAAAAAAAAAAAATAATAATTACTATAAAAGAAAAGAAAATTCTTGTCATACTTAGAAGTTACTCTTCAACAATTAATCCCAAAATTAATCATTTTGAGCATAAATGTAACTTAGGGTTCCAGCTCAACTAAAGTATTAGTACTTGAAAAACAGCTTTTTTAACAATAATTTACTAGCAGCTTTTGAAAGGTTGCACAGACCAGTAGATCTTGAAAAATATTAACTTAATTACCAACTATGTATAGAAAGATCTCAAGTATAAATTCAAATACACCAATGTAACTCATTCATGTCAGTAGATAGATCAATCAAGTATCAGTTCACTTCTAGTTCTAAAAGTTTAACTATGAAAATTCACATCCACTATTTTACTTGGTAACTAAAGATAAAAATGGGTAAGAAAGAAGAAAAAGGAATTAGTATCTCTAAGTATATATATATATATATATATATGGGTTTGCACCACGTGTTGTTCCCACCCGCTTACGTAGACGGTACTAATCTACGCTTAGACCGGGGATGACATTCAGGTAAAACCCCCTCGAAGACTCGAAATGATGAGGAGTTTTCTTAAACAAATAGAAATGTGAACATAAGGAACCCTTTATTTAGAAATCAGTAAAATAAGAGCTTACTTCAATAATTCAAGTTGACAATTACTCTAACAGAAGAAGTAGAAGAAATGCGTTAAGTAGTAAGAAACACATTCCCCATCCATGTTTAATGTCGGAGAGACTTCCAATGAGTCCAAAAACTTCCTCTTCATTACTTGTTGATTAATAGCTGTTGCAGAATCCAAGACCTCACGAGCTCTCCAATAATTAAACTAATCACGCATTAAGTTTCTTTATTATTTATATACCTACTCTTACTCATTAACCACTCTTTCTTTCCAATTCTCCCCATATACTTTTGTCACACACCCTTTAGTTTTCTTTCTCTTTCTCTGTCTCTTTACACTAGAAATTGAGTGAAAATGGAAGAGAAGTAAAAAACTTACTCGAATATCGATGAGGAAAGGCAATATGGAGTTGAAAATCTTGATTTTCTTCTTCTGTTGTTGCTGCATTGGCTCTTGTTCACTTCTTTCTGCTGCTGCTTTGAAAGATGAAGTGTCGGTTCTTCTATCGATAAAATCTAGTCTTTTAGATCCTTTAAAGAAGCTTCATGATTGGAAATTGACTAATGGTACTTCTCATTGCAACTGGACTGGAGTTCGGTGCAATTCTCATGGTGTTGTTGAAAGGCTTGATCTATCTAACATGAATCTTAGTGGCAGTATATCAGATTCTATCCAACAACTACAAAGCCTTACTTCTCTCAACTTATGTTGCAATGAGTTCTCTTCATCGCTGACAAAAGCAATCTCTAATCTTACTTCACTAAAAAGCATTGATGTGAGTCAAAATTTTTTTACTGGTAACTTTCCAGTTGGTCTTGGAAGAATTGCAGGTTTGATTTTGCTAAATGGTTCAAGCAACAATTTCTCAGGATTTATTCCTGAGGATATTGGAAATGCGAGTTTACTTGAAATGCTTGATCTTAGAGGAAGTTTCTTTGAGGGTTCTATTCCAAAATCTTTCAAGAATTTGCAAAAGCTGAAGTTTCTTGGCCTTTCTGGAAACAATCTCACCGGCAAAATACCTGCAGAGTTAGGGCAGCTTTCTTCACTAGAAAGGATAATAATTGGGTACAACGAGTTCGAAGGTGGGATTCCAAAAGAGTTTGGAAACCTTACCAATCTGAAGTATCTGGATTTGGCAGTTGGGAATCTTGGTGGTGAGATTCCTGCTGAATTAGGGAGGATTAAGGTACTTGAGACAGTTTTCTTGTATCAGAACAACTTTGAAGGCAAGATTCCTGATTCAATTGGCAATATGACTTCTCTGCAACTGCTAGATCTTTCTGATAACATTTTATCAGGAGAAATTCCAGCTGAGATTTCTGAATTGAAAAATTTGCAGCTCTTGAATCTCATGTGCAACCATTTATCAGGTCTAGTACCAGCTGGACTTGGGGGTTTGACTCAATTACAGATTCTTGAGCTGTGGAACAATTCACTATCAGGTCCATTGCCCAGTGATCTCGGTAAGAATTCTGCATTACAGTGGCTGGATATATCGTCTAATTCATTTTCCGGTGAGATTCCAGCCGGCTTGTGCAATGGTGGCAATCTCACCAAGCTTATTCTGTTCAACAATGCATTCTCAGGTCAAATTCCTTTAACCTTGTCGACTTGTTTTTCCCTTGTTCGTGTTCGTATGCAGAATAATTTTATTTCCGGGACAATTCCAATAGGGCTAGGAAAACTTGCAAAGCTTCAAAGATTAGAGTTGGCAAATAATAGTCTTATTGGTCAAATCCCAAATGATCTTGCTTATTCTTTATCACTTACTTTTATTGATCTCTCTAGAAACCAACTTAAATCTTCTCTTCCTTCCACAATTCTTTCAATTCCAAATCTGCAAACATTTATGGCCTCAAGTAATAACTTAGAAGGTGGAATACCAGACCAGTTTCAGGATTGTCCTTCACTTTCTGTTCTTGATCTCTTCTCAAACCATTTCTCTGGAACTATTCCAGCTAGCATTGCTTCCTGTCAGAAATTAGTAAAACTGGATCTAAAGAACAATAATTTGAGTGGGGAAATCCCAAAAGCAATTGCAATGATGTCTGCATTGGCAATTCTTGATCTGTCAAACAATTCCTTAACTGGAGGAATACCAGAAAATTTTGGTACCTCACCTGCATTAGAAGTGCTAAATGTTTCATATAACAGACTAGAAGGTCCTCTACCTGCAAATGGTGTTCTAAGAACAATCAATACAGATGATCTTATAGGCAATGCAGGTCTCTGTGGCGGTGTCCTGCCTCCCTGCAACCAGAATTCAATAATTGAATCACAGCAGAAAGGGGTGCGCATAAAGCACATTATTGCAGCGTGGTTAATAGGAATTTTATCACTTTTAGCAGTTGTAATCGGGTTAATTAGCGCTCGATCTCTCTATAAAAGATGGTATTTGAACGGAAGTTGCTTTAAAGAAAGTTTTGAAGGGGGTAAAGGAGATTGGCCTTGGAGATTGATGCAATTCCAGAGGCTTGGTTTCACTAGTTCAGACATTCTAGCTTGTGTGAAGGAATCAAATGTGATTGGCATGGGAGCAACTGGGACAGTTTACAAGGCTGAAATGACACGGTTAAACACAGTTGTAGCAGTAAAAAAGATATGGAGATCAGGAACAGACATTGAAACGGGAAGCAGCAATGACTTTGTTGGAGAAGTCAATCTCCTAGGGAAGCTAAGGCATCGAAACATTGTTCGGTTGTTAGGCTTTCTGCATAATAATATTGACATGATGATAATATATGAGTATATGCACAATGGCAGCCTTGGAGAAGCATTACATGGTAAACAAGCAGGGAGATTGCTGGTAGACTGGGTTTCGCGATATAATATAGCAGTTGGAGTGGCACAAGGACTTGCTTATCTGCATCATGATTGTCACCCTTCGGTTATTCACCGTGACATCAAGCCGAATAACATACTGCTTGATGCAAATCTTGAGGCAAGAATTGCTGATTTTGGATTGGCAAGGATGATGATCAGAAAGAATGAGACAGTTTCAATGGTAGCTGGATCATATGGATATATTGCCCCAGGTAAAGTTTCAAACCATTCTCATAAAGTATGATTTCTCTTTTAGTTGCAGAAACTATATTGAAACTGCTCTTTCTAAATAGTATCATTTGGAGTTGAAAAAAGAAGTTTTCGGGTGTTTAGATATTTGAAAACTTTTAGAATTAGATATGAGAAATTCACTTCAAATACAAACTTCAATAACCTCTGATAAACATTTTATAATATAATGCTTTGTCATTTGGCAGAATATGGATACACCTTGAAGGTGGATGAGAAGATTGACATTTATAGCTATGGAGTAGTTCTACTAGAACTCCTAACCGGAAAGCGACCACTAGATCCAGAGTTTGGAGAATCCATCGACATTGTTGAATGGATTCGAAGAATGATTAGGGATAACAAACCTTTAGAAGAATCACTAGACGACAGTGTAGGTAATTGCAAGCATGTGCAAGAAGAGATGCTACTAGTCCTTAGAATAGCACTTCTTTGCACAGCTAAGCTCCCCAAGGACAGACCATCCATGAGGGATGTGATAACAATGCTATGCGAGGCAAAGCCACGCAGAAAATGCGGCAGCAATAGCAGTGGATATGACAGTAACATAGAGAAGCCAGTCTTTAGCACTTCACCTGTAAATGGCCTTATATAGGGACAAAAAATAAAGTTCCCTCCGGCATTAATTTGTTTAATTCTTGTTTTGTATGTAGTCTTTTGTTAATAAGTATAACCATTCACTGCCATCCCAGTATATGATATTTCATTCTCCAAGCAAATAAAATACTCATTTTTGAATTGCAAGTAAACATACAGCAACCACAAGCAGCAGCAATTCAGATAAACAGTAACAAATATGAGAGGATGTGCCACATTTGAAATACTAGGAATTTGCCCATAAATTCCATATATTTAAGAATACTTCAGCATAAGCAAAGAAAATATTTTGTAAGACCTCGCAAATATAAACTAAGATTCTCAAGGAGAAACTTTCTTAGCATTCATATGCATGAGAAAGCAATTAAGCACTCTGGGATTTACAAGATCGGTAACAGCATTTGCCGATTATGCAAGTATGCATGTGTATATTACACCAAAAAGTAAAGTGGTAGTATCTTTCAAAAAGTGTGGTGAGCATTTTCAAAAGTAAAACAAGAATGAACAAATTGCATGATATGATAATACAGCAACCAAAAAACCAACATGAAGCCTTAGAAAAAAACCATTCATTACTTTTCAAAATGCTTTCATTATTATCTATTTTCTTCTTTGTATATCACTCTTCAAGCCATAACTGTCTTCATCTTACTCAAATTTAATGGGGAAAGTTAGATAGGCCTGCTTCTCTGTCTCCCATTCCTTTGTTGCAACCTTGGAGCTACAGAGTAAGAATTTAGCTTCACATAATTAGTACATGAAATGTGGGTTCAAATGTGAATCAGAATGTTGATTTCATGTTTGTTTACCAAGTCCAGTTGCCTCAGATGTCCTCATGATTCTGAGCCTCTTGACAGAGCCAAGGAACATCCTGAATGCAAAAATCCAAATTGAAAAGGAATAAGAAAATTAATTTGACTATCAATATCAAATCAAACAAATTCACTCAAAAGAAGACAGAAAATGCTGAAGAATTAGTTTATCAAGAAAGTATAAAAGAAAACCTACATGCCTTCTTCCCCTTTTTTATATTTATATTTTGTTGTGTCACAATTCCTTATTCCTCATGTGTGGGTGTGATAATATCTTTATTTTTCATGGGCCCTAGGCCTAAGGATAAAAAACATTTGCTCTACAAGCTAGAATCTATTGACTTGCATAGTGAAGTTTTTTTGGAATCAGATCAAATTATCTAATTGCTATAATTTTTTGCTGGCTGATAAGGCGTTGGCTTTTAGGCTCTGAAATATTTTCAGAATTTTATTATGTACAATGCATTAACATAAATCCATGGATGTATGTGTTGCATGGTTGATACATACCCCCAAGGAACATCACCAACAAGCATCCAATCCCCTTCCTTATCCTCATAAGTGAGCATAAACTCAGATGAACCATCCAGCAATTTTGGGCGTCTTGCAGGATCTGCCATTATATTATGCTCTGTTGCACTTGACCCTAATTACATATAGAATGCCGCCGTTAATATTTACCAATCTACAGTGGTTAGATGTAATAGAAATACATTGAACAGCCTTAGCCACCATTACTGATACAAGCACAGCTAAGCCATTTTAGAATTTTTATCTGGGTAATATTTGTCAACTCTTTAAGGTCCCCTATCCAGACTTATAATATATAGCTGCAATTTCTCAAGAAACTTAAATTTTAGGAATCAGAATATGCAGAAGCTTGTAATGAAAGATTAAACATTTTTCTCACATGCAAAAAGCAATCAGATGGATGGTTCCATTTCCCATCAATATCTATATCAAGAACTATAAAATAAAACATCCAAATTATTACTTGTTAGTCTAACAAGTATTGTTGTTCCAGGTTAATTATCAACAGAAGCATACAAATTCTAGACCGAGGGAGTACAATAACATGAAACTCTTGGAAGAACAAAAACACCAGTAAGTTCCAGCTCACAATACTTTTTAACTCTTAATTCAGTCCTTAAGCGAGTTGTTAACCTGTCATTTGGACAATTGACAAGAAAAGGATAGGAAACACTTACTAATTGCATTGATGGTTGGACTGGGTCGGAGGAACATATCTTCCAAACTTTGGGCTAAGGCCTCATAGCAGCCATGAGAATTCAGATCAACCTTTCTTCCTATAGGTATTCCATCCATATTCACCTTGACAAAGAGTGAAGTCCTAACCTTGGAAGTATTGTTGTTCATATTGCTTCCATTATTAGCCTTCTCCACCACAGTATTCTTGCATTTAGTTTTCCCTATCATTGAGTTAAATTCTTCAGTGGCCAATGACTTTGGCTGGTTAACCATGGTGTTCATTCTATATGCTCTTATTGGAGGCCATCCAACTACTTGACTGCTTCAATATTGAAAAAAATAAAAAAATTAAAAAAATTAAAAAAAAATTTAACATCAGAGATAAGTTAATGAATGCATCTATCAAAAAGAAAAACCTATGTGGGAAAGTCACCAAGAACAAGGATGAGAACAAAATCTTTTCATAAGACATTTATATAAGTGTTAGCTCAACTTTTTAAAAGTTAGTTTAGCTGACAGGGGCTGAAGCAGATAGGTTTATATATAAATATTACTCATAAATCATATTAAGAGGAAAAGACGTAGAGGCTTAATCACACAGCTCCCAACTTTGAAAGTTTCCTCAACTGCTTTGCATTATTTAATCTAGGGGGAACATGAGGTATTTTGGATGATTAAATAGAACACAAGTTACAACATTGCTCAGAGAAGAAAAGTGTTCTGACAGTGAAATCCAAAAGAAGCGTTACCACCTAATACAAAAAAGGTCCAACAAACAATTGTACATCATGACTATAGTCATTAGGATTACCAGCATAAGTGATTGGCTCAAATAAGAGTGTAGCTTGTCCCATGGAAGGGTGGGTATGACCTATGGGTAAGAAACAAGTTCCTTTTTCCTTTTCTTTTTCTTTTTTGGGCAAAAGAACAATAAAGCTAAGCGATCCCGGTTATGAGATAGAACAAGATGTCACATGAACCACGAGTTCAGAAGAAATGCAAAAGAAGCATGAAAATCTTTCATATACACGAGCATGTTTTTGCACTTGTTTATTATACCGACATCAATTACTATCAACATAAAGTGGAACCTTTCTAACTTAATAATTCTCATCACATGGTCTGAGTAACACCCTTTCTCTAAGCTGGTAAATACAATACCTTTCCAAAACCTCAATAATCTTATGCAGAACGAAGAAGCAAACATCGCACTGGAGTTTCTAACAGCTCCACCTCCATCCCTCTCTTTTTCATCGCTTGCAATTATACAATTTCTTAAACTTTCCTTCCTACATGACGAACCTATTAACTCTTGATACAGCAATCCTAACTAGAATTCAAATTTCTGAAGAATTTATTCCTTAATACATATTAATAAATAATATATTATTTTCTCAAATTGGAAAAAAATAAATTAAGAAAAAATACTAAAAGGCAAACATGCAATTTGAATTTCAAAGATGATATTCAAGTTATATAAAGACATTCCTCAAAACCTTGTTTGCAGGTTGGTTTAGTTCAGTTTGGTTTATCCATCTTTTTAGATCTACCTTTGATTTGCAATTTTTGGAAACAGGTTCACTTCTATGCATTTGAGAAGGCTGGATACAATGGGAATGAGTGTGAGGCACTAAAGACTGCTTTAAATTTATAGATCTCTTTTAATGTTGTATTTATATGTATTACACATGATCTAACAGTCTTCATCATGTAAATTGATAATGTTATAGATTTTAAATTGCTTTTTGCTATAAACAATATATATTTTTGCTTATAAACAATACATATAAAATATAATAATATAATATATATATAACTAGTATTATATAATACAATGTATATAATAACATTCCTAATACACACAATGCATATTATAATCCATAAAGCGTTTCAAACTTAATTCTTTCCAAAATGCCTCTTTTCAAGGTTTGGCATCAATTAGTTTGCGAGTCTTCAAAAATGAATTTGAATAAGCAGAACATTGTTGAAAATCGAACAAAAAAAAAAAAAAAAAAAAAAAAAAAAAAAAAAGAAACATATCTAAAGCACAAACTATAAAAAAAAAAAAAAAAAAAAAAAAAAAGAAAGCATATCTAAAGCACAACTATTTACTGGTAACACCATAATCATATAGATTTTATTGGCCTAGCTGCCTGGGGGGTGGTTAAGGTTTGGCTGAAGATCCTAGATTTGAACTTGTTGGTTTCGTCGTATACAAAAAGCTGAAAAAAATATTCATCAAGACATGGCTACAAAGTTTATTAAGGTGATCTCTGGTGGGTAAACAAATAGCTTCTGGGAACCTTTAGCCTTTGCTGACCATTTGTTCAAGAACCTCATTAATATCGAAGCTCACAAGTTATTCTCTGTCCTCATTCATTTTAAAATAAAGACTACTTTTTTTAGGAGAAAATATTTCAATTAGGTGCATTTATTAGATCCATTAAATTCAAAATTAGATAATCAACAAAATAACCTAATGTAAGAAACAAACAACCTAATCTTCTAATATAATAAAATTGAAAAGAGGAAACTTGTGAGACAGTATAGTAATGATCTTATTTGTTTTACAACAATTATCTTCAAGTTAAAACACTTGGATCATTATAAGCCTACATGAAGAATATAAAATCATCCTCCAATAAAACAAGACACAAATATTTGAAAACAACCAATCAATTATATATATAATAATATAAATAATATATCCAGATATAATTGAGGCTGAAATGATGATACCTAGAAGCAGCACCATTAGGGGCAGAAACAGAATCAGCACTCCTCTTGGTCCCAGCCGTAGCATTAACTCTACTCAAAGTAGAAGAAGAAGAAGACGTTGAAGAAGAAGAAGACGCAGAAACAACAGAAGGCAAATCCTTAGCCGTTAAAATCCTCGCATACTGATTACCCTTAACTGTATGTTGAGCTTTAAAACCACCAATACACAATCCAAGACCCAGCTCGAGCTCAGACTCATCTGGGCTAGAAGAATCCTCCGATGACATAGCGGTGGCGTTATCCTCCCTGGACACCGTCGACATAGAGCCACTTACACCGCTGCCGCCACCAAAAACACCTTGCATTCAAAAGAATTGAAATTGAAAGAGAGAAAGAAGATAGTTTTGATAGTATTTGAGAAGGAATGGAAATTGGATTAATTGAGTTTGGAGCAGAAGGGGAAGACAAAGTAGTAAATGGGAAAGGTGAGGTTTGGTGCGGTGGACGAAGAGAGAGATTGTGGGTCCTACCTGTCTGGTTTTATGCGTCCTCTTTTCATCAATATTTTCTCCAACTTCTTTCTTTTTGCCTCCTCCTCCTATTTCTCGTCCTGATATTTTCAATTTATCGCCTTACGTTTTAATCATAAAATGATAGTATAAAAAAATTATAATAAACTAATCTTTTCTTAGATATATTTTCACATATTAACACATATTAAATTTATTTAAATATTAAATATAGATTAAAAATATTTTCATTTTTTAATAAAATGAGAATATAATTTTTATGCAAAATACCTCAAAATTAAAGAAGTTTTGATAGCATAATTATATAAAATTATAAAAGAATTATGAAATTAATTAACACTAGTAAACATAACTTAATTATTTTATCATGTTCTATGTTTATTTTTTTCTTTTAGCTTTACTCTCTTTATTGCATAAAAAATAATTAAGAATAACCTTTTCAAATTTTTTGATTTGCTCAAAATAATAAAAGGGCAACTGAAAATTGAATGCAAAACATTATAATTTCTATTAAGATTTGCAAAAGAACAAATATTCAAATTATTATATAATTTCAACATTTAAATTTTGATTAATAAACTTAATAGGTTGTAACCACATGTTGGAGAGAGTAGAGGGCATACCTTTTCCAAAATAAAGCAAACAAACCCTCTTGTTCCTCTTAAATCAACATGTTAAGAAAGAGAAAAAGAGCTTCAACTTGCAAAGATAATCTTTTTATTATGTCTGTCTATTTGTTCATGCTCTTTTTTTTAGCTTTTGTTGATTGGGACAGTTGGATTTTTACTTATTTATTAGTAAGTTAATAATCTTTCTTTGCTTAATTTTCATCATTTTAAATAAAAAATGAAAAAGCACTGCTTTCTTTATTTTTTCTAATTTTTTTTCAATTTACTCTTACTAATTCTTTATAAATATTCATTTTGTTTGCTTGATTTAACAAAACACGTATATTAAAAATTTATCGAACAAAAATTATTTTGCCATTTTTTATCTTTAACTAATTAAGATATTAATAAAACTTATTCATTCAATGAAGGATCATGGAAGGTTATTATTGGAAAATAATTATTTATATGTATAAATTTAGATACTTTGTAAATATTTTGGAGCATACAAAAAATGAATAACAAGCAAATAAAATAGGAGGAAGGGAGTATTATTTTCCTAAAATTTAAATTTTTTATTTATTTTTGTGCAATTTCAAAGTGAAAGGAGCAAGTGTTTGTATTTTCAATACAACATTAATTTTTCTCTAAGAGGTGAGATGAATACTAAAAACCATTTTCTTTTAATCAGAAGTTTGAAATTTGAGATTCAAGTATAAAATTCTTTTAAACATTCTAGAAAAATTTTTTTACTACCTCTGTTTCATAATATTTGTTACATTTAAAATTTCACATCCCTTTAAGAAAATCATTAAATTTTTCTCATCCCTTTAAGAAAATCATTAAATTTTTCTAAATTACAATAAATTATTGAGTAAATTGACTATATTACATTTAATTTAATAGTAAGTCTCTAAAAAACTAAAAATTAAAGTAATAATTATTGATAATATACAAAAAATGAATACGGTAAAAATTATTTATTACTTTTTAAAATTATAAATGTAAAAAATATTTTAAAATAAATTATCCCTTTAAGAAGATTCATTAAAATTGTTCTAAATTAACAATAAATTATTGAGCTAAATTGAACGATATTACAATTTAATTTAATTTAGATTAAGCTCTAAAAAACTAAAAATTAAAGTAATATAATTATTATAATTATACCAAAAATGAATACGCCCTGTAAAAATAATTTATTACTGTTTTAAAACATTATAAATGCCCTAAAAAATATTTTAAAATAAATTAATTATTAAATATAATAAATATTTATAAAAGGAGGATAAATTATTATTTATTTATAGGATTTGCAAAGGTCGAAAAATGTAAAAAATATTTTAAAATAAATTAATTTATTAAATATAATAAATATTATAAAAGGGAGGTAAATTATTATTTTATTTATGGATTTGCAAAGTCGAATTCTAATAGATCGAGTCAGTTCATTGAGCCCAAAATATCATATTTCGACCAATTTATCGCGATAAATACATGTCTGCAAGAGTTATTAACCAGAATGAATAAAAAAACATATAGAAACTTCCGCGTACAGAAGCGGGTCCCAGTTCTTTTCCGTGGATATAGAAAAGTGGGACCCATTACTACAAGCTCCAAACGACAAGCCGACAAGGTGGGACCGACCATGATGGGGCTCGACACGTAGGAGTTAGGACCGCAAAGGGACCCGCACAGGTAATCAAGTAACACTTCCGGCCACCGATATACTCGATTTTAATGGCGACAGCTCACCCGATGAAAACTTTCACCAACGGAATATCCAAGCAAGAATTATTATTGATTATATACTATCCTAACGCTTTCAGGTCCGTGATTAATACAACGCTTTCGAGTCCGCAACCCTAATAAGGAAAAAGGGGGACAATTGGAAATTTTGGTCTTGGTCTTTTGTGGTAGTATAATTTTTGGGAAAGCTAACTAACCTCTTTAAGACAATATTTCATATTCTCTGTATTAATTTTTTTTTTTTACTTTATTTATCCATTTAATCACAGTAAAACATTATAACAATATTACGTGAAGATAATATATAAGGTCAAATTTTATTCCAATCAAGTCAAATCATTAATTTTTAAAATTATAAATTTCTATTTAAGGAAGGGGGTCATGAGAACGACGGCGTAGGGAGGATTGTCGAGCGAAGGGGGAACACAGTCCACGGTTTGACGGCTTTTTCGTAATTACAGAAAAAATTTGGGGGTAAGAACGAGAGAAAGTTGTCTATTTAATGTAGGTGGTATTATTAGATACGAGCAAATCATTTTATGCTGCCACGCCTCTTCTGCTCCTTCGCTGACACGTAACAGTTAATTGTTTCAAGTTTCAACGCTGCAGGATTTTGTGTTTGTGATCCTCTGCCTTGTGGTTGTTCCACGATGTGTTGTCTCCATATAAAAAATCTTGGTGTGACCAAAATTAATTAAATTTAAAATAAAATAATTTCTTTTTACTTATGTAATTAGAAAAAAATCCGATAATTAACAAAAAGAAAATTCATAATTTCTTTTGGTACTTTGAATTTATTTTCAAGGAAAGAAGACTACTTTAAAATAATTTATTTATTTTAAAATAATGGTAAAAAAAAAAAGTAGAGAGAGAGAGAGTCACGTAATGAAAAATCAAATGCTTGTTCTTTTCAGAATCAAATGGAAAAAATGAGTATGTACCTAAAATGGCATACAAATCATAAATGCTATTTATTTCATTACAACTGTTCTTTCTTTCCTTTTAGTGCTGCAAATCAAGGCTTACCATTACCAAGCACTTACTGCCTGTATACCTGCTTTTCTTCCATAAGAGCTAACAAGGTAAAGGGGACCCTGCTCTGCTCTGCTCCCTCCAATCCCAATAAAATAAAAATTCATATTTAACCTTTTTAATCAATTTAACCTCCCGAACTTATTTTGATATTTATAAATTAATGAATTGATTCAATTTAAGTGGAATACTTAGATTAAACTTTTTAAAATATGTGTTTCATTTCTTGTTTATTCATAAGAGATGCCAAATGCTCTTTTACTGTTTACAATCCATCTTCATCCCTAAACTATTATTTGCTCTTCAATCTCTGTAATCCCTTGCAATTAAATCCTATCTGAAACAAGGGGAGCAAAATGAATAACAAATACCGTCTGTCGTAAAAGTTTTGGACCAGGTTTAACATTATTAATGAGCACATAACATCAAACTTGAGTTGTATCCTAGCGAAGGAAGGAACGATACTTGTGTGGGGAAAAAAATATTTGAAAACTGATACTTGTTCATTTGCTTGCCAGCTTTTGAGGTTCACGCGGGCAAGCCGTGCATGCCTTGCAATCTTCAGGAGGATAGTTTTCGGAAAGATTAATCCGCTGCGTTTGCTGCTTCTCTTCATTACCAGGAACATGAAGGAGAGCTTCCATTACTAGGATTTCCCAGTCCCGAGGAAGGAAGAACGAAAACCAATTGTCATCTGTTCGAAAAATGTCATTTACTTGTTAGTTTAAGAGAGCGAATTTTTCTTTGACTAGATATGTTCTATAAAAGCTCTAGAAAAGCAAATGAAATCACTGGAAGATGTTATTTTTTAACTCGAAGCAAAAGGATGGTAATATCCATGGGGAGGGAGGAAGAAAAAGAAAAGCTGCTCAACACATGGCAAAAGTAATCATGAGGAGAAGACCAATTCACGAAATTTTCCAGGATTAGACAATTTGCTTAAAAGCACAAGGGTAGCTCATCTAATAGATACAGCAAATTATTATCAAGAGTTGTAAAGGAAGAAATCAAACATAAAGCAAACGAAAGGGAAGATACATAAATAAAGCACAAACCTCCATTTCGAACTGCCTTCAATTGGAGGACACCATTGCCACGTGGTCCAGACACAGGAAATGTGCAAGACACAGAATGCCTTTTATGCGCTACTGCAAGAGATGCATTGTACCATGGACCTTTAACAATTGGTTCCCCAATAACATCTTTGATTGCCTGATTCATACTGGCTTTCTCCATGGCCTTGCTGAAAATTTTAGAATGAATGATGAATATGCTAATCATGAAAGAAATGTGATACAAGGTATCACTTAACCACCCAGACTTCAAATATTAAAAGTAATTTTATTAAATTATTGAATTGCTCAACTTGTCAATATCCAAGAAGGTCATGATTCAACAATCCTTTCTCTAGAAAAGATCACTTACAGTATTTAACATCATATAATGGCTTCAATCAACAAGTTTCATATAAGAAAAAGAGACGTAAAGCAAAATGGGCAACTATTGATGGATGTAATGTTGATGGTGCCTATTAATTGATATCTAGCTTAGGGGACGGAAAAAAGGAAGCCTTCTGTTTGTTGCAGCAGACATCGAGAGGCCATGCTAAAGTGAAATTTAGCTTTCAACGATTAAATATTTAGGTTTTCTATAACAAGAAGCTTTCCTCTGAGAATGTGAAATAAAGTATAAAACATATGATGTCCGAATGCCCAAAATTTCAAATTTTCTAATAAATATGTCACAATTGATCCCAAGAAAAATCAAATGAGAAACAAATTGAATTTCCCACATCCAGGGGAAATCCCTTGCTGCATCACATGCTTAATAAACACATTAAACTTTCTTACTGTCATCAGGATCAGAAAAGCAAATATTAAACCAACCAAACTGAAAAAAGGAGCCACTATGGCACTATCTAATTACTGTTCCAGCCTTCTTCTAGGTCCTAAGAAGGGAAGGGAACTCTTTTTTGAGCAACTTTGCATAAGCAATTCTATGCAGAATTGCTATGCGACCTAGAACCCACAACCCCTTAGTCGCAGATTCAAAACTCTTCACGGCACCATATAATGACCTTTACCGTCCATCAGAGTTAATAATTACCGTCACATGTGCATTAAATCATATAAATGCTATACCATTTTGGACATAAGAATATATCTTGAGCATCCCAGTTAAATTATAAGTTTTGAAGTTTGTCTTCTTTAATTTAAGATTCTTATATTTTATATTAATTATTTAGGAAGTATTCAGTTTCTTCTTTATTAAGAATTCTTACTTAATAGAATATTGGCTAATTAGAAATACTTTTCAGTGCAGAATTATGATTTATCCTAAGTAGTATAAATAGGACAACAATAGTCAGTTTGTGTATTCTATTCTTTTCTTCAATTCAGAATTTTAATAATAAATGTTTTCTTTAAAACCATTTATCTTATTTTGTTCCAACAATCATCCTATTCTAGCCCTAATTGCTGAAAATTAATTCCCCTAAATTCTTCCCCTACGTGTAGAATTTTTTTCCCTAGCATCAATTACACTGCATCTGATTGTTAGTTTAACTGAGTTCTTATATCAAAATGCAGAAGTAGAGAGAATATTCGTAGGTCGAGGATAACATATATTATAATCAGTGGGTATATGATGCTTAGTTATAACCACAAAAAATTACTTGTCTTGGTGACAGCATAAATACAGATTGGATGGAGTCAAGAATAGACTAATTGCTCTTCATTTTGCAACTAACTAGGAAAAAAATAAATTGCTTAAGCTACAGTTGACTTTATATTTTGATACTGAGCTGAAGTAGGAGAGAAAGACAGGTTGCAGCCAAGCGGGATAAATTTCATATTCAGCCTGTTATCGAATCCTTGGGATACTATCAAGCATATACAAGATCACAAATAACGAGCATTTCTAGTGCCAATCATCTAATCCAGTCCTCATTTTTGTTAAAAAAGAAACAGTATGAATTACAAAAACAAACAATTCAAACCTATATAATCAAATTCAAAGCACAAGATGATCCATTCATTATATAAACATATGCATACACTGACTTGCCAAGGCTCGTCCATAATTTAATTTCGAAATCTAATATCCCGATAAAGGGTCAGTCTCAAAAATAACAAGTCACATTTCATGATCTTATTCAAGCAAGAAACCAAAATTATCAAAAATTGAAGTGTACATAATAAAAGCACCCAAAATACAAAATGAACAGACCTGCTGCAACCTTGGTATATGGCAAGATCATCAAGAGCACTCAAAGCAACACCACCGGTGGTAGTAATTAACAGAAAAGATATAGCCTTTCGACCAAATGATCTACCCTTTTCTTCATCCACGGGTTTAGCGGTACTGAGCAGCAAAAATAAATTATATTCAGTATCTTCTTACGAAAAATAATGGGTGCGAGGATTCAAGATGACTCGAATCTATAATTTGCTTAATAATAGAAAATTCAAAAAGAAATTACTCTCTGGTTAAGAGATTACCTGGAAAGCTGTGAAGATGGAGGGCTCCTGAAGAAGGAGACCAGCCTTCTTCCTAACATCTCTCTTTGTTTAATTGAACTTTTTCGTTACCGCCGCTTCCCAGCTCGATGGCTGAGTTGATATCCAAGGAAAGGATGGAATAAATCACGAGTCGACCCGCTCCGACTCCAACCATTTTTACTTCTATTTGGGTCGGGTCTGATTTGCCGCCAGAATCCTAAAATAACTTTGACTTGTGAAGTAAATATTAATTAGAGATGATCTTTGTAAAATTTAATTTCATATAATTCTACAATATTTAATAAAATCTTATTAAGTTTGATAAAATTTGTTAATAATTTTAAAATAATAACATTATAAATTTAACTGGTCTCTTAATCCAGTGATAAAGTGAATGTTAAAATTTGAATTTAAATTATTACTCAAATTCTTCTCTCTAGTGCAAAAAAAAAAAAAAAAAAACAGTGATAAAGGAATTTAAAATTTGAATTAAATTATTATCAAAATTCTTCTCTTAGTGCCAGAAAAAAAAAAAAAAAAAATAATAATAAATTGAAATTAATTCTGTAATTAATATGGATTATAAGAGCCCATTATTTTTTCTTTGGGCCAAAAATAATTCAATATTTCAGCTGAATTAATGAGCTTAGACATGCATAATTAATGCAAAAAAGTCTTTTTTTTTTTTTTTTTTGAGCCAACTATTTTTATTTTTGTTTAATAGCAAATAGGGAATGAATTTTCAATTTATTGAAATTTTTATTTGAGTATAAATAAATTTTCTATTGCCTTCCGAACTAGTATTTTACAATATTTTACTCCAAAGCCACTATAGAACTGAACAATCAAGTCCACACCACACTGAATTAGGAGACTCCTAAGTCCTAATAGTTCTATATGCACAAAAACTTACAGCATACAAATACAAATACTTCCTTCTTTTTCTCTCTACAAGAAAAAAAAAAGTTCAACTTGAGAGGAAACCAATGCTTGTCTTCTTCCTCGTCTCATCCATCCTTCAGGATGAAAATTCCACTGTACCATACAACCCAGAAGACTATTGTCTCAGACGCCATGCCCGATTCGATCACACCAATAACTCTGGTTTATATATGCATTTCCAAACCATGTCCTACTGAACCAACTCAAAGAATTGATGAACTTAGACTAATAACTCTGGTTTATAATCCATTGAATTGCTATACAACAATAAGACATGCATATATAAACATGTATAGGCCGTGGGTTTGATGATTCTCTAGCCGTGTAATTCAAACATGTAAGGAACAAAAACCTAACCTCTTTCATCTCCCAGCCAATTATTCTTTTCCTTTGGTCCGGTAGGACCTTCTTCCCCATAAAGCTCTACTGGAAGCTTGTAAAATACATTTTCTGCAGAATATCTAAGCATAACAGGTAAAAGGTTAATTACCCTATCCAACTCATTCCTTGAGTTGTACACAATTTTTGGACCCCATTCTCTCATAAACTGCAGCCAACCAGGCTCAACTAAATCCCCTCCTGTTATATATTCAGCTGCCACAATTTCGTAATGGGTGCTTGAATCCACATATAAATTACTACGAGCTGCATCATTCCTTATTCCAATCCCAAGTTTTGCAGATCCCTGGATGTAGGTCCCGGGATGAGGATAGCTTGCATGTCCACTTTTGGATGAATAAACAATAGGTTTATTGTCCTCTATGTACTCTAAATCAAAAGCCTCAACCCATTCACCACCACTATGCTGAGAGAAATACATACTCCATAGCTCCCCACTAAAGTTGCATATGCGGAGAGTGAAATGCTCCCAGTCACCTACATGCTGCCCAATCTTGCTAAGGCCAACACTTAGAGGTCCAACTTTAAGAGTAGCTGGACCATTAAAAGGACAAAATACCCACATCGCAATATCAGTGAAAGTTCCACCATTTGCAGGCTTCACATGAACGTAAAGTTTTGCACTTTCCAAGTTTCCATATTTCACAGTCTCCCTGCGATCATCATTAGGCAAGTCTATCCAAAATGCTCTATCATTTGTCCCACCTGCTGGCAAATTAGAGCCGCTAACATCAATGGGTTCACCTTTCAAGTCACCAGCTTTATATAACAGCGCTCCACTTTTGAAAAACCATAAGACAGAAGATGGCAAGTAGACCTCATCAGGATGAAAGAAAACTCTGGGCCCATAGCGGTTGATGAGTGCATGAATCTGTTCAAGATTTGGCATGCCATGTAATTCAGGATTTGAATTCCTTAAGCACACTATACTCAGTTCCTCTCCAGATGTCCAGTTGCTACTGCAGAAAAATGTGCCAACTGAAACACCCTTCCCCATTATTCCTCGATGGCTGGGTCTTGTGCTCCAAACTTGAAAAGGAAATGTTGAAAATTTAGAATATAGATTAAAAATTGGGCGATAAGCTTGACATTCCTCTGTCAGGTCTGCTCTAATACACCTCACGTCATCCAATTCTGGCTTTTCTGGTTTATTGGTTACTAAATAGCCCAACGGCTTATAACCTTCAGGAGGCTGAGGCAGCCAGAAGAAACCACATCCATGAGAATTTTCCTCATTTCCGTCATAGGAACTCCAGACTAATGTATAATCAAGGGGCTTTTGTAGAGCAGATGACTTGACACAACAGCCAAAACTAGAGGCTTCTTTCTCAGGAAAATCCACCTCCCTTGCCACAAGAAGAGAACCTCTTAAGGGCTTATCACTAGGTTGGCAGTGGTGACCAAGGCAATAAAATCCATCAGGCACTCCCACAGGTTGATAGAAGGTAACACCTTTCTTCTTGTCCTGTGAAAGATTGCACGTCCAAATCAACTCAAACCTGGCGATTTTAATAACTTCAATTTCCCCTAAACTTATCCTTCCAGTTGCAAATCCTTGGCCTGAAGATGTACATAAGATTAAAATTTTCTAACGGAGGCAAAGTTAAAGCACATGGGTAAAGACAAACCCATTAAAAGTAAACTAAATTTGACGCTCAAAGGATCCATCTTCAACAATTTTATATTTATTTAAAATCTAAGAGCATATTCTACCTTGAAATAAGTTCGAGGGTTCAATTATATATTCTAAACATAGACAACGATAAAATCCAAAAGGGTACAAAATATTAAGAATGCTCCTGTAAATTTCACAATAGCTACAATAACTAATTAAATATCCAAGTTTGCAAGCAATGCTTATAGATTAAACACCATAACAGGAGAATTTATTGGTTCTGTCAGTGTAGCTATTGTAATAAATATGAGTACAGAAACTGCCAAGACTTACTACTGTGCTTTCTTGCAGTATGCAAAATTTCATGGTTTGTATCACCAAGGATTATGTTCAAGTTGGAGATTTGGTCTCAAAACTAGAGGCAGCATTGATTTTGAGAAGAATATTTAATATGAAAAACAGAATAAAACAAAGGAGAAAAGGAAGGGGAGTTTGATACTGGATAGAGCTTCCATATGATTTCACTAAAGACAAATACTGATAGCAAGGATACAACAAAAGCAGACAATTAGAAACTACGTGCAATGAAATTCTTCATATATGACAAGGCATAAAAACTCCTACTAAACCACAATACAAATATGCACAAGAATAATACAAAACCAGCAGCAAATGCACACAGCAAGAAACTTCAGGATAAAGTTAGCGCAAATATCTATAAACATTTTGCCAAAATACCAAAAGCCAAGGTTTAGAAGTTATCATTCCATTTATCTGAAATAAATATGCATTAGGACAGATAAGAAAAGAAAGTTCAAAAATGCATTAGAACAAAGATCTATAAATTATTTGCATTAATAAATGTAGAAAAGGGTAAAAAACATAAAAGTAAAAATCTGTAGCTGTAGTTACCAATCATGTTATCTGAAACAAGAAGTGAACAGTAGGAATATTAGATACAGTTTGCAGAAAGAAAACACCTTTAGTTTCTAGAAATCCTTTGCAAGGAAATAGAAGGACCAAAAATATATAAATAGGTGATTAGGAACAAATAATGGAGTATCTAAACAGAATAGATAGATTCCGCTTAAGAAGCCTCTTTATTCTGCAACAATCATGTGAAAACAAAAAATCAAAGTGCCAATTGTTCATGCCGCAAAGTTTGAAACCACCTCAATTCAAAGTCAGCACATTTAAAGAATAATTAATGACTAGAATACACGAAATCAAATTATAATATTCAAAACAATACAAAAGAACATCAACTAATTCAAGATAACTACTTTATTTAAATTGTAGAAGCTGGCAATTGTACAGGAACTGTTATCTTCTCTTTAATAAAGCCAAACTAAAAAAACTAAAACTAGACCACCAACCCAACTTAAAAACAATAATATGCGCATGAAATGGCCGAAATAATAGGGAACCTTATTTTACAGTACTATTGTTAAAGAAAATCTAAATGAGAGATGGAAAATCACCGATTAAGTACATGATCGATCAGCTTCCATTTTCCAGGTAACACAGCAAAAAATTTATAACAGAAGTAGATAATCTACCAACAGAATTAAAACGGATGACCCATGATCCATCTTCGAGCGCAGAGGGTATAATACAAAATGCATAATCCAACAACCACAAGAACACTCCCATTAATGGTGAAAAGGCGAAACCCAAGAATCCATCAATTACCCATTAAGATTAAGAACAAAATTCTTAAAATTTAAAGAAATAAAAGAACATGTTGATTAAAATAGAGGTACCTGGAGGCCAATCAGATAGAGGAGAAGGAAGACAGAAGGTGCTTGGTTCAGATGGAAAGAAATTGTCAATTCTCTTCCAATAGAAACACTTGCAACCAAACATTATTATGTTAGAGAAAGAACCAATCCTCCTCAAGAAAGGTGAAATGGAACGGAGAAGTCTCTGTAAAGAGACTGAAGATGTAGGATTGTAAGCTGGTGAGCATATTCTAAGATCGTCAGAGATTGGAGGAGGGTTGTCGGTCGATTTGTGGGGCCCTTCGGGTATATCATTCTGTTTCTATATCAATAATTTGGGAAGGGCATTGGTTATTTTGTCGAAGTTCTTTGTTGATGACTTTGGTCTTTGGTTTTTGTATTTCTTTATTTTTCAGAAAATGACAGAAAAAAAAGTGTGACCTAATTAAAAGGGAGAGGTTGGATTTTTCGTATCAACTTAAGTGCGATACATTATTTATTTAAAAATCACTCTAATTTTACACTAAATAAAAAAAAATCCAATTTAAGTCAATAATAATATTTTAATAAAGCAATAATTGGTATCGGTTGAAAATATTAAAAATTCTTATTTTTTTGTCAAAAAATTGGTCATTTTTTATTCTTTAAAAAAATAAATACAAACCATAAACTCCATTTTCATGCACAAAGTACTTACAAATAGTATTATATTGAAAAAATATTAAAATTTCTTATTTTTTTTGTTCAAAAAATTGGTCATTTTTAATTCCTTTAAAAAAATAAATACAAACCATAAACTCCATTCATGCACAAATAAACTTTACAAATTAGTTTATATATATTTATATACTATATATATATATATTATAATTTAGGAATATAATTATTAATGTTTAACATTAAAAAAAGAAACAACATTGACTATATTATATTAGAATATAATATTAATGTTTAACATTAAAAAATGAACAACATGAATATATATATATAAATTTTTCATTAAAGAAAAAAAATTCGACCATGAAGCAATAGTAGAAGTGATAAAATTTTATTTTATTAAATAAGGTAATTTTTTAGGTTTATTATGCATTCTTTGTCCAATTTGGAGAGATTATAATTTTTTTATATGGAGAAAAAAGTACATATTTTCCTTCTTTTGATATTCTCCTCATCCTCTCCAAATAAAGGAAAATATAACTCTTTTTTATATATATTTTTTCTTAACATATTTTCTCTCCAAAAAACAAAAGGAAAAAGAAAAGAAAGAATCCTCCCTTCCAAAAAAAAAAAAATGTAGCTTTTGACAGGAATTGTAAAGAAATAATTTGGACCAATGACCTAGCAAGGACAGTAACTAGATCACAGTTAAAATTGTAGTTTTTTGCTGTCTGGATTCATATATAATAGTCTACATTAGATTAAGAAATAATGAGTATCGTTATTTTTATTTTTCTGAAAATAGTAATGATTATTATTTTTATGCGAGTAAATAATTTTCAAAGAACAAAAGGCACTACACTCTGAATTGCACAAAGTAACGCTAATCATCATAACAAATATGGTCATCTCTTTCCCTGAAGTACTAAAACTACATCCCTAGGAAAAGTACAGAGTGAGAATGCATTTTTAATAGCTAAACTTCTCAATAAAGCTGAGAACATGATCTGTCATCAGTTATGTGAAAAGGAAAACTAAAATCGGCAGAAATTCATGGCAACTTCATTCTGGATCAGGGGAACCGCCAGGAACCAGCTGCATGGCAAAAAGAAAATATCAGTCTAACTCGCACGTATAATTTAGTTCATGGAAATTGAGTTCACAATCTATGTACAGAAATGAACAAAAAAAAAGAAACAATAAGAAACCTTGAACTTCTTGCTATGAATCATTTGTTTAGGATATCAATTGTGTGAGTGGATAGCTGGACTTCCTAACTTTGACCAATATGATTTTGACCATGAGGCACAAACACAAGAAATTGCTATTGAATTTCGATAAGTTGTATTGTATTAGCTTTTCCAGATGGCTCAAATGCAGGGCCAAGAGTTCATACTTGATTTCAATTGGGTGACTGAACATGACTGTTCAAATTGACAGGATTGAACCAAGATATGAATAAATCAGATGTTTTACTTACAATGGCAATGTTGTTTCCGTTTAGCAATATCTGATCAAGCTTGGTAATCCGCCGCCCTTCCGCTGTGATTTCACTGTAGAAACAAAAACATAAAGCCTTGATGCTAAAAGGAAAATGTCTGATTGTGTGATGAGAAGGACACCGGCAGCAAGATACAACTTACAAGGAAAAAGATAGAACAAAATAAGAAGTTAAAAAATGCAACTAAATTAAATATTACATCTTTTTATCAAATGAATCCTCATCATCAACAAATGACATCACGAACGCATACGCTACAGTATGTGATACATGCAAAGTCACTTCTATTATCTATATTTTAAAACTTAGCAAACACATTTTTTCTCATAGTCTCCTAGATATCTTGGCATTTGATTCCCTTCCTGAGTAAATAACTACACATATCATGTTTCTGCTCATCCCATCACAGCACATCTGATATAAAAGGGTCAAAAACTTGAACAATCACACCTCACCAACAACACTTTAGTGCAATCAAATCTTTCTCAATATTGCTTAGCCATCAAAACTTCCAATCAAGGGATTATTTTACTACATTAACAAACTTGCAAATCTTATCATTACCCTCCACATCTTTCAGCTTTTCCAACCATAATAACCTCAGTGTCTATATACAAGACCAAAATCAATCATTGTTTTTTTATGGAGGCAAAAATTGTTTTTTCCTGGAATGTAAGATAGCCAAAAAAAAAAAAAAAAAAAAAAAAAGAGTAAACCAAAAAAAAAAAAAAAAAGAGTAAAACTTGAAAACCTTAAAGATATATGAGTAGCTCCTTATGGCCATATCCCATGGATTCCTAACCGCATACAATGACAAGAACAAAGTAACACATACAAGACTGAATAAATTTGTACCACCAACCTTTTGATATGAGCTCCTTAACTGAACTTTTTAAATTTCTGGCTAACAAATGTTCAAAAAGTTTCACTTTAATGCATGGAAATTATTAGCTAGATATTAGCATAAACCAAACCATGCCATAATATCCAATCTTTTAGTTGAACTTGAAACTTCCTTTCACTCTAGAAGGAGAGATGTACCGCTAATAACCAGCTAATACTGACTTTAATGAAAAACTAATTGTAGATTTTCCTTTTACCTTTTATGAAAAGGCACAAAAACAGAAGAAAACCACACATTTTCCAGTACCATCTAGTTGAACTCCACAACTAGTGGAATCACAAATATGTTCTGAAACAAATTGCATATATAAGCAAAACTTGAACACGAACATGAAATGTATTTCCTTAAACCTAATTCAAAGACAAGAACCCTAGAGGTAGAGAGAGAGTGGCATACTATTCAGTAACGTCTTCGAGGACCATGTTGACATAGACGTCGAACCCTCTAAGAGTGCCAACGAGCTCCTTGTCTCCTTTCATTATTACCCATATTTTCGAGCCTATGCACCTGTCAATTAGCTCTGCAGCATATAGAAATTCAGAGCCAGTTAAAATTTTCCCAGTTAATTTTCTCGGAAAAAATGAGAATAGGAAAATAAAAAAAAAAAAAAAAAAAAAATGAGAATAGTTAAAATTAAAAAAAAAAAAAAAAAAAGTATGCACGGAACCTGATGGGAGGAAAAAAAAAAAAAAAAAAAAAAAAAGTATGCACGGACCTGATGGGAGGAGCTGAGAAGGATTGTTCGCCATGGACTTCAAAAACTGAGTTTTAAGCAACAAGAGCGGCGATTAAAATGGAGTTTTTGGCCGCGCCGCGTTTTGGTCCTTCAATCAACTGGTGGAGATATTCCGATATGACCCGAATTGTCCCGGTATCCGGTAAAAGAAAGATTCACTTGTGGGATGGATTTTAATTAGGCCCAACTTTTCTTTTTACCATCTCAAATTATAGTGTTTTTTTTTTTTTTTTATGAAGAAAGAATAATTTTTATATTTAATTTTATCAAATGTATATCTTATATATTATCAATATTCAAATTCTCAACAAATTTTTTTTTATTCTAACTAATTCTTTAACTTTGATTATCTTGATTTTTGAAATTTAAAAAAAATTAAATGTTTAATTAGTTTCAAGAATAATTTAATATGAGTTATTTAATTCTTGCATAGAGTAATATAGATTACTTATTATTAGTGCAAAGATATTGCAAGAAAAGAAATCTAAAAAATATAATTTAATTATATTAAGTATTTTACCTATATTTTTTTATTTGTTTGAAAGTCAAATTACATTTATTTTTATGTGAGGAATGGATAATTTTAAATCTGTATATATAACCTTTACTTCAATTTGTACGTGAAAAATTAAATTCTAATGTGAAAAAAAAAATTATATTATTGCTCTTAAATGTAAAAATATCTTCATTTAAACTAATTTTGCCAATATTTTTTGAACCTTCATTTGTTGTAGTTCATTTAAATCATTATTTTGTTATAATTATTAATTATTTTTTAAATAACATTTGCATTTTATATTAATTTGTTATTCATAAATTTTTTTATTGATTCAATGCTTATATCTTATTATATAATAATAAATAATAATGTAATAAATTAAGGATATATCATATAAAAAAAATAGAAGAAAGTTGATAAATTAAATATTATCAAACTCAATTTGACAACGGAAAAAAAAATGCTTCAAATTGTATTATATTCATTACCACATATTTACATGCAAATACATAAGAATGTTATAACACCCATTTAATATAATTAAATAAAAGTTTTTTTTTTCTCTTCATCAAATTTTAATATAATTAAATAAAATTTTTAAAAGACTCCTTTCCATAATAACTCATTCTTGAATCGTGATATGATATATTTTAATTTTTTTATGATTAATTAGATCGATAATTATTTAAAAATTTAATTTAATTCATTTCATTTATTATTTTAATAATGTCAATGAATATTTCTTGACAACCACTTGTGCGGTTAACAAGCAATCAAAACAAAACAAAACAAAACAAAACATAACGTGTCGAACGTGTTGAATATTCATGTACGTGTTCTGTTTGCTATTGAATCTTCCAAGAAATGAGGATTCGAATCGAAAACCCACGTATGTTGGCAACGCGAGTCAAGAGTCCCATGAAATTGAAAATGGTATTCGCATCCAATGGAGGATATGCCTCTAAGGCTCCTTCAACTTGCCAAACAGCTAATTATGAAATTACCTATTAAAAAAACAAAACTCTTTTAATTTAAATTGATCATTTAATTGAAATTACCTATTAAAATCGATAAACAAAACTCTGATTTTTAGTAAAATGTACATTGCATATCAATTTAAAAAATGAGCATTATTCTATTAATTTAAATTTTTAAAAATTTTTTTTTCAATTATTGGTTGACATTTATTTCTAAATAATTAAAATACTAATTCTAACATACTTTAAATTAAAAAATATATTTAAAGGAGAAATGAAGTCATGAAATGGTATTGGTTGATGTTTGCCAATCGAAAAGTATAAAGCATGTGTTCCTTTTTTTCTTTTCTTTTTTTTTTTTTTTTTTTTTTTTCTTTTCTTTTTTTTTTTTTTTTTGGCATTTATTACAGCAAAGAAAAAGAAAACAAAGATGATATGTTTCTCATAGACTAGATAAGCCATCTTTTCTCCACCACAGCAAAAACTCTTTCCACTTCCACGAAAACCAACCAATTTTTTTTTTTTTTTTTTTTTTGGCATTTATTACAGCAAGAAAAGAAAACAAAGATGATATGTTTCTCATAGACTAGATGAAGCCATTTCTTTCTCCACCACACAAAAACTCTTTCCACTTCCACGAACCAACCAACCAAAACAAAATTCTAATCAAGCACTGTCTCCTTTACAATAAAAAAGAACCAACCTAAGGGTTCTTCTTCTAATTCTTCTTCAGCTATACCTACCCACAACCCTTCATCATCTTCTACGTCTAAAACCTAACCATGCTTTTAAAAAGCTCTTCTACACCAGTTCTTGGATCCCTCATCCCATCTTTCTCAGATAGCCCTAACAACAACAATGCTCATTGTTTTGATACCAATAGTGTCCCTAAACATTATTCTATTCACCATCAAAGCTTTAACAACAAGTCTCCATTTCATCAAACAGGTTGTTTCCATATCAGCAATAATGTTTCCTGCAACTCCTCTCCTATGTCTCCTTTCATATCTGAAGTCAGCCTTCGTCGTGTTCAGTCAGAAGGGAACCTTGAAGGGCTGGCTTATGCTTCTTATAGCAGTAATAATGAAGAGTATTACAAATATTTAAGCCAATCCAAGAAAGTTCCAGCAAGACAGAAGTGTTTGATGTTGGAAACTATACCTTCTTTTTCGATCAGCAATTCGCGAGGTAGGTATGAAGAAGAGGATGATGATGATGATGATTGGAATAACAATGAGAAAGAGGAAGAGGAAGAGGAAGAGAAAGAGAAAGATGGCTGCTTTGGATTAAGTAATAAAATGGAGAAGATGGTTTTGAGTGAGAAAATAGGAGTTACTGACAGAAGTCTTAATTTGGGTTATCTCGAAGAGGAAAAAGGAGGGTTAGTTAGTGAAGAGATGTATCTTGCAAGAGGGCTTGGGATTGAGGGTGGTAGTAATGATGGAAATGGCGGTGGCAGTGGCGATGGCGGTGGCGGTGGAAGTGCTAATGGTGGTGAGTTTCATTGGGCAGCTGGAGAAGGTGGAGACAAAAATGGCAGAGAGTATTATAAGAAGATGCTGCAAGAAAATCCTGGCAATCCCCTGATTTTAGGGAATTATGCCCATTTTCTATATCAGGTGAGTCCTCTCCATTTTTTTTTTCATTTAATAAGTTAATTAAGTATCAACTAGCCATCTCATAATCTCGTTCATTCAATTACATGATATCTAACTATGGATACCATGAACCAAAATGTTTTTGCAGTCAGAGAAAGACCTTAAAGGAGCAGAAGAGTATTATTTACGAGCTATATTAGCAGATCCTAAAGATGGTGAAATTCTGTCACAGTATGCAAAATTGGTATGGGAACTACATAATGATCAAGATATAGCTTCAGCCTACTTTGAAAGGGCAGTTCAAGCTTCTCCTGAAGATAGGTATGCGTTCCCAATTATTTACATGTATTCCATTTTCTTGTTTTAATCTTCTTGACTTGAGCTTAATTGAGTTTTAAGATTTTGTTTTGCAGCCATGTACATGCAGCATATGCTAGTTTCCTTTGGGAAACAGAGGAAGATGAGGATGATTATGGTGTGCCAACGGATTTTGAACCCATAACCCCACATTTCCGAGGAGCAGTGGCTTCTACAGGAGCTTAATGGCAAGAACCAGAGCTACTAAGCTAGCTCATAACATTGTTTAGATGGATAAAATAGGAATCTGTTTTGTTTTGAATGTACGGAAAATAAATTGTTAACCGTCTACAAGTGTATGATAAGCATCTCTGTTGATTTTTTTCACCCTGATGAATCATTTTTTGCTATGAGGATCCTTAGCTTGGGAAAAGCATTGAAATATACAGGGAGCTCAATTCCTAGGCATTTATCATGCTTTTGATCAGCATTGGAAATGAAATTCCAATCTCTTTCTTCAATTTGTGGCATTAGGAATAATGAATCTACAGAAGCTGATTTTACATATTACAATGCAAGTTTGGAAGAGGATTACTTGTGACATGTAAGAGGGCCATGGATTATAATTTTTACAGAAAAAAGTGAAGAAACCATCATGTGATTCTGTAATTAGTGAGAAATCATGGCCATGAAATGAAGATCTGGAAACAGGAAGAGAGAAAATAAAGTCAAAAGGAGCCTTGTACAAGTTATAACCCATAAAAATCAGAGCAAATCACATTCCCTCACGACATGGGGCTTACATTACCCAAAATCTCCCACTTGAATTGCACATAAAAACCATTCAAGGGGATCAGACATTTAGAACTATACCATCAGAGGTAAATCACATTAAAAGAAGATATTTCTAACACTCGATGTAAAACAACACACCTCAGAAAGTACACGTTAAAAGGGAAAATGTTCCTAAAGGAATAAGTAACTCAAAAACCTTGTATCATTGTTTAGAACAGAAAACTTTGAATAAGGCCCGAGTACTTCCTGTCTCTGCACGCATCATTTCTTGTTGTGATTTTCCTATCGTGCACCACGCTGGTAGAAACCATTGCCTCTTTGTCTGGTGTAGTCACCTCCATCTTGACTGGTTCCCCTGCCCACACTACGGCCACCAAAGCGCCCCCTTGGTGCATCTGTTGGGTAACCACCTCTGCCTCTTCCCCTTCCTGCTCAAAGAAATTAAAATGACAGTCAGTGTCAACCGAGAAGAAATAAAGCAAATTCATTTTCACATTTCGAGCATAATACATTTCACCATATTAGCTACTCTGAGCACAAAAAAATACCAAATTCATCGATGTGGCAAGCGATAACATTAAAAATACATTCATCAAGAGGGAAATCTCAAGCCACAAACAAAAGGTAGTAATAGCATCTGAAAGCAAAGATTTCATTATTTTTTTTTGTACTGCTTAAGCTTCTTATTATGTGGCTGTCCTATGGATTATACACACACAAATAAACACACGTGACCCAAATGTAGGCAGAATACTCTGATTGTATAATTAGATATACCCAACAGTATCAAAACATGAGCGACTGAACACACACACGTTGCATGTGACCTATGTCTATGTATCAGCTCTACAGCTAAGTGCTTCATCATTAAATCATGTTTGATATTGTTTACAGAGAGGCCATTGATGATAAAACAGCTGAATCAGTGAGTACAGATTTAGCAGCATCAACAAAATTAAAAAAAAAAAAAAAAAAATCTTGCAAAATAATTCTCTTGGAAGTCTCAGGAAGGAGAAAAGGTAAACTTTAGAAGGATAAAAGAAAACACTAATGCATTTTATCCCATAGGATAAAACTGAAACATATAAAAAAAATAGAGGAGAATGCATTAGTAAACATACTTCCACCTCGAGAAGCAATGCCACTGTTTGGTCTTCGCTCCTCAATATAGACCTGCCTTCCAGCCAGCAGTATTGGAGATGCCTATACAAAGAACAAAATTAGGTGATCCAAAAATTACTTCATCCAGAGGAATATATAATTGCTACAAGAAATGGCAAAAAACGATTTTAGGCTTCAATGATTACAACGATATTAACTATTTTATTTTCCTTCCTTTAACCTTAAAATTTAATAAAAATAAACAAAATAACAGGATCCATCAACCAAAAGAAAAATCTAATAACGAATAATATTTATTGTTACATGTACAGTCAACAAGCACACAGTGTGAGAAGGGAAAAATGAAACAAACTTCTTATGGTAAAAATTCAAACCTGGATTGCATTTTGGACACTAGTGAGGTCTTCAAACTCAACAAAAGCATAGCAAACACCAACAACGTCCTGTTAGAATAAATAGCCAGTTATTTCAGCTTTATATGCAGGAACTTAGCAAGAAGAGAAAACAAAAAGATTTACCTTTCGATTCCTGATGAACACACCATCAGGCTTGATTCTACCAAAGTTCTTGAACTCCTCCTCAATTTCTGCAGCGGTAACATTTGAGGGCAAGTTTCTCACATAGACAGATTTTGGTTCACCTGAAAAGGATTACGATCAAGAATGAATTCAGTGCTTCCATGCATTATGAATAAAATATGTTAATTGCAAATAGCATATCTTCTCTCAAGTTTCAGGCATACTGAAAAAACTCTCCAAACAAGGAGCGAAACCATTCAAAATACACCAGCAATAGAAGATAAGATCATGGAATATGAGAACAATAGAAAAAAGAAGAAAGAAAATCATGTTTCAAGATCTTGCACACACAACATTCATTAACTTGTTCAATACACCAGCAAGATTTAAGTTGACAATTATCTCTGAATCAGATTTTCTATCAAAAACTAAATTGGAAGAACACACAACTCATGCAATAATGCCCAAAAGTCATATGTTAATTGCAAATAGCATATCTTCTCTCAAGTTTCAAGCATACTGAAAAAACTCTCCAAACGAGTGAAACCATTCAAAATACACCAGCAATAGAAAATAAGATCATGGAATATGAGAATAGTAAAAAGGAAAGAAAATTCTGTTTTCAAGATGCACGAACGACATTTATTAACTTGTTCAATACACTGGCAAGATTCAAGCTAACAACTATCTCTGAAATCAGATTTTGTATCAAAAACTAAATTGGAAGAACACACAACTCATGCAATAATGCCCAAAAGTCAAAACAAACAGCCAAGGCACAACAATAAACACATCTTTGTAAACATCGAGAGCAGCAAACCTTCATCTAGTCCCAAGACTTCCTCTGTTGCTTCAAATCCAGATTCAGGCACATAAGACAATCCAGGGTCTGATTGCTGGGCAGTGGGTGGTGGTATATGATTCCAGTCTGATGTAGTTGGGACACTTTTGTTGACAGATGGCTGGGTAGCAACCGATGGCTGACCCTTAGCTCGCAACTATCGTGTTTAGACCAAAGAAAAGAGGGAAAAAATATTAGCTGATGGGAAAAATAGCTAGCACCAATTAGAACATGAAAAGAAAACAAGAAAAAACAAAAATGCTCCTTCTGGTCATGCATGCTCTACTGCTGATTATATGGCAATACTAAAAAAATTTTGCTCCTCAAATATATGCAGTGCTTTGTTTCTATACTCATTCTTATTTCTCATCCACAAATGGAGTTAAGAGAAGCTTTAACAATTGAAGAGCACACAGATGCTAAGCTACATTTCAAACAAAGTAAAGGGCATATGCAAGCAATACAATTAATACATACTATAGATGCATAAGTTCTCTTTGGAGGTTCTTCTACAGGTTCCTCAAAAGCAGGAGCAGGGGGATCCTGCACAACATTCACAGCACCTTGAAATGAAGCAGGTGTCTCTTCCACAGGACTGTCTTCAACTACAATTTCATTCTCAAATTCTTGTTGCTGCTGCTCTGGGAGACTATACTTGTCTACTGAATCATCTTCTATATGAACAGAGTTCACGTACTCCCTAGCTTCTTCCTCCAAAACATAGTCGGAAACTAAAAACCCAAAATTTTAAAATAATTAGAAGGCAATACTTTCTATCATCAAACAATCCTGATAATTCTGATGCAATGATGGTAAAGAAAACCTAAAAGAGTGAAAGCTGGATTTTTCAAGCACTTGCAAAACCATACTTCTTTCCATTATCTTTTAATTGGTAGATCCAAACATAAGACTTGCTTCCAACCCAGCCTTTTACCAGTTAACATAAAGCAAGACTTGCTTCCAACCCAGCCTTTTACCAGTTAACATAAAGCACAAAAGAATTTTCCATTCTGATATTCAAAAGAAACCTCAAAAAAAAAAAAAAAAAAAAAAAAAAAAAAAAAAACCTTTTACCAGTTAACATAAAGCAGACCTTGCTTCCAACCGCCTTTTACCAGTTAACATAAAGCCACAAAAGAATTTTACCATTCTGATATTCAAAAAGAAACCTCAAAAAAAAAAAAAAAAAAAAAAAAAAAAAAAGAAAGAAGAAATGGAAAAAAAAAAAAAAAAAAAAAAAAAAAAAAAAAAAAGAAAGAAGAAATGGAAAATGCAACTGAAATTAAAGGGAAAATAGATTTGTTTCTTCAAACTATTTGTATTCCAGAAACATAACTTTTATCAGAATTAAGAACTAAAATTTTATCATTCTTTCGTAGAAGCACAAATTACAGAGAAGAATTATATTTCAACATATTGCATGCATTTGCCATTAACTAAGTCTACAAGGCTATAGTTCAACCATACAAATGCCATAAGCTAGTAGATGTGTCCATAGTAAATCTCATACAAATGTATTTACATTACTAGGACTATAAACCATGACCAAGTGATTCCTGATAGAATTAATAGTTCCCCGCATACATCATTAACATATTACCTGGTGGCTCTGGAAGAGGGCTAGAAGCATTCTGTTGTACTTCATGAGTGTCCTCGGATGATATTGGAGCTGGATTTTGCTGGTATATGTTTTCAGATGTAATGGGAGGTGGATGTTGTTGGTAAATGATTTCTTCATCAAGGAACTGGAACATATCGTTAAGAACAAAATAACCCTTCTCCTGAGGAGCCAGAAAGAAGGTCTCCACAAATTTTCTCCTGCCACTGAAATCCTTGTTTTTAACAGAACCAGATACCATCACCAGAACACCCCCATTCCAAGACTCGAGAGAATTGATCGTCTTTATCTCAATGGCAGTGAAGTTTAGAGATGTGACAAGAGTATGTATTTGCTGGAGGCATAGTAAAATTAAATAGTGATATGAGTAATTGCAGGAACAAGAAAGATATTGCAAAAGGATAAAAATGAAAAGACACTTTATATGAGTAGAAATTAACTCTTCATAGGGTATGGAGTCAGAAATGAGGCCAGAGGTTCCGGCCACTAAATCATGGAGGCACAGGAAACTCAGGAACAGATACAGGGAAACGACATTTTAAATTCAATTTTACATGGGGAAGCGGGCATTTTTTTGTAGCTAGAAGTTTGCATACATCATGGAAAGGCCCTAGAAGACAAATCCAAATGATCGATTAAGTGGAAAACTAACTCATGATACTGTTACTTAAAGTATGATTGCAACCTTCTATCAAAATGTTAATATAACAAACACCAAGTAGCATTGGAGACTTCAACATAAACTCTCACTTCCATCATCTATTTAGCATACCCAAATACTAATATTAATAACAACATACAAAACTAACATATACAATACCCTTGTATATGTACTACAATATTAAATTCATTACTTTCTTAGAAAACTAGATGCCTCAAGAGCACAAGTAAAGATGCAAATTCATGCAATTTTAATAAAAACAAAGAAAATCTAAAAGCAACTATGCAAAAAAGTAACAGAAACCAATCCACCATTAGTTACTATAAGGGGACCAATACTCTCTAGAGTCAATAATATCTTTCTTTTTTCAAGATTTCCGATTTACACACCAAACCAAACCAAACCAAATCACAAGACCATTAAGGAGAAAAAGACAAAGATAAAACCACCAATACAAATCCACTAATTGACTGAAGAAAAAAAAAGAAAAAAAAAAGTTACCAGCATTGTGGAAGCGGACTCGGTTGCATCCCCATCAATGCGAATCATAGTACTAGTATCGGCATAGAATTGATGAACAAGATCAGGCTGTTGTTGAAGGACCTGATAATACTGTCCTACAAAATACGACCCCACCTGCAAAAAATCACAAAAAACAAAAGATTAAATCTTTTCATTACGGGGTTTTTTAATTATTAACATCAAAACTAAATATAACTGATTAACATTGAAATTACCTGAACAGGTCCTGGATATGCAGTAGCCATGATTAATGAAAAGAAAAAAAAAAAAGAAAAGAAACGAAAAAGATATCGCTTTTGCTAACACAAAAGCGCAAAACGAAGGAGATCAAAACAGAGCACTTAGCCTTGTAGCAGATCGAACTGTAATATAATGTTTTTTAAACCCCGAGATTTAGGGTTTATGATAAGATTGGGTTTTATGGTAAAACAAAAGAAGTGCTTACAGAGAGAGAGATAGATGATAAGAGTGCATGAAAGAGGGTTTATTAGAGCAATGAGAGGACTGAAGAATCCAAGTAAAGGAGGCAAGGAAGATAGATCTACGGGGGAGAGAGAGTGCCTGTGTCTTTTCTGATTCGTTAAAAGAAAAGAACAGTACTGGGGATGGCCGCACGAAATCATAGCAGTACATATGGCATATTTTGAATTGAATCCCAACCGTTCATCAGGGATGATAAAATAATAAGGGCTACCAAATGTTTTTTTTTTTTTCATTGTTAATAGTTTTTGACATTGGTATTTCTGATATTATTACTTTCTCCCTCTCATTTTAGTTAAATCGAGAAAATCATTCAATTTATCTAAATTATAATAAATTATTAAAAAAATAAAGTAATCACTATTTATCATATGTTATTTATGAAATCCATAAATATGATATGCATTTAGAAACATAATACCTCCTCAGATGTAATACGTATTTTGGGACAGATCAAGTGTAAATTATTTATATTTGAAAATATTTGTGTATGACCGTTGTATGATTTCTATTTAGACTCTGTTTGTTTCCATAAAATAACTTATAGAAAAATGTTTTTCACAAATTTTTATTATTTAGGGCGCTCAGAAAAATAAGTTAACAGAAAATATTTTTCTGGTCATAGGAAAATTAAGTCATTTTGTAAGGAAAACAATTTCCTATTTTCGAAGGAGTAAAACATTTTTGGACATTGACAAATCTTATAAATTCATATTTTTTTAATTTATTAATCATTACAATTACTACCACCGGTCACCGTTTGCCACCGACTACCACCACTGGCTACCACCACCGGCCACCGACGGCTTCTATAATTTATATCAATTACTACCACCGGTCCACCCGTTTGCCAACCGACTACCACCACTGGCTACCACCACCGGCCACCGACGGCTTCTATAATTTATATATATTATATATATTATATATATATATATATATATATATATATATATATAATATATAATAATATATATATATATTTTTTATATATATTTTTGCATTCTTTTTATATTTAACAATAAAAATTTTAAATTATGTAATTTCTATTATTATTAATATTTTTTATGGTCTTATGATATAAAGACTTTAATGTTTTTTAACTAATTTTCAATATTACAACCAAATAATGGAAAATAAGTCATTTGAAAAATATTTTTCAACAAGTTATTTTACAAAAACAAACGAAGCCTTAATAACTAAATGAAATTACAGAAATATATAAAATTTAAATGTTTAATGCAATTTTAACGATAAGAAATTTGAAAATATACTCACATTGTAGTGTCTTCCATTAAAAAGAAAAACAAAGTAAAAAAAAAAAAAGTATGTTTGCTTTTGAGAAAAAAAAGCATTATAATCATTTAGAGAAATATACGAGTATAGAAAATATAAAAATATTGAGAATGAATAAGCTTACGATGATCATAGAGGTAACCAAATGTGTGTATTAAAGAGATTTAATTAGAGTTTGTGGGAAGGAAAGGAAGAAGTTCAACATGCCAAAGTTTCTAAATGGTTCATTGGAAGCAGACAAGAGAAAGAAAAGAAATTCCCACTTTTGAAATCGGAAAAACATGGGTTCAAAGATTTTGATCTCACTGACTGACTAGCGCTGTTGTGTCGTGTGGGTTGTACTAGAGGAACTGACCTCAGCTAACCATGGTCAAGGTCAACCGGACTTTGAAGTTGCCTTGTCTGACTTTAGCTTTTGTTTTTATCTCATCGTCCCAAGTTTTAAATGGAAAGGGCAAAAAAAAAAAAAAAAAAAAACCATAAATGGTGCAACGAAATTGCAGTGTGATTTGGTAACCAAAATCATTTATATTTTCTCAAAAAAGGTAAGAAAATCAAGTCTGATTCAGTAACCAAAATCATTTGGATTTTCTCAAAAAAGGTAATGATATTTTATCAAAAAGGTAAAAAAAATTCTTTTCAAAAAAAAAAAAAAAAAAGACATATTGTTTTTATTAAAAAAAAAATAGACATTATAATTAAGAGACACTACTATAATATGGCTTGTGCTCTTGTGCAGAAAATCTAAGTCTGACTAAGATGCAAGAGTGGTAATGATTTGAAATTGTGTTTAAAATACATCAGAGAATATCATTTTATAGTTTACTATTAATCATCCAAAGAGAAAGTGATTTAGATGAAAATATCAATGGTTCTGATTCAGTAAACACAATAATCTATTTTGTTATGGTTATTTTTTTAATCTATAAAATAGGTATTATAGGTATAAATTTTGGGTATGCCTTAATATCTAAAAGTGAGTTAAGAAAGAAAATTCATTGTTGATGCACGAATATATAAGATATTAGAAAGTATAAAAAATGACATACACGGTTAAATGTGGAGAAATAAGTCTACTGAAATTTTGAAAAAAAAAAAAAAAAAAAAAAAAAAAAAAAAACAAGAGAACTTATAGATATTGCTTATAAACTCACAAATCTTCAGTATCTATAATTATATGGAGATAGAAGGTATGCCACCGATCCATAACTTGTACAACTAAGAACGAGGATAATTACAGAAAAGTGAAAATATTAATTATGATATCCCACTTCAAATATACAGAGAAATCAAGTAATTAGATTTATAGATACACATATGAGGAACCTTATACAATGATGCTAGTGCATGAGCGTTCTCACTAGCTTAGCAAAAAAAGTGTCACAGAGATATGCAACACAGCTGTAAATAATCTGCGAATTTAAAATGTTCAAGTTTCCACCTCTGGAGGTATGTTTTCCATGGAAGTCTCTCACTAGTCGCCCTCACCATGATTTAGTGGGCCGGAACAGCTTTCACGCGCCTCAACTATTTTTTCTGAACTCCCATAACCCGAAGTATGGAATGAGTTTAAATTTCTTCTATTCTTCATTTATTTATATATGTTTGTTCTTTCATATGTTTTTTATCTTTCCCCTTTCGCCATATATTTATCGATTTTCATTCGAGAGTTATCCACAATGCACTTCACTCCAGATGACTTCACCTCATATTTACCTTTATCCCACTATGCCTCCATGCAGAAAATCAACAATACTCTAACAAAATCCTCACTAAACACGTTACAGCTGCCATATCTGCGAAGAAATGAAAAAGAACGATCAATTCTCATCAGAGACTCTGAGAATAAGGTGTGTGTCACTAGAAGAGAAACTAGTGATATCCTGCTAGTTCTCGAATTCATAAAACACAAGGAGATTTTCTCACGTGCGGAGAGGAGGAAAACTTATGTATGAGCGAGGAAAACACAGATACTTATCTTCTGGCCTCCTCATGGAGAAGCTGTGTCCTCATTATATGTTCCTCTTCTTCTACACGCGAGATTTATTGAAGCTTACCAGCATCCTATACTCGTTGAATGAACACCAATAGAAATTCCCATTATACACGACTAGACACCAATCCACACCTCACACACCATGGAGCGAGTCTCCATTAGAAAACATATGAAGCACACTAGCAAAAGGAATACCACATGGATCCCGAGATAAGTCAATACCCGAGCAAACACATACACATTGATCGCAACAGTATACAGCAAAACGAGCAATGTCTTTAGCATCATGCCCCTCTTCCAGACGCCACCAGGTAATATGTTAATGATGTATGGCACGGGGAGAGCGTATTAATTTATCACGAATTCGACTAGATCAATTTTCAGGTGAGGTTTAGTACTAGTCTTAGTCCCAATTTAGTAATAATGAGTCTACTGTAGTGCATCTGTGATGAGGAAATTTTTAAGAGTATGGACACTATCGATCTGAGCGAGCTAGGCATTTGTAATGGTGTTGGAAGCGAGGAGGGCCCACTATGGTTTGTAGGCCTTCACGTTTAATGGCAAAGCCAGTAGCAATGGCCCATAAGTGTGTAGGATATACTATATATTCTTCTCACTGTATGATTGTTATGTGGGCACTTAAGCCTACGCACAAAGAAGGCTCGATTAACTATTGAAGAGTATTAATTACTAGAACCTAAGAGAAGGTATATTTGTATTTTCTGGAGATCACCACACATATAACTGTGTTTGAAAGAAGAGCAAAAATCATATTTTATCCCTTTTTAATTTCTAGTGGTGCATTTATGCCCATTCTTGTGCCGGTTTTTTTTTTTCTTTTATGTTTTATTATATTTTATTAATATATATTCTAGGAATGGATTCATTATTATGAATATGATGGATTACACTTAATGTAAGCAATTTTGAATTGTTTAAGCACAGGCTCGGGTATAAATAAGGCTGGAGTGTATGTGAAGCAAGTCTATTGCCACTTTAATGTATTGAGAGATCTGGTAAACAAGGAGCATAGAGTGGGAAGAGCCGGATTGTACTTTATGTTTTAGGTATCGTAACCAATTCTAATTGAGGTAAGTGTGATGGGACTTTAGATCAGAATATGAGATTATTTTAGCGTTCAAAGCTTGCTTTTGAGAAGAAAATCCAGCTTTCACTCTTTAGGGTTTCTCTTCTTTACCAGTTCACAATCATGTGCTATCAGAGTATTGATAATCTAAGGAGGTTGTCTGATTGAGATCAGACAAAGTATTATTGTGACCTATCTAAATTATCTATGAAAAATTTATGTATGCAGGTTTTTTTGTAGGCGTTGGTTGATAGCCGAGACTATAATGGTTTCGGGAGGAAAAGAATTACACTAGGACTACAGCTGATATCTATGTAGTACATGATAGACTTGAAGGATGATTTCTAGTTAGGAGCCCAAAAGCAGTATAAAGTTATCGGTCACTCCAGGAGCGAGCCCTAGACAGTAACAAAGAATTTGAGAACATTTTGCGATATATTCCTATGTAAACTCTGAATAAGAGATAGAGTCCTCGTATGGTAAAGGGAGACACCTTGACTCACGATCCTCAGGTGCTGTCAGAAAAGTAAAAGTGCAGAGGTAAGTAACCACTCACCTTCAGCGTTCCTGCTTCATTTGGCACGAAAACTCTTGCAGAAGACGCATACCTAAAGAGACTAATTGGGCAAATATCTAAGTATGTATTAAATTGTAATTGCTTGCATATGCCCTTTACTTTTGTGCTATTGTAATTTTGATATTGCTATGGCTATCTGTGGTTGCATGCTTCACCACATTGTTAAAGCTTCTCTGTAACTCGCACAAATTATTTATGTGCCGACATTCGAAGAATTACAAATATAAGAAATGAGTATAGAAAACCACAGAGCAACATTCCATATATTTATAGAGAGAAGCAGATATTAAGGTTCTCAGTCATGTTAAGTCCATATAAATTGCCCAATGACAGTAAGAAAGGCCAAATGCGCAAGACCTAGGAAAGAGGAGGCATGTCTTTGTTGTTTGTATTATTCACACTATTGAGAGTTTCTAATTATTCTTAATATTCATAAAAGTGGATGCACAAACGAGCGAAGTTTTGAGCCCACACTAACAACCTAAATCATCATTTATATATTACCCGCTACCTTTTCTTCGGATCGTATATTCAACAACGATAGTTGCGAAGCTAAGGGTCACCAATGGCCTATCCGGGGGTCTAAAGACACACACAGCCACAGCACATACAGACCACCATGGTACAGAATGCAAAGTGTGCCACCAACTAACACACAATCAGACTGAGAGAGGAAACTTCATATACCACCAAATTAACTAACCTTAACTCGACAACCCTCACAGGATCAACAATTCAACCGGGTGAGACTTTATGCTCCACTTATGGGTGCAACTCTATGACCATTGGATCTCATGAATGCAACAGAGAAAGTACTCTCTGGGACTAAACGATAGAGAGGGTTATTGAGCTGCCTCTCGATGTTTACAATATGATGTTTTAGATTGTCATATGTCAAGTTATGCCTATGGCGTGGTTATGTTTTAGCAAACGGTAATGTTGGGCGAGAGCTTTTATATAATTTGCGGGGATTGACAGTAGATAGTGCATTGGTATACACATGTTAGTAACACGCACCACACATATTGGTAGGTGTAATTTTATGGTAAGAGTAAAAATCAACTGATTGGTTCAGAGAATATAAGATTGTTCTGTATGCATTGGATCAATTGAGCACCAAGTGTATATTAGTAAACCACTAGAGTATAAGTAAGAATGAGCTCAGAGGATGTTCCGCACACAAATCGAGAAAGACACCAAATTATTCTATTTTTCCACTATATTATTCTTATAATTACAAGATCCCAGAAATTATTGACCCATTGATTCTTTTTTCTATATTGCTGGTGTATATTTTGAATGTGTGTTTGTCGAACTCGTTTGCGTATGTATGTTAATTGATGTATGAACATGTAAGCGGTAGAAACATTTGAAGAGAAAGAATAAATATGTTCATCAATCTTAAGCAAATATACTAGGTAATAAAAACCATATTCTATGGGCACACTCTCTGACAAATGCTAGTCTTGCATGTTATGGTCACTTCTATTCCGTCATTTAGTTAGTATTAATTAGTTATCAGAATCATGACCAATTTAATTCATATGAATCTACAAGCAAGCATGTCTGAGGGCGATATCTGTGAGCGGAAGAGACAGTTATAAAACACTATTATTGCCACTTTGCTGCTATTTTGTATACATATAAGTTTAAATTAGAATGAATTGGTGAGTTATGTCTGTGTCAAGTACAAAAAGTATTACTTGTACAACATGTAACATCTAGCTATGACAAGTGAATAAAAAGTTTACCTGTTGGCCATAACCAAGGGTTAATTGTTGTACCGGTGCTTCGAACATTCTGCCAAGCTGAGGTTGTAACACCATAAACTTGCCGTCCACTGATTTTGTGCAGTTGGATAATGCACCATAAGATGACTGTGCGGGTGAAGAAGCAATCAGCGTAAAGATTTTGCTAAAATTTTTGTTTTTATCTGAAGTCCTTATGGATAAACCATTGGCCGTACTGCATGATCTGCCCTTTTTTTTCTCTTATTATCTCTTCATTGATTCTTTGTCTTTCACCTGAAAATTGGGTGTGAGATATAGATGCTTGCGCACCGTCTGTACATACAAATATTCCCACTGAGACTCTTCTTATACATAGATTTTTGCCTCATTTCTCCAGCTAATTCTTGAGTGTATTCTAATAAATCTTGGAAACTAAGATTAATTATTTGTTAAGCAGAGCTATACGTAAGAGTTTATTGTAGGAGAAAGAGTGCTCAATTCACCCTTTCTCACTCATTATGAGACACTCAAACACACTAATACCATTTGGTACAGAGGATATGGATATTTCTGCCCCACTTATTTGCTGCGAGAAATATTCAAAAATTTTTTAAAATCCGTCTCTCTTACATGAAAATCGGAGCGCAATAGATTAAACAAGTCCTTATCTCTTTGTAAATTCCACCACATTTGAGTAGGAAGTCCAGCAAAACATCGCGCTTATTTCAAGTGTGATTATTTCACCCTAAGTACCAATACTCTGGGTGATTTCTAATGCAGGGCTGGTAGAATAAAACGTTAGAAAAGGCGCGGCTTAACAATGGTTTTACCGCTGCCCAAAAATTGAGGGAGGAGTTTCAAGAAACTTTTTGGGTAGAAAAATCAGGGAGGGACGTTGGAGGAAATGGGAATTGTGGGGGGTTTTGTGTTTCTAAACACACAATCAAGGATCGAAAGGTTAAAATTACTCCATATGTAAAAATTTGGGTCATTTATCTCACCTTATTTCTTCTTCTGCTAAATGGCTTTTTTATTCAAGCTAATCCACCCTGTGGCAATTACAGAGCGACCACCTTGAAAGAAGGTCTAAACTCTTGGAGCTTGATGTTTTAAAAAAAAAAAAAAAAAAAAAAAAAAAAAAAAAAACAAGAGAACTAAAATCTGACCAATGCTTCAGTTAAATAGACCGGCCCAGATGGAAATAAGAGATAAAAGATACGCCAAAAATAAAAAAAAAAATAAAAAAATTCGAGTGCCTAGCAAAAGGTTGAAAAAGAAAAGCTTGTACCTTATCACTGATTAGATTTAACACCAGCTTTACCACATTCCAGAGTAGTTTCTTTTTTTTTTTTTTTTTGGTTTTTTCCTTTTCATTTTAGATTATCAATAAAAACTCCAGGACTACCTACCTAAAATTGTTCAAAAAAAAGTAGTTTCTCACAAGAAAAAATACCTAGAAAATTGCAAAAAGAAACATGATGCACTAACTACAATTTGCTACTGAACCTATAACAGAAAAAAGAAACTTCTCTTCTTCCTAATCCCTTTCACGCATTTAAGCTAACACCATGCCCCATGTTCCAAACCCGTTGCATAGTTACAGGCATAGATTGAGCATAGAAATGATTGGCAAGGCAAAAACATGATCACAGCAAACACCTAGTACTCGATCTTGAAAATTCAGTAGTAGCTCCCATAATATGGCTGTGGCACTGAAGTTGGCTGCTGAGTTGGGGCCAATGTTGCTGCTGCAGCAGCAGGTTGTGCATAACTCTGTTGAGGGAAAGCAGCCTGCTGAAATATAAACCGGATTATCAGCACTCTGAAAGGAAAAAATATTTGAAGACATTGGTTTTTCAGTCCTCTTGACTGAAAAAAATACATGCAAATAAATAAATTATTCACTACGAATGTTGTGCTCAGGCTGATAAATATATTTTAGGGAAAGAGTTCAAAAGGCAAGATTATTATGAATCCATGTTGAACTTTCAAAAATATTCTACTTGAAGAGAGTTTCCCAGTAAAATCATTTGTAAAGTTGATGGCTAACAGGCATGTAATCTAGAAAATTTAGATCATTTGTACCTGGACAGGATATGTCGGAGGATAAGCACCATAAGTAGCTGTTTGTGCAACAGAAGTAGGTACTTGCGGGCTAGTATAGCTGCTTCCATAACCATAAGTAGCTGTATTGTATGCAGCCTATCAAAAGAAAAAGTTAAATCACTCAGTTTCATGGCACAAATCACGATACTCATTGCAATAGCATTTTATATTGTTGAGACCGTTGGAAGTTAAACCACTCAATCAAATATAACCAGACATAAAAGAAAAAGCTCTGCTTGAAGTATGTCACAAAAGCAAGCGCATGAGAGAGGCTGTTGTAAAAAATCATATTTTACGAAAAACAGAGTGAGCCACTAACAACCATAATAATACTCTAGTTCAACCATGTTCCGCTGCAAAACACACAGCCACAGGCACATACACAGAGTGAAGGCCACAGAAAAACTTTTCAATTAAATTATCACAAACTAGACATGGTACACACTGGGCATACCAGTTCCATTTACCCTAGTTAACTCTTAGTTTAAGCATCAATATAGTGGAAGCAGAAGGCAGTTAATGTGACAAACAGGTAACAAGTTAGTAAACCAATGGGGAATTTAAGAAATAAATTTATGTGAAAGATCTGATAGTAACAATAATTATCCATAGAGAGGGAGACAGAGGATCTCCCACAAACCAATAGCAGCAAGTAATCAATATCATACAAGATCCAGAATATGATATATATGTGGACCTTTTATGATGAGAACTTTAGAAAATAACAAGTACATCAAATATGAAAAAACAATCATACTCTCAATCTTCATATGGCTCTCGCATAGTCTACAAAGACAATCTTACATATAATACAACAGCATGTCTTGCGATCGAGAGAGAGTATCACTATCATGATTTGCTCTTGTTAATATGAAAGAGGATACTTGTGACAAAGTATACTTGTACAACTGTACATCTAGCTATGACATAGTGAATAAAAGAGTTACCTGTTGGCCATAGCCAGGGTTAAATTGTTGTACCGGTGCTTGCGTAACATTCTGCCAAGCTTGAGGTTGTACACCATAACTTGCCGTCCACTGATTTTGTGCAGTTGGATATGCACCCATAAGTGACTGTGCGGGTGAAGAAGCATCAGCGTAAGATTTTGCTAATTTTGTTTTATCTGAAGCTAGATAATCCTCTGCATGACGCTTTTTTAATTCAGACTTGCTCCTGTGGGGTAAGAAGAGCTTGGCATGTCGATCATCAGCCTTCTTAATAGATTGAACATCTCCAAACATACCCAAAAACTGCAAGAAATATTTGTAAGAAGAAGAAATATGAAAAGCATTCAACCCTTCCTGAACCAAACCTAATACCATTGTCAGGTGTTCATGCTGAATGCAAATTTAAAATCCGTCCCAAGATACACCATACATGCCTTTTTTTTCCCAAAAAAGCACAACCGATATTATTTAGTCCATCTATCAGCTAAATAAGTAGAAAGGGTAAAAAAGGGAGGAAAAAATGTGTTACCTCCAAGAAAATGCAAGATATCTCTTCTTTATCAGCAACACTTGCAGAATTGAGGCTATCTGAGTTGGGTGCTATAAACTTGTCAACTAATGAATCTATATAATCAATTCGCTTTGGCAGTGACTGAATTGACTCGTGATATATAAAAGCCTACACAATAAATAAACCAAAAGGCAAACAACAATTAGCTAAAAGAAAGCAAGATCGAAGCAACAGTTCACACAAGACAGAGAGAACAGACCTCAAGAAGTGGTTTTGACAATGGGGCATTCTCAAGTGCTTCAACTAGAATCTCTCTAGCCTTTTCTGCATTTCCAGAAACCTACCAACAAGGCATGAAAATCTCAAAAACCAGTTGCTTGACAAAGGGCATTTTAAATATATAGCACTTGGCAAATTGAACAAAAAAGGATCTTGGTACTCGAAGACATGGAAATACACAATTCAGGGACAATTCAATCTTTGAAGATATGATCTGATCCCATAAAAAAAAAATGCTAAGCAAGCATTGATGCTATAGAGACAAAATATATTGACAAATTACCCTATAGCTAGTGATTCATGATATGATGTTTTTAATTTTGACTCCATTAGTTTCATAAATTATTTTATCTGATCCCATCTTCAGAGAAGCAACCATAGTGGTCGATCCACAACAAACTCAAATACCTAAATTCTAATCATGAAAAGCCAAGGATAAAAGAGCACACAGATTGCTTAACTCAACTTACCAAATATACAAACCGAGAGTATTGTGCATATAACATTGGCAACACCTGTGAATGCTCTTTTCCTTTTTCAATGGCTATGGCCTGTTCATACAAAGAGAAGGCATCTTTGAGATTCCCCTGCAGAACAGAATAAAGAAACAAATTAAAATGTCTGGCATCTGTCTCACAATTGAAACCAGCTGATGTTCCATAACCGCAAGGCTTAATAGTAAAAACTTGCTGACATTATCTTACCAGCCGATGTTCCATGTTTGCATGCTTAACAACAGCTTCAAGAAGACCAGGAGCAATTTCAGAGTGTACAAGTTGGTATGCAGCCCGGGCACCAGGTATATCTCCACTCTGCTCTCTAAACCGGGCAGCAAAAAGGTGAATCTCTGGTTGTCTCTGTTAAGTTTTAGGGATACACAAACAAATCAAAACATGAGGAATCATAGGCATCTCCCCCAAAGCTGAAATATCAATCAGATTTTCCTTAATGGCAAATAAGCTTCAAAAGCATGAGATATTCAATAAAAAGTATAAACTGTAGCCTTATCACATGTACAAAAATCAACAAAAGTAGAAAGAAATAAGGAATATACGCTATATCTCACTTCCATTCCACAGAGTTGGGGCTATCAACAGAAAGCAGCACAGTACAACAACAAGCCTAAAACAAGAGACTGTGTTCTAGAACACAATTAGTAGATCCACACTGCCTAGCTTCATATACATCTCTTCTATTCCTGTCTGCTGAATCCAGCCCCTCAACAGCCCAGCCCTATCTTTGCATATGTTAAATTTAGGCCCACAATTTGCTGTTGTACAAGTGAACCAACCAACTAGCAATAATGAAATTTCCACATTTCCTCTTTCTTTTTCTTTATGCTATTCAGATCCATGTTTTGCAAGTTAACTTTTGTTTCAAATAACTGATTCACTTTCCCAGTAAAGCCTTGTAAAATGTGTTAAAATTAAACTATTTTGTAAATGTGAATATAGTGAAATCAAGCCAAATCTATCAAAATTAACACAAAAAGGCGAAAAGGTGACAGTTTGATGTCTAGTTAACTAATTGCGATTAAACAATAAAGATCCATAAATGCCATAACTGAATTCTGGAAATGGAATTTCATACCTTTACAAATACTTGAGTTGCACGAGCAAGTGCATTATTAGCAAGATCCATACTTCCACATGTTTCCATGCACAAAACATAACGTACCCAATACTCAGGATAATTGGCGCAAGCAATTAGGCATCTTTCATATAACTTGACCACCTGTTTCACAAAAAAAACATCATCAAAGACTGGAAAGCATATGAGAACCCTAGAATATATTAACAGAGAGGAAAACACAAAAGCACAAAGGAGATATGCATAAGAAGTACTCCATTCGAGAACAGAAAGGCCCCTCAAATAGGAAAGGAGGGACCCTCCTTGCCTGACAGATAGATGGTTAGGAAGACAAGAAGATACCTGCATGCATAACATGTGAATTTTAAGAAGACTAAAATCTCAACACATACATGAACCTAGAATGTCCACTGACAAATGAGAGTTTGAAGTACTTAGCCTTAAAGAAACCAAATCGAAGGCCCATGCTTTAGTCTCAGTTCAATTTCCCGTTTAAAAAGTTGCTTCATCCAACGGTTTAGCCAATAAAGCATATGATGCAGCAGATATTATTTAACTGTAAGTCAATATATAACAAGGGGAACTAAAAACTACGAACCACAAAAAATGTCAAGGATGGAAAGTAAACAAACCCAAATACCTTGTTCAAATCATCTTCTCTTTCTATAAAATCCAGATAGTTGTGCCAATTTTCAAGCTCTGCAACATTGAGGGGCCGCACGTGAAAGTAAGGCCTCCTAATAGCATTTTCAAAATCACATATCTTAGAATCGAACTCTTTAGCTTTCTTATATATCTCTTCTCTAATGGCGATATACTTCTCCAACTCCTCAGCTTCTGTTAAGCCCGCACTTACAGGTTTAGAAGATTGTTCAGCAGCATCAGGAAGAACTTCTCCCCCATTTGCTTGTCCACCAACCTCTGAAGTAGCAGGAACAGAAGCAGCAGCTTCCTCAACAGTTCTTAATTCCGACAGCGGGTGACTTGAACAAAAAGCTTTAAATCTGTAAGCCAGCACCAGACATGAAAAATTACAAATTATGTTACATAATAAAATTGATTGCACTATGCACATAAATCTGGTAATATTTATATATGGCCAAAAATCAAAGCCACTACATATCATAATATCAAAGAGCACACATAACAACAAACCAACCAACAAAATGAGGAGGAGAAAGGTTGAAGCTGGACAGCATTCATGCAAATATCAACAATTCTGAATGAAAATAGAACTTTCATACAGCATCTTAAGATTTCAAAATAATTACAAGTGCTGGAAATTAATCAACAGACACTTTACCAACCGGTGGTCAGATCCCATAACAAATTTGGCAAAGGTTTGAAGGATATATAAAGAATGCAAAAATCCTTCGGCAATATAGATCTGACCAAAGCATTCCATTAGATATAAAGAAACAGCATTCACAGCAGAGGAAAGAAAAACCATCAAGTCTGCATTATCTACCAACTAGAATCTATTAATTACAGAAATAAATGCATAATAAAATATTGAAACCTAATGCACAGCATGGATAAGCTTTAAACATTTGGGAAGATAAAACTAACAGTTTAAACTTGATAGTCCCTAGTTCAAAGGCTATTGCTTCTGCTCAACTGCTCATGCAAATGTCATCAGAGATTCGTTGACAATATTTTGAATAGAAACAATAAATCATCATATCAAGCAAACACAAAACAACCAATCTAGTTATTGACACATTTTACCACATAAAAAACCAGTATACCACACAATAATGGACAAACTGCATCAGATTCACATAAAACATTGCACAATTCAACAATCTAGTACAGGAAGCAAACAATTAAATGAGGATAATAAAACAAAAGGCTTACCTATTGAAATAATCATCCAAACGTTTATTTGGAATCTCTAATATCCTTGTGTAAATCATGGCAACATGGCTCCACTGTGAATGCATTTCTTCATATTCAATGTACTTATCCCAAAGAGGGTAAGACAGATAATCTGTTCCAACATAAGCTAAGCCACGCTCGAATAGCCTGATGCAGAAGAAAAATATTGGTAAGACATCAATACAGATGTAGACCATGCCAACATTGACACATCCATAAATGGGAGACACCAGCACTAATCTTGAAGTTGAAGGAACAATTCACTCTAACAGCATGACACTTCCAAACACTGCATTTACCTTCCTGAAAAAAATCATACTATGTCCGAAATGGAGCAGTGAATGAGGCCATCTTAGCCCTTAACTGAACGAGATCTTCCCAGCAGCATTTTGCATATTGATGCACCTCAGAGGGTCAAAGTTAAAAACAGCGATAATTCAAAAACAACTAAATTACTAGGACGTAGACCATCGGAGAAGGGAAGGTGTATAATGATCCCAGGGTAACAGATTTGACATCCTAAAAGAAAATCAAACAGCTACCAATAGAGTAGCCACAAAACCAAGGGTTTACACATCAGAAAATGCATTTCTAAAGAATTCCCATCACACCTTTCGCCATAATGTGAGCAATCGCTGTTGCAGGCATACTGAAATGATGTTAGAGAGGAACAAAATCACCAGATCCTTGTGACACAGGAAATCAAGCAATCATGATTCCAATGTTTACCAAAAATATCAATGTGTATATGAACAGCTATTACCTTCTAATGGTCTCTGGATCTTCATATGTATTTATGGCAAATACACAATAGTGCAACCAAATGTCCACAGAGTATGTCACCCCCATGACAGCTCGCTCATATACCTCCAGAACTTTGTCCATAGAACCAACACGTGCCTCATGATCTGCATACTTCTTCCAATAACCATAGCACAATGGGAATTCAGCCATGAATGCATCATATACTTTTCGAATTTTCGATATCTTATCCTGCACCAGATTTGGATAAAAATGTAAGCTTTGCAGAAAAATAGAGTCAGACACACACTTACACTCTCTTAAAAACAGCTGATTTTGTTACTAAAAATAAGTGTCTTAAAAGCCAATCAACTCAAACACTTCTGTAGAGAAAGAAAATTGGCAAAATTAATTATGAGCTTAGGTACTAGCAGTTCAATATATGTCTGAAAATCCATACCCCTGCCACCTTCTCTGTCTCATCAATCAAGGCAGTCCATGCATCAAAATCCAAGGAATTAGCCCTCACAATGCTCCACAATCGCTCCTCTTCACTGGACATTGGTGTCACTACAGAGACAGAGACAAATGAAACACCTAATAAATACTCAGCAAAAGCAAATCTGCAAAATTTCTGGTAAGACTAGAGACAGAGGGGTGGGATCAAGCTGGCAAAAAGCCCAATAAACAAAAAAATACAGTGCATAAAAAAGCACTAAATCATGGTGACACATCCACACACACACAGAGAGAGATAAGACTTATGTGTTGGAGTCAGTAAGCCAAATGTAAGCTTTGAGAAACTATTCCCATATTGCAAACCTGATGTCAGAAACTCTTAAGATAGTTTTCAATCATATTGTGCTCCACGACAATTGTTAAGGGCCCAATCAGAGGTCACAGAAATCTCGCTTATAACATATAAAAATCATTAACATGTAGAGGACATACCAGAACCATCCACGGAAGAATCAGCTTCCCCTGCAACATCTACAGCAGTACCATTCTCAGCCAATGTTACACTTCCTGCTTCACCACCAATATTGCCATTTATAGAAGAATCATAAGCAGCAGCTTGGGATGGCATCACAGATGTATTCTCCGTTGCACCAACATTATCACTGGCAACACCCATTCCATCATCTGTCTTGGCCTCATACGTTGCATCAACATGGGCCCCTTGTACAGTAGAATTAGATTCTGCACCATATGCATTTGCATCGGCAAAATTAGCAGCAGCTGCCGCACTATAAGCTGCATCAGCAGAAGCAGCAAAAGCTCCTGTGCCCTCAGCGGTATAAACAGCAGAATCAGGAACAAGGTTTGAACCTGTATCACCATAACCAGTAGAAACATATCCAGCTGATGCATAATCAGTGACTGTAGATGTTTCAGTAACGACCATCTCACTGTCTCCCATACTCAATCAAAGAACTTATATCTCTATAGTACAAGCTGCAATAGACAAATATCACACCTGCTCAGCAAAACATATAAAAAAGACCCAGTAAAAAGAAAAGCACTAGTAGCTCTCTCTCCCCATGCTCGAGAAAGATATACTTGAGCTCAGGATAGATTCAAGATTGAAAAACAAGCTTAACCTGAGCTTATTTAGAATTTGCATTTTTTTAAAAAACAAAATTGCTCCTTTACATGCTCATGCTCGACCTCATCTCATTAGACTTATTGAACAAGCTTTTTTCGAGCCAACCCTCTAGTAGCTTGGCTCATTTACAGCCCACTTCATTTCCCATTTTCTTGTTTTAAATTCATTGTAGTTTACCAAAAACAAACTCAAGGGAACCATTTCTTCATTAGGAAACTGAAAATTGCATTAAGCATAAACCTAAATATCTAGAAAAGATAACCAGAAAATTTAATTTAAGCATTTCAATCCAACAATAAAAATAACCATAAAGTTATTACTAATTCTCAATCTCCTACAGATTATAGTAAGTGCACAATTAATAATAGATGAATAAATTTAAAGCTAAAATCAGATCCAAAATTAAAGAATAAATAACTACGCAGTTGTAAACAATGAAGCGCAGTGCATAAACAACAAACCCTAATTAAAATGGTTATCGAGCTAACCCTAAGTGAACCGATGACTAAAAGCAGCAGAGAAGAGAGTGTGTGTGAGAGAGAGGGAGAGAAAGCGCAATGGCTAAGAACTTACCAGAGATAAAACGGGGTCGTTTAGGTTGCAGAGAGTTCGAGATTTCGCTTCGGCGTCTCCTAGACCAAGGTGGAGGAGGTCTCTTTTGGTTTGGTTTGGTTTGGTTTTTTTGGGGCTTCGTTTTTTTCTTTTGTTTTTTTTTGGTGGGTAACGCTAAATCGCAAACGCCAAGTGCAGTTTTTACATCGTAGACGTAGAGTACCGTAGTGTCGCTTTGCCCGTCAGTGGTTATGTTTTCAAGAGCTGTTGTTCAATCCGGACCGTCCAATCTTGATAAAGGTATTCCTATATCAAGTATTGACCCTTAGATTTTTTTTTTTTTAATCTACGGAGTGTATTTCATGGAAAAATATTTTCATAATCAGAGTATTAGTAAATGTAAGCTATTTGTCTTAAATTTACATTTTTATTAATAACATATTTTAGTTTTATTAAATGTAGAATTTCTTTGCAAATTTGATCATTTTTTACATGAACTGAATACTAATTTTATAAGATTAAAATTTTAATTTTTAAATAATGTTTTGAGATTAATAGATACACATTAAATTGGATATTACGAATAAGTTTTATAAAAAAATCACAAAATTTATTTTATACCAAACAAATTTTAATACAATATCATATTAATAGGTCGGAAGATTTGAACGAGGTGTAATAAATTAAGTTCTACTATTTTAGATCAGAACACTTTTATACCTTTATCGTATCAAAAACTGATAACAATTCAATTGTCGGAATTTATATTATTGCAATCTAATATTTCAAATTAATTTTGTTCATATATTTACCATGTAGAAAATGTTGAGAATGGAAAGTTTCGAATTCGAATTCTCTCCGCCATAAAAATTGCCATCAATTTAATAAATTATTCAACAAAATATTATGTCAGTTTATCAGATCTCTTATGTATAATACCTTTACTATATTTGAAAAAAGAGAAAATGTGAAAGGAAACAAAATAATGAAAATTTCCCTTCATTCAGAAAGAGAGAGAAAGAGGAGGAGAAACTTTTTTCTCTACATTGGAGAGGGAAAAAAAAATTTGAAAATAAATAAAATGGTAGATGAAAAATTATTTTATTTTTCTCCTATATTCAAAATACGGAATTTTTTTAAAAATAATTTTCCTTTTTCCTTATTTTTTTTCTCTCTTCTATTTTTTTCCCTCTCTAATCTAAATATAGAATAAAATACGAATACAATACTCATAATCATAATAAATGACTAGAAGAAACCCGAATGGAGTAACTCAATGGCAAAAATCATTTGCGGAGTTGATTACTATGACTTAGATTATGGGTTTGATCCTTCGCAATAAAAACTCCACCCGAGCTGGCCTTTTTGCCTCTGAGAACAAGCGGAGATTAGTTAGGTTTGACCTAGTCCACGGGAGGGGATTAGGTCAGTTATAATCAACAATTAAACAAAATGTTATATATATATATGTGTGTGTGTAATTTAGATGATAAAAAATAAACAAACGAAACAAAATCACAATTAAATTAAACAAATCAAACAACAAGAATAAGAGTTGGACATGAAACTTTTTGGTTATTTTGAAAGCTATCTCACATTATAGTAGATTGCATCAGTAAAAGCTTACTTCCTTCTTTTCCAATGCGATCTTCTTTCAGCTAACTTATAATAATGATTTATATTTTTTTAGTATTTTTTTTTCTGATCCAACCGCGTGTTTGGAATTAGAGTTAATTTTCCTTCGTATATTGAATTATGCAATTACATCTCACTCGTCGGGGTGATAGTTTTCTCATTTTCTAATAATTCATTAAATTGATAAAAAAAAATATTAATAAGAAAATTTAAATCCAAGATTTTCCACTTACTTACACCTATACAACACTTAATTGAATAACTAAAATGTCTTTTGAGAATATAAATAAGCATTTTAGAAAATATTAAGAATACATGGATACTCTTGTACAATTTTGAAGTCAAGATGCAAACATCAAAAATTAATAATAAAATATAGCATCTTAAATGTACAAGTATATGGGAGACTAAGATGGATTTTGCGATTGAAGTTATCAACCCTTGACCTTGCTTGAGAGTCCTTCGGATTTTGCAATTATGTTACTAGCAGTTGCAGCCTTCAAGTCACCTTTTCTCAAGTAGAGAGAGCTTTCTGCTGCTATAGCATGACTAGCACTTGCAGTGGGCTTGTTTTGAGTTTGCTTCTTCTTGGGTTCAGAATTGCATTTTCTCAGACCCAAAGATCTTTCTTTGCTTATCTTCATTCTATTTCCATTTCCAACCTTGAGATCATTAGCTGGGAACAAATTTAAAGAAAGCTCTGAAAACCAACCATGATAGAATATTAAAAATGGCAGAGATGAAAAAGATCCCATACCAGGACTAGATAAGACTGCCCGTGGGCGCGAAACGGAATGAGGTTTTTTCTTCTTCACTGTTAGAAAACTGGAAATTAGACTTCATTAGCATATCAGTAAATAGAAAAAAAGAAATATTCAATAATTCAACCTTTAGAAGCAGAGATTGGATTTGGTTGTGGTGTCAAGTTTGGGACATAAGGTTTTGTGATTCTGGCAATTAAATCTAGTGTATCACTTTGGTTCTCCTTTTCTGCAAGAAAAAACTAGAACTAAAATTAGTTTATCAATATCTGCTACAAAGAAATGCATAGAGAACAATGTGAAGTAATACCTTGAACATATGGAGATTCAGTGATCTCCAAGAAGAGTAAATCCGAGTTACCCTTCGGTGGAGAAAGATATTCAAGATCACCATCTTCTTCTCCTTCGTGTTTTCTGACTTTGACCCTTGGGTACACTTCAAAATCCAAAAGCAGCACAATAATTAAGAGTGATTAGTGAATGAATGAATAATTAACAGAAAAGAAAACAAAAAGCTTGAAATGAATGAAACTAAAGCAAAGAAAACATCTAACTTTTTGGTGTTTTCGTTTTGAAATAGAAATTCAAATGGCCTGGTTAGTTTTCAAGTACTATGAGCATATATGGATATGGTTGAGATAAAGCAAAAATATATACAGCTCGTGTCCGTGACTGAAGAAAATGCGTGGCTTTGAATCTTTAATGAGCTTTTTAAGTAGCAACGCTCACTAGAGGAACTGAAAAGTGCAATTAGTTCTCTGTGTTTCTTGACTTGAAAACAAAGAAGAGTGTGTTGTTCTTGGCCATGACACGTGAATATATAGTTGACAGTTTGAATTTTGAATCATGTTTGCGTTGCAGGGAGGGAACAATAACATGCTATTACTTATTTTTTTATTTTTTTTATTAATGTTTTCGTTTGACATTGTCTAGATTCTAGAAAGAAAGAAAATGTTATAATTTTAAGCTCGGGATTATAATTTACAATTACTTCCTCCGCTTTCAAAAAGACAGTACTTTTTCTATTTTCATTCAGATTAAGAAATAAGATGATATTAGTCGTATAATTTTCCTGTTAAATCCATCTTAAAAGTTCTAAAATCTGTCAGCGTAGGATAATGGAGTACAAAATTATTATTTTCTCGGTTACAGCACACACAAATTAGAATTTAAAAAGAAGAAGAAGGAGAAAATTGAAGCCTAAGTAAACTCCAAGTCTTTAAATATTCAAAAATCAGTCCACTAATCTCTGTCCACATTCACTTGCCAACAATTAACTCTATAAACTAATGTTCCTCTTTCACTCCACCAAGCTTTAATTATGCTTTCTGTTTCAACTTTCAACACTTTCAATATCTATGGCTACCCAGATTTTGTTTCTAGTTTTCTTTACAATTCTTTTCCTATTACCACCTCATTCTCTCTCGTCTTCAACAGCAGTTTGTTGTGGGGTCCCTCCGAGACGTGGGATCCTAGCAAGTTTGAACAAAAAAAAAAGGCACTATTTTTTTGGTTCAAAGAAGGAAGTTTAAACTAAGGAGAAATGGACGCGTGATTAACGTATCCACCCACCGGAGTTTTCTCTGCCGGGTTTTTCCCTGTCGGCGACAACGCTTACTTTTTTTCAATATGGTTTAGCAATGATTTCACCATTGTTTGGATGCCCAATCGTGACCCCCATTAACGGAAAAAATTCACAACCCTTTCTCCAGGAAAGTGGGAATCTTGTCCTAATACATGCAGATAAGTCAATTTCTTGGTCTACAAACACTATTTCTCTATCCTCCAGAACAGAGCTAATCCTTAATGACAATGGGAATCTTGTTTCACAAAATGTGAAAGGTGCTATTCTCTGGCGAAGCATTTATTCGCCTACTGATACTCTTTCTACCTTCACAAAAATTTACAAAAAATACGCAGCTTGTCTCATTAAGATCTAAAACAAAAATTTCTTCTGGTTTTTACGAGCTTTTTTTTAACAGCGATAACTTACTTCGTCTTTTATATGATGGTGTAGGAGACAAGCATTTACTGGCCAGCTCCGTGGCTAGTTAGCTGGGCAATAACAGGAAGGTTCACATATAACAGTACTAGACTTGCCTTTCTTGATTCTTTTGGCAAGTTTACCTTCATCTGATAATTTTTCTTTTCTTTCAACCGATTATGGAGAAATTGGATACCAGAGAAGGTTAACCATAGATTTTGATGGTAATCTTCGATTGTGCAGTAGAAAAGAAAATAGCAACACTTGGGACATTGCATGGCAAGCCTTGTCAGATTCTTGCCAAGTTCATGGAATTTGCGGAGCTAATAGTATATGCAAATATGACCCTTTTTCTGGTTGAACTTGTTCTTGTCTTCCAGGTTTATAAGGTAAAGGATTCTGCAGATTGGTCTAATGGTTGTGAACCAGAATTCAAGAATCTGCCATGTCGGAGTATTCCAGAATCTATGAATCATGGTTTTGTTAAGCTTTCCGATGTAGAGTTTTATGGATATGACTGTGTAGCCAATCCTGGGTACACATTGGAAATGTGTAAAGAATTATGTTTGAGCTTGTGTGTTTGCAAGGGTTTTGAGTACAGATACATTGGAGATGGTTTGTGGAGTTTGTTTTCTGTTGTGAAAAATATAAGACCAACTGTTATTCCTACAATGTGTTACATTAAAATGGCATTGTTAAATGGACATCGTTCACCAAGCTTTGATGGAGATTTTTCTGTAAAAGTTCCTAAAGACGGTCTCTTTTCTGGTAAAGAGGATGTTTTAGGATTTGGGTTAAATTCCTCAAGTGAAATTGTAAGGCCAATAGATAGAATATACACAAAAAGCAATCAGAATCAGAAATTGCTTTTGATGCTTTGGTTTAGTATTGTTTTAGGAGTAGTTGAGATTTTTATGATTTCTTTAGTTTGATGTTTTTTAAATAGTACAATGAAGCTGCTCAAGGGTATAACCAAATAGGTGGATTTAAGAGATTCACTTATCAAGAGCTGAAGAAAGCAACAGCAAATTTCAAAGTGGAAATTGGAAGAGGAGCAGGAGGAATTGGTTTCAGAGGAAGATCATCTGATAATTGAATAGCGGCAATCAAAAGACTTAATATTTCTGATGATCAAGGAGAAGCTGAATTTTTAGCAGAAGTAAGCACCATTGGGAAACTTAATCACATGAACTTAATAGAAATATGGGGTTATTGTGCTGAGAAAAACCACGGACTTTTAGTTTATGAGTACATGAAGCATGGCTCATTAGCAGAAAATATGTCCTCTAAGGACCTTGATTGGAGAAAAAGATTTCAGATTGCTGTAGTCACAGCAAGAGGAGTTGCTTATTTACATAAAGAATGCTTGGAGTGGATCCTACATTGTGATGTAAAGCCTCAGAACATGTTACTGAACTCTAATTACTAACCAAAAGTTTCTGATTTTGGGTTGTCAAAGCTACTGAATAGAGAAGAAATGAGCAACTCAAGCTTTTCAAGAATGAGAGGAACCAGAGGCTACATGGCTCCTGAATGGGTATTTCAATCTACCGTTTACATCAAAAGTTGATGTTTATAGCTATGGCATTGTTGTTTTGGAGATGGTGACAGGGAAGAGTCCAACGATGGAGGAGAAGACAGGACTGGTCACATGGGTAAGACAGAAGAAAAATGGAGGGGAGACAGGGATTGATGAGATTATAGACCCTAAATTGGTGGGAGAATATGATAGAAGTGAAGTGGAAATTCTTGTGACATTGGCTTTGCAATGTGTTGAAGAAAAGAAAGATGCAAGACCCACCATGAGCAAAGTTGTTGAGATCCTTCTGCACAGTCAAAATTATGTTTAGGTAATCAGAGGAATCGAATTAAGAACACTAATTTGGCCTTACTTAAACTTTGTTTTTCTTTATTTCAGGTTTATTTGTATAATAATTTGATATGTACAGTGTTTTTTATTTAAAAATAAAAGTTTCCAGCTTTGCTTTACTCATTACTTTAGTGATTAGAGTTTGACGTGTAGTAATCTTTGGTTTATGGCTCTGTGCCTCTAAAAAAATCATTATTTCTTATATTTTCAATGGAAAATGGAAATTAAACATTTTTCTCCTCATTTTCCATTTAAAAGTAATTTTCATTAATTTATAATCTCCATCATTAGACCAATCAAGCTAAAGATTAACTATTATTAACTGTTTAAAACAAATGATAATAAGCAAACTAAATCTTACAAATTAGCTCAAAGGTAAAATAGGTTTAAGTTAAGTGAATTGCTTATACAAAATCACGAATTCACGATTATTAATCCTGAAATGAGATTAGTCTCGTATATCAAAATAAATAAATAAAAAGGTGTGAGATATTCAATAGGAAATAAAATAATAATAATAATCTAGCAAACTAAATTTGTTCACAATAATCTTATAAATTGGAAACTTTTATAATTATTACAAGTATTTCATATCTTGACTATTCTTATTTTGGGTTTCTTGGCAGTCCGGTTCTATTAAACTAAAAATTATATCAAAATCACACAATGGCATTCGAAACAAAATAAATTAAGTACATCCTCAATAAATTTTTTTTAAAAAAAAACTTTTTAATTACATTTTCTGAGGTTCCACTGGTTCTCCTTTCTATCTTCACATATCTACCCTTGTTGCTGTTGGTCAAAAGCGGCCGGTGGGAAACTTCTTCCAACTAACTTAAAAATCTTTAAATATTCAAAAACCTTAAACTTTTCTACGTACCTATCTTTTATTACCTCTGATAATCTCTATATATTAGTATTACCAAAGCCTATTTTTCATTATAATCTCAGAAGCTAAGCTTCTGCTTAGTGCTAATTCAACTTTCAATTTTCAACCAAGTTCAGTAATATATATGGATACCGTTATGTTCTTGAATGTTTTGTCAGTGATTATCCTCATATCATCTCATTTTTCGTATCCATCACCTGATTCTTCCTTGAAGGAAGGGTCAACTCTCTCAGTGAGGGAAGTTTTGGTTTCACCAACTGAAGTTTTTTCTGCTGGGTTTTTCCCTGTCGGCGACAATGCTTACTGTTTTTCTGTATGGTTCAGCAAACCTTCCTGCAGTATTAGCAGTGATTGCACCATTGTTTGGATGGCTAATCGTGATTTTCCAGTTAATGGGAAAAGATCAAAGCTTTGGCTCCAAGAAACCGGAAATCTTGTCTTAACTGATGGTGGTGATACTGATAAGTCCATTGCTTGGTCTACAAACACTGTTTCACTCTCCTTCACCACAGAGCTAATCCTTTATGACACTGGCAATCTTGTTCTGCATCAGTTGGACGGTGTTGTTCTTTGGGAGAGCTTCAATTCACCTACTGATACCCTTCTTCCTTTGCAACGATTTACCAAAGATATGTGGCTTGTCTCATCAAGAACTCGAACAAATAATTCGTCTGGTTTCTACAAGCTATTTTTTAACAACGACAATCTTCTTCGCCTTTTGTATGATGGTCCAGAAGTTACCAGTATTTACTGGCCATTTCCATGGCTTGTTAACTGGGCAACAGATAGATACCCCTACAACAGTAGTAGAATTGCCTTTCTTGATACTTTAGGCAAGTTTATTTCATCTGATAAATTTTCTTTTCTATCAATAGATTATGGAGTAAGACTTCAGCGAAGATTGACACTTGATTTCGATGGTAATCTTCGGTTGTACAGCCGAAGAGAGAATAGCACAACTTGGATGGTTTCTTGGGTAGCCTTGTCTCACCCTTGTCAGATTCATGGAACTTGTGGACCCAACAGTAAATGCTCTTATGATCCAGTTTCTGGAAGAAAATGTTCTTGCCTTCCAGGTTATCAGCAAAAAAATTCCGCTGATTGGTCTTATGGCTGCAAACCCAAGTTCAATATCTCCTGCGACAATCCTACAGGATTTAAAAATCAGACTCGTTTTATTAGGTTCCCCCATATGGAATTTTATGGGTATGATTATGGAGTCTATCCTGGTTACACATTTAAGATGTGCAAGGAATTATGTTTGAGTTTGTGTGAGTGCAAGGGTTTTCAGTATAGGTACGTCGGAGATGGTCTATGGAATTTGTTTTCTGCGATGAACAATATAAAGCCTACTGTAATTCCTACTTTGTGCTATCCGAAGCTGTCATTGTTAAATGGGTATCGTTCACCAAGCTATGATGGAATGTTCTATCTGAAAGTTCCAAAAACTAGCATGTCTTCTGATGAAGATGATGTTGCAGGTGAATTTGGATTAAATTGTTCTGGTGAGCCCACCATAAAACTGGACAGAAGATACACAAAAGGCAATCAGAATGAAAAATTGGAGTTGCTGCTTTGGTTTGCTATTGTTTCAGGAGCAATCGAGATCATTGGGATTATTTTTGTCTGGTGTTTCTTGAATAGTTTCCATCATCATGGCTCAAATGAAGCCACTCAAGGATACCAACATGTTGCTATAAATGGCTTTAAAAAATTCACTTACTATGAGCTAAAAAGAGCAACAGCAAATTTCAAAGTGGAAATTGGAAGAGGAGCAGGAGGAATTGTATATAAAGGAACACTATCAGATAATCGTGTTGCAGCAATTAAAAGACTTATTCTTGCTGATGATCAAGGAGAAGCTGAGTTCTTAGCAGAAATAAGCTCAATTGGTAAGCTTAATCACAAGAACTTAATAGAAATGTGGGGGTATTGCGCAGAAAAAAAGCACAGACTTCTAGTTTACAAGTACATGAAACATGGGTCCTTATCAGAAAATCTCTCCTCTAAAGCACTGGATTGGGACCAGAGGTTCCAAATTGCCTTAGGCACAGCAAGAGGACTTGCTTATTTACATGAAGAGTGCTTGGAATGGGTTTTACATTGTGATGTGAAGCCTCAGAACATATTATTAGACTCTAATTACCAACCAAAAGTTTCAGATTTTGGCTTATCCAAGCTACTAAACAGAGGGGACAAGAACAACTCAATCTTCTCAAGAATAAGGGGAACGAGAGGTTACATTGCTCCTGAGTGGGTTTTGAATCTACCCATCACATCAAAAGTGGATGTTTATAGTTATGGGATTGTGGTGTTAGAGATGGTGACTGGGAAGAGTCCTGCAATGGGAGCGAGTGGAACTAGTAGAGTAGAAGACGAGCAGAGCGGACTTGTGGCATGGGTGATGGAGAAGAAAAATGGAGGAGAGTCATGGATTGAAGAGGTCATAGACCCAAAAATGGAAGGAGAATACAATAGAAGTGAAGTGGAATTACTGGTGACGTTGGCTCTGGAATGTGTGGAAGAAGACAAAGATGCAAGACCCACCATGAGCAAAGTTGTTGAGATTCTTGTAGATCGCCCTCAACACTACCTGTAGCTAGTAAGAGACACCAAACTGAAGTACCAAACTTCAATTTATAGATTCTATTAGCTTCTTCTTCTTCTTCGGTATCCTTTTTTTTTTTTTTGATGAATTCCTAGAGACCGTGTTAAGGTTTTCATGAATACATTTATTGAGAAATGGATGGTTATTTTGATTCATCATTTTTAACGCCCCTTTAACTTTTATATACAGATCGATTAAATACTTTAAATTATAAAATTATATATATTAAACGTTTTAATTGATAAAATTATTTTATTAGATATTTTAATTTATAAAATTACATTAATTTATAAAATTAAATTAATTAAAGATAAAATTAAAAATTTTAATTTATAAAATTAAATTAATTAAAGATAATTAAAAAAGTGTAAAATATTATTATTTTAAAAATTATTTTGTTAATAAATCAATATTTTATATATAAAAATAAAAAATTTTAAAAAATGTTATTTTTTAGCAGGAAAAGTATACAATATTACTACAGGGCCACGATAATTTTTCCTCGAAATTGGAGGTGGCAAATGATTAAAGTAATGAAGTGCGAATTTATTAAAGAAAAGAAATAGCACCCAAAAAAGAAAATGGCTGTCAATCAAAACTAGGTACTAGACAGTACTATATGCTGCCATTTCATAAAGCAAAGGATTAACCTAACGTTAAAAATGCGTTGCAATGTTGCGACTTTTTATTTTTTCTTAGAATTTTTCGTCAAGATGCACATTGATGTACTTAACTTAACCCCTCATGGCAAAGAGTAAAGTGGGAAAGAAAGAAAAAGAAATGGGAAACCATTCCTCCTGGCACCTCAGCCCCTGTACAATGATCACGTGGAACATGAAATTCAGACTGAAAATCAGGAAATAATGGTGATCAAGACAATTATGTATAGAATTAAATATTAATCTTCAACTTACCCTTTGAAAAATCTCTCTCTATATATATAGTAATTCCCATTTTCTCAATAATCTAACAGAGGCTAATTAAGCTTCAGCTGCCTTCTGTTCTTTCAACTTTCAGCAAGTTCAATATCTATGGATGTCCATATTTTGTTGCTTGTTTTGTCCCTGATTATTCTCATATCATCACCCCATTTTTCCTCTTCTTTAGTATCTAATTCTTCCTTGAAGAAAGGCTCATCTCTCTCCGTGGAGGATATATTGGTTTCACCAAGTGGAGTTTTCTCCGCTGGATTTTTAAGAGCTGGTGATAATGCGTACTACTTTTCTATATGGTTTAGCAAACCATCTTGCACTACTGCCGACGATTGCACAATTGTTTGGATGGGTAATCGTGATTTCCCAGTTAATGGGAAAAGATCAAAGCTTTGGCTCCTAGAAACTGGAAATCTTGTCTTAATTGATGGTGGTGATAAGTCCATTGCTTGGTATACAAACGCCGTTTCAAGAAGTGCCCCATCGGAGGTAATTCTGTATGACAGTGGCAATCTTGTTTTGCAAAATATGGAAGGTGCTATTCTTTGGCAAAGCTTTGATTTCCCTACTGATACTCTTCTTCCTCTGCAAAATTTTACCAAAAACATGCAGCTCGTCTCATCAAGATCTAAAACAAATTTTTCTTCTGGTTTTTACAAGCTTTTCTTTAACAACGACAACTTACTTCGTCTTTTATATGATGGCGTACAAGACACAAGCATTTATTGGCCAATTCCATGGCTTGTTAGCTGGGCAATAAAAGGAAGGTTCGCATATAACAGTAGGAGATTTGCTTTTCTTGATTCTTCAGGCAAGTTTACTTCATCTGATAATTTTTCTTTTCTTTCAACGGAATACGGAGAAACTGGATTTCAAAGAAGATTGACTATTGATTTTGATGGTAATCTTCGATTGTACAGTCGAAAAGAAAATAGCAACTCCTGGGTTGTTGCATGGCAAGCCTTGACGCGACCTTGCGAAGTTCATGGAATTTGTGGAGCAAATAGTATGTGCAAATATGACCCATTTTCTGGTAGAAAATGTTCTTGTCTTCCAGGTTATAAGGTAAAGAATTCTGCAGATTGGTCAAGTGGTTGTGAACCAGAAGTTCCAGAAATCAAGAATCTGTCATGTCAGAGTATTCCAGAATCCAGAAATCAAGTTGGTTTTATTAAGCTTACCCATGTAGAGTTTTATGGATATGACTATGCCATCAATCCTGGTTACACATTTCGAATGTGTAAGCAATTATGTTTGAGTTTGTGCGAATGCAAGGGTTTTGAGTACAAATACGTTGGTAATGGTTTGTGGAATTTGTTTTCTGCTGTAAACAACATAAGACCAACCACTTGGCCTACAATGTGTTATATTAAGATGGCATTGTTAAATGGGCAACGCTCACCCAGCTTTGATGGGGATTTTTATTTAAAAGTTCCTAAAAATAATCTCTTCTCTAAGAAAGAGGAAGTTTTAGGATTTGGGTTAAATTGCTCAAGTGAAATTGTAAGGCCAATAGATAGAATATACACAAAAAGCAATCAGAACGAGAAATTGCATTTGCTTCTTCGGTTTGCCACTATTTTAGGAGTAGTTGAGATTATTGGGATCCTTCTTGTTTGGTGTTTCTTGAATAGTTCTTTCCATCATCAACACTCAAATAATGAATCTACTGCTCAAGGCTATCAGACAATAACTGGATTCAAAAGATTCACTTATTCTGAGCTGAAAAAAGCAACAGCAAATTTCAAAATGGAAATTGGAAGAGGAGCAGGAGGAATTGTATACGAAGGAACACTATCAGAAAATCGGGTTGCAGCAATTAAAAGACTTAATTTTGCTGGTGATCGAGGAGAAGCTGAATTTTTAGCAGAAGTAAGCGCTATTGGGAAACTTAATCACAAGAACTTAATAGAAATGTGGGGGTATTGTGCAGAAAAAAAGCACAGACTTTTAGTTTACAAGTACATGAAACATGGGTCCTTATCAGAAAATCTTTCCTCTAAAGCTCTTGATTGGCAAAAGAGATTCCAAATTGTGGGTCCTTATCAGAAAATCTTTCCGCTCTAAAGCTCTTGATTTGGCAAAAGAGATTCCAATGCCATAGGCACAGGCCAGAACTTGCTTATCTTCTCCATGAAGAGGTGATTGGAATGTGTTTTAACATTGTTGATGTGACCTGAAAAACATATTACTTAGACTCTAATACCAGCCAAAGGTGTCAGATTTTGGATTATCAAGCTACTAAATAGAAGAGATAAAAATCCAAGCTTTTCTCAAGAATGGAGGAACTAGAGGTATACATGGCTTCCCTGAATGGGTTTTGAAACTAACCCATTACTCCAAAAGTTTGATGTTTACAGGCTATGGCCATTGTTGTTTTGGAAGATTGGTGACAGGGAAGAGTCCAACAATGGAAGAACAAGACAGAATCTTGGCGACATGCGTTGAGAGAGAAGAAAAATGGAGGCGAGTCATGGATTGAAGAGATTTTGACCAAAGTTGTTAGGAGGAATATGACAGAGACGAAGGTTGGAAATTCTTGTGACATTGCTCTGCAATGTGTGGAAGGAAGGACAAAGATTCAAGGACCCCCATGAGCAAAGTTGTTGAGCTCTTTTCTGCGCAAAACCGTCAACACTAAGTCTAGCTATGGTAGTCTGCGAGAGGAACCTTTGGAGATGGTGACAGGGAAGAGTCCAACAATGGAAGAAAAGACAGGATTGGCGACATGGGTGAGAGAGAAGAAAAATGGAGGCGAGTCATGGATTGAAGAGATTTTAGACCCAAAGTTGGTAGGAGAATATGACAGAGACGAGGTGGAAATTCTTGTGACATTGGCTCTGCAATGTGTGGAAGAAGACAAAGATTCAAGACCCACCATGAGCAAAGTTGTTGAGACTCTTCTGCGCAACCGTCAACACTAAGTCTAGCTTGGATAGTCATGGAGAGGAACCTAACTAAACTTTGGCCTTATCTAGGATTTTTCTCTTTTTAATTTTTTGGCCTGGTAGAATTCTGTTTGATTTGTGTAAATTAATGGATGATTTTCCTTTCAATCCTGTTTAATTTGAATAATTTAATGAGGTCTTCCAAAGTTGAAAAAATTAGAATTTTTTCTAATGTGGTATCCATGTAAAGCTACATGCAATATTTAAAAAAAAAAAAAATAACGTTTTGATTTGATCTTATGTTGTTTGTACTATGATTTTTTTTTTTTTAAAAAAATACAAATTAAATTTCATAGATTGGCTTAATTAGCTTATCTTTACTCATTTTGAAACAGGAGTCATTGTTAACGAAAAGCTTGTAAAAACCAGAAGAATAATTTTTGTTATATCTTGATCAGGACAAGCTGCATGTTTTTTGTAAATTTTTGTGGAGAAGGACAGCAGTTGGAGAATCAATGCTTTGTCAAAGAACAACACCTTCCACTTCCACATTTTACAAAACAAGATTGCCATTGTCATCAAGGATATGGCTGTCTTGGCGGAGAGAGAAATAGTGTTTGTGGACCAAGGATTGACTTATCTGCGTCTGTTAGGACAATATTTCCACCTTCCTGGACAAAGATTTCTGAATTTTTTTTCCCTTAATGGGGAAACCAAGATTGCCCATCCAAACAATTGAAGTCTTGTCTTGCATAGAGTGGACCTAGGTTTCGAAGAAGAGAAAGAATTAGGTGGTAATAGGAAAAAATTGGAAAGAAAATATGGGTAGCCATGGATACTGAAAATGTTGAAAGTTGAAACAGAAGCAGAAAGCTTGGAGATTGAAAGATGAACATTAGTGTTCGTCTAATCTAAGAAGCTAAGCTAAGCTAAGTTACACTATTTGTAGCTAGAAGAGTATTTGAATTATCTAACACCAGTTTGGCCACCATTTTTGAAATACCTAACACCAATTTGTTCTTATTTAGCCTTTTCTTCTTTTGATTTTCTTTTTAGTTTCCATGTACACACATATTTGTATCTTCAATCTTGATTTTGACATTAAGGTTATTTTTATGCATGACCGGTGTTACTTAATTCGGTGATTTGGCCCTGTACCGCGATTTTGAAATATTGCACCCAAACGTCATACAGACGCGTACCAAAACACAAAAATTAGCCATACAGACGTATACCAAAACACCAAAATTAGCGAATCGGCCGTTATAGATACTTAGAGTCAAAATTTTAATTAAATACCTTTAAATATTAGATTTTTAATTATATTAGTTAATCACTTAACATATTTAATAGATTTTTAAATTCACTAAATAATAAAATAATTAATATACTAAACAAATTTTCCTCTTTGATAGAATTTTAAATTTCAAAATAGTTAAATTTAATATACCCACATAGTGCACCACGAATAGCAAATTTTAAAAAATGACATACGGTATCCATATCTGTACCGCGAATCATAGCGACTCAAGTGATACTGTGCATGACACAGCACCTAGGAAGGTTCTTACAAGTAAACTTAAAGTCTTTAATAAATATTTAAAATTTTTTTTTTCTCTGTCCACATTTACCTGCTAAGTGGCTCTTTGATACTTAATTATGTTTAGTATTATATATACTAATTTCCGTTTTCACTATCACCTATCACAGGCTTAGCTTCTGATTATTACTCTTCCAACTTTCAACAAGTTCAATATCTATGGATGCCTATATTTTGTTGTTTGTTTGGTCTCAGATTATTCTCATATCATCACTTTTCCCCTCTTCTTCAGTATCTGATTCTTCCTTGAAGGAAGGCTCATCTCTCTCTGTAAATGATATTTTGGTTTCACCAGGTGGAGTTTTCTCTGCTGGATTTTTTCGAATTGGCATCAATGCTTATTGCTTTTCTATATGGTTCAGCAAGCCATCTTGCACTACTGCCGATGATTGCACCATTGTTTGGATGGCCAATCGTAATTTCCCAGTTAATGGGAAAAGCTCAAAGCTATGGCTCCAAAAAACTGGGAATCTTGTCTTAACTGATGGTGGTGATACTGATAAGTCCATTGCTGGGTCTACAGACACCAATTCACTAGCCTTGTCGGAGGTAATCCTGCATGACACTGGCAATCTTGTTCTGCAAACTTTGGAGGGTATTGTTCTATGGCAAAGCTTCAACTCACCAACGGATACCCTTCTTCCCTTGCAACAATTTACCAAAACTATGAAGCTTGTTTCATCAAGAAGCAGAACAAATTTTTCCTCTGGTTTCTACAATCTCTTCTTCAACAATGATAATCTACTTCGTCTTCTATATGATGGTCCAGAGTTTACCAGCATTTATTGGCCAGCCCCCTGGCTTGTTAACTGGGCAACAGACAGATTTCCATACAATAGCAGTAGACTTGCATTTCTTGATGTTTTAGGCAAGTTTACTTCATCTGATAATTTCTCTTTTATAGCAGCAGATTATGGAGTCAAACATTATCAGCGAAGATTAACAATAGATTTTGATGGTAATCTTCGAATGTATAGCCGAGAAGAGAATAGCTCAACTTGGAATGTTTCATGGCAAGCTTTGTCTTCACCTTGCCAGATTGATGGAATTTGTGGACCTAACAGTAATTGCATCTATGATCCATTCTCTGGCAGAAAATGTTCTTGCCTTCCAGGTTATAAGGTAAGGAATCCTGCTGACTGGTCTTATGGTTGTGAACCCATATTCAACAGTCTCTCCTGTGGCAATAATGTCACAGATCAAGTTCGTTTTATTAAGCTCTCTCATGTCAATTTTTATGGATATGACTATGCAGTCTATCCTGGTTACACCTTCGAGATGTGCCAGAAACTGTGTTTGAGTTTGTGCAATTGCAAGGGTTTTCTGTTCAGGTACATTGGAGACTACAGCCTGTGGAATCTATTTTCTGTAATGACAAATATCAAGCCCACTGCTATTCCTACTTTATGCTATCCCAAGTTTTTACTGTTAAATGGGTACCGGTCACCAGGTTATGATGATGATTTCTATCTAAAAGTCCCCAAAACTAGTCCTTTTTCTGACAAGGAACATGTTTCAGGATTAATTGGGTTAAATTGCTCTGATGAAGAAATTGTCAGGCCACTTGACAGAAAATACCCACTTACCAATCAGAATGAGAAATTGCAGTTGCTTCTTTGGTTTGCCACTATTTTAGGAGTAGTTGAGATTATTGGGATCCTTCTTGTTTGGTGTTTCTTGAATAGTTCTTTCCGTCATCAACACTCAAATAATGAATCTGCTGCTCAAGGCTATCAGACAATAACTGGATTCAAAAGATTCACTTATTCTGAGCTGAAAAAAGCAACAGCAAATTTCAAAATGGAAATTGGAAGAGGAGCAGGAGGGATCGTATACAAAGGAACACTATCTGACAATCAGGTTGCAGCAATTAAAATAATTAATTTTGCTGATGATCGAGGAGAAGCTGAATTTTTAGCAGAAGTAAGCGCTATTGGGAAACTTAATCACAAGAACTTAATAGAAATGTGGGGGTATTGTGCAGAAAAAAAGCACAGACTTTTAGTTTACAAGTACATGAAACATGGGTCCTTATCAGAAAATCTTTCCTCTACAACTCTTGATTGGCAAAAGAGATTCCAAATTGCCATAGGCACAGCAAGAGCACTTGCTTATCTCCATGAAGAGTGCTTGGAATGGGTTTTACATTGTGATGTGAAGCCTGAAAACATATTATTAGACTCTAAATACCAGCCAAAGGTGTCAGATTTTGGATTATCAAAGCTACTAAATAGAGAAGATAACAATCCAAGCTTCTCAAGAATGAGAGGAACTAGAGGTTACATGGCTCCTGAATGGGTTTTGAAACTACCCATTACTTCAAAAGTTGATGTTTACAGCTATGGCATTGTTGTTTTGGAGATGGTGACAGGGAAGAGTCCAACAATGGAAGAAAAGACAGGATTGGCGACATGGGTAAGAGAGAAGAAAAATGGAGGCGAGTCATGGATTGAAGAGATTTTAGACGCAAAATTGGTAGGAGAATATGATAGAGACGAGGTGGAAATTGTTGTGACATTGGCTCTGCAATGTGTGGAAGAAGACAAAGATTCAAGACCCGCCATGAGCAAAGTCGTTGAGACTCTTCTGCACAACTGTCAACACTATCTCTAGCTTGGCTAGTCATGGAGAGGAACCTAACTAAACTTTGGCCTTATCTCAGGATTTTTCTCTTTTTAATTTTCTGGCCTCGTAGAATTCTGTTTGATTTGTGTAAATTAATGGATGATTTTCTTTTAATTCCTTTTTTTTTTTTTTTGAAAGATTTTAGTAATTTAATGAGATATGCCAAAGTTGAAAAAAATTATAAATTATTTCTAAAAAAAAGAAAAAAATTACAAATTTATTTCTTAATTTTCTTAACCTGTAGCCAATCCTGTTTACACATTAATTTTTTTTAAAATGGACCGTACGGTACAAGACTACAAGTCACGACAAGTACAAAAACAGCAGCGTTTAATTACTGTTTTACAAACCCTCATCATCGCTCTTGAGAATCCTCCTAACATAAAATTTTAACGCTTGACGCTTCTGTTAAACACTGATGGCGTCGCAATCGAGAAAGGGCGGAGTATCGCTGCCGGCGAAGCGAGCGTCCAAGTCGCAAGCAGAGCCCACTATCCTCGCCAAGTTCACCAACTCCGAAATCGTCGCGAAAGGCAAGCAAGTTGCCAGCGACACCGTTTTCGTCACCAAGAAACTCCTTCAGAGCACCGGAAAAGCCGCTTGGATTGCTGGAACCACCTTCTTAATCCTGGTGGTGCCTCTTATTATCGAGATGGATCGCGAGCAGCAATTGACTGAACTCGAGATCCAGCAACAAAGCCTCCTTGGAGCCCCGCCCGTTGGCCTGCCCCAAAAGTAAAACAATAGTGAATTGGGTCAGGTTAGAGATACTCTTATTGTTATGTGATTTGTAGTATCTATTTTTAAGGATTGAGATTTTTGAGCTACATTAATCCATTGTTGTTTGGTCCCTTTTAGTTTTGTAGGTTTTGCTTTCAATGCGCAACGTAAAATGGATTTTTGCGATTTACAACATGTTTGTGAGATTTTTTGCTGTTAGTTTCTGATTATTAAGATCCTCTTTTTGGGCAAATCTATGAATGCTGCTTTTTGCTTGTTATTTTTTCGTGGAGGATGGTTAATTTGGATACAAAGGGGAATGAAGTTAACGTATCATTGATTAAATTGGAAACTTTGTCACATTAGCGAACCATATTTGAAGTCGATGTGTTTATATAACAAAATGTCGGATATGCAGTTATTTCAGTTGATGATTTCTTGTTTATCCCTTGGTTAGAATTTGAAATGTGGGTGTTGTGGATGCTGGAAGGTGTGATTAGCTGACATTTATGGGATTAAAGCTCCCTGAGTTGGTATTTGAGTAACATATATATAGTTTACGAGAAAATTTTGTTAAGTCCTAGTTTGGTTGTTCTTGAACCAAGTGAAGATGACTAGATGAGTTCTTGATTTAGGGAATGCAGCTTAAAGCAATTTTTTATGTTCTCTTACAAGGATTCATAGTCATGTGTAATGTGAAAGGTTGGAATGCTTATTTTGTGAGATAAAATTTCTTTTTAGGCAAGTTGGGGTTACCCTTTGTTTGGGAGAATATACAGATATAGACACATTGTCGCGCACATGGCACACCTGTGTTTTCATTTTGAAGAAGCTGGGTTGTCATTATTAGACTGACTGGTTTGCTGTTTGAAGATTGATAATGTTACAATTTATTTAATTAATTGTTTGGAGTGAAAATTGTAATTTTTGTTCTGTAATGTAAAGCCTGCTGTTACAACAGGTCTGCTTGTGGGATTATGTAGCAGTGTGTGTTTAGCTTGAGTGTTTAAGTGACATAAGCATGGTTTATAGGTAGAAGCTAAGTGTGGTTAAGGTATAAGCTATAATCTGTTTTTGTACCTCATATAATGTAGTTAACTCTATATAAGCACTAAAATAATTTGAAGGTTCATTTTACAGAACCGTTCTCTTTATTGTAAATTAGTTTCATGAACTACCAATTCTCAACATTGTCATTTTGTATCTGGAAATATGTGTTTAATGGTTAAATGGTGCCTTTTAGTAGCTTTTGCTCAAGGATTTGGTTTGTTTTTAAGATTAGTTCAGGCCTGCAATAAAACTTCGATTCTGAATGGTGAAATATGAGGGGAGTACCCCTGGCCATGCCAATATAGATAATCTACTCAATAAGGTTACACGAAGGTACAGATTGAAAGATAATGATCCATTGATGTAGGAATAACTTTACCAGCCAGCTTACAAATGCTTTATGGTGGGCAAATTCAAACAAATGTTGAGTTTTAGGGTTTAGATTTTTAGATAAGGAGAAAGAAGAGTTGGGAATTAAAGTTGCCCTAATTGGAGAGAGAAAAAGGACATCGGAGAGAGAAAAAGGACAGAAATAGAGGCTGTAAATAGTATACAAGGTCTGTAGTATGAGAGGATCCAATTTAGAAAATATCAAACTTGAGTACATAGAATACCTGATGAGTGCATAGTAGTGTTAACGTGGTTTTTGTCCATGTTACAAAGTTATATTACAAGACACTTGTTAGGCAAAAGCTTATTGATCCAAATTAATTAGCAAAATTATATGATCGGCGCTCATCCAATACTAAAATGTTGAACTTGCTTATGCTAGGTAATAATACTAAAATGGGATTTCAAAGACCTTTAAAAGAAATTGAAGCACTAGGTTATCTTGTCATCATATAAACATATAAAAAAGTAAAGTAGAAGACTGTTAATTACCTGCTATGGCTTTTATTTGATAAGCTACTGCTGTGGAATTCATCCTATGTGATTTTAATTCTTCACTGGGATTTGGAAAATCCTCTGCCCTGACATGTTTTAAGTTTCTAAAACTAAATTGTCATTAGCTTCACTTGTTAGACCTGCAATTTTTGGTGAAGGTATTTTCAGTTGATCGGTTTGGTGTATTAGTTCTTACAAATAAGCATCAAAAGTTCCTTCATTTTGCGGTGGGACAGGCAATTTGGTTAGTAGTTATTTGACAAGTTTTGTTATTGCATATCTTATACTTGGCAAAGAATAAAATAACCAGTGGGAAATCTACATTGGAGAATTGATAATTTGTGTGTCAATTGAATATAATGTCCATGTCAACTTTCAAAATTGAGGAATTCAATTTGTGCAAGGTAATTTCTGAAACTAATTGCAATTTGCAAAACACACTTCTTTAGATTCCTTTGGTGTAGTGATGATAAAGACACGTTACTAGCACATTTTAGGCTATTAATTGGATGTACAATCTATTTGAATCTTCTTTATTTGCCTTGTAATAAAGAAAGAAAATAGAAACTTTATACGTGTTTCTTCTAGCTTAGCTATTAAGAATACAATAGTTTGCAATATTTAATTTTGAAAAAGTGAAAAAGAGTTTGACAACAGGAAAAGTTATGCAACTAAATTGGATTATGCTCAACCATTTTCACATGAGAAGAAATTCTATTAAGTGAAAGTTAGGGTTTAACTAGACCTATTCATGGTCCGACTGCAAATTTCGATTTCTCGAGAAAGAGTGAGTCAGATAAATCAAGCTTATGTTCAAATTAAATCCATGAACAGCTCTAGACTTAACCAACAATTTCAAAAGTGATTAGGAGTATATGATTCCAGTCTACTCGATGATTTCATATTTAGTTTGAAAATTTGGGTTTATATCAAATAATTTGAGATTGGGTTTGTAAAATTGATCTCTTAAATTGAAAATATCAACATTTTCTTTTTAATAATAAAGTTGAAATTTCTAAAATCAATTCATTTGGCATTATTAGATAATATCAAATTAAAGGCCAAAGTGACACCTGGAAAGATGGACCCAAAATCTACATGACAATCGATTAGGATTTGAGTACAGCAATTATGCTGTACAGAAATTTCAGTCTCAAGAACACAAAAGCACTGCCTTTTGTTCCAGAAAGCAGCACATGCATGTGGCAAAGGAATGCCACCACTGCATAATTTCAACTATTTCTAATCTTCTATTTAAAGCTTTTATTTTTTTAATTATTAAATAATAATTTTCTCTTGTGCCTAATTACATAAATAAATAATACTAATAAGCAACAATTCAATGGGTTAGGCCAGCAATTTATACAATAATGTAAAGAAGTAGTCCAATTCATGAAAATGTTACTGGAAAGAGCATATGATATTTGTATATTTTCATTATTTAAAAAAAAACTATTATATAATAAATTTGTAATTCTATGAAACAAAGCTTAGAATAAAGTTAATACCACTAAGTGCTATTGATTAAGTATTGATTCATTTCAGTATTGAAAAGGAAGTGCCAAATAAAGTTAAAAATGCATATGCAAACAAGGGACATAATATACATAAATCCTTTCACTTTCTCTAATAAAATCCTGCCCTAACTTTGCTTTTCGGTTGTTTTTTTCTTCTTTCCACAAAAACTAGACCCACATCCACCACTAACGTTGGAACCTTCAAAACCCACTGATAATCATATAGTCTGCACAAAATCACAAGAACAAATTTCCATGTATATATCTATATATATATATATAACACTAAAACTAAAAATTTTCTGGTTTTTTCCTTTTTTCAGTACAAAGATAAAAGCTGGTATGAAGATTGAGGAATGGAGAATGGAAATGGAAAGAACGAGTCAATTCCAACTATCATATTTACTGCTCTTGCGCTTCTTCAATAAAGACCTAACAAACATCAAACAGACAATTAGAAACCCCAAAGCTGCTACTCCTCCAACTGCAATGGCCACTGTTCTTTGTGTATGTTGCTTTGTCCCTACTACTTCTGCAAAAACAACATCAATAGCATTTAAAATTTTGACCTAATCACAAAACAGAAACAACCCCACCTATCTACCTTGCTCTTTAAAATTCAATTTTTTTGGTTCAATTAGTTATAAATTGATTGGGGTTTGAATTTTATTACCATTAAATCAAAATTCAATTCTTTTTTTCTTAAAGAAAGTAATCAGGCTGGATTGAAGTTCAAGAATCTGCTACCATTAAAGCAAAGCTTAAAGTCTTTTTTTTTTTTTTTTTTTTTTTTTTAATTCAATTTTTTGGTTCACATTAGTATTATTAAATTGTTGGGGTTTGAATCTTTATTACCATTAAACAAAATTCAATTCTTTTTCTTTAAAGAAAGTTAAATCAGGCTGATTGAAGTGCAAGAATCTGCTACCATTAAAGCAAAGGCTTAAAGTTCTTTTTTTGTATTTTTTTTTTTTTTTTTTTTTTTTTTTTTTTTTTTTTTTTTTTCTAATATTAAGAAGCAGGAAAGAAAGTAGATATAATGGTTTATACTATTAGAGTTAGAATCTAAAGTGAAACATAGAAGATAATATATTTTATAGGAGTATAATATGAAAAGAGAATGCAAAAGAGAGAGATATTTGTCTACCTTTACCTGATGCTGAATTAATAGTAGGTACTCCATTTGGGTAGTAACTATAGCTAATAAAGCACTTATGGAGATACACTTGCCCAGAAATTGAATCACCACACTGATCTTTCACATTCTGCACAGCACTCTTTACACAATCCCCACAATCACCGCTTGATAAATCACCTTCACATTGCCCTAAAACATAAATTGTCTGATAATTCCCAGTATAAAACCCATTTTTGATTCCATTCACCAATGAATCAAAAGCAGTGCTTCTCATCTCTTCAAATCCAGACTCACTAGCTTGCTTTGACCCACAAACCTTGTATAGCAACTGAGTACCTGAAGTCTGCTTAAACCCAACAATCTCATAACTTAAATAACACCCATTTAATTGAACCCTAGCTGCTATGACTTCACCACAAAGTTTTTTAACCATATCTGGAATTTTGTTGACACATGAATAGCACTGATTGGTTGTTAGATCTCCTCTGCATTGATATAGCCCTATAATGGCATTTTGGCCATCACCATAAGTTGTTGTGGAGAAACTTTTCTGTGATGATTGTGAAACCAAAGAAACCAAAAGGTTTTTTAAGTTTTGAGAGAAAATACCAGATGGGTCCTGGGTTTTCTGCTCTGCACAACCCTTAAAGATCAAATCAGTGTAATCAGTAGCAGCACTGGTGGGTAATACAAAAAACCCAAAAATGTTTAGCAAAGTCAGAGGAACAAATAGAATAGAAAGATGAAATCTTTTTGGTAAACCCATATGTGAAAAAGATTGAATTTTTAGTTCAAGCCATGAAAGAAGGGGGGAGGGGGGTTTTAGAGGACTTGATGGAGTTGTGGAGGGGGGTTTTGTCTGAAATCAAGAAAAAGTGAACTGGTTTAGTTATATAGGGCGGTTTGAGTTGTCCTTGAAGAAGAAGTAGCTTTGTGGGAGTGGTTTTGTTTTGTGTTATTTTGTAGCTTTCACTGCTTTTAATTTCTTTATTCTAAATAATTTTGAACAATAATCATTAAGGAACTAGTGATTGGGATTGGAAAAATAATTGTAATTCCTTTACTGAAGGTGATTGCAAGGAGATCAATAAGTGGCTTCCTGATCATGGAAAGTTCCTGTAAACTAAAAAAAGAATATGATCAGATCTGATTCTTCCGCAGTGCAAATTTTGGAGTTTAGCTTGCTGTTTTGATTTTGACCAGTACTTCTGTTTTGACTGCAACAAATGATCACTGGCTCTGGCTCCGGCCCTCACAAGGATCGCATGATCTAAATTTTTCAATAGCAAAAAAGAAAATGGATTTTGCTTATTTCTTCCTTTTGTACCTTTTTTTCTTCTGATATTTACATTTTTCCATGTCTTGATCAACTAATACTTGAATATTTTGGATGTCCCAACAAGTATCCTACACCTTAGAGGTGAGCGCCCTGTGTTTTGCTGCAATTAAGAAAAATTTTCAAATAAAATAATAAACTAGTCACATGACCGCACGATATAAGGAATAAAAAAAATTTATGGATTCACTATTACATTCTTAAATTTTAATGTAATTATTTATTTGTATTAATTAAATTCCGATACGATAAGAAATTTGTAATTCATTTAACATTACAAAGTTCAGATGAGTAGTTCAAAAGTTTCTATTATTAATTACATTATTAGAAAAACTAGCTCAAAAGATTTAGTTTTATTAGTGAGAAAAAATTTAATTGTGTTTTTAATTTTATTAATTATTGAAAAAAACCGCATTAATATTATTAAAAATATTAATTTTACCTCTATTAATGTTCAAATGAAAAAAAAAAAAAAAAAAAAAAAAAAAAAAGTGTCAAACGAGCACTTAAAGCTCTAATTGTATGCCTTGTCAGCTTCTAAATTTCTATTTTTATATATTTATTTATATAAATTGTGGTTTGAATAATTTTCAATTTAAATCAAATCATTTAATCAATAAAATCTACCTAAACCAAACCGCAAAAAGCAATTTGACATGCTTTTTGCAGTTTGGTATTATTAAAAATACTTTAAGAAATTATATTAGTTATAAATTATAACGAAAATATTAATGAATAATTCATTAATGCAATAAAAAATTTAAAAATCTAAATAAAGTCTTAGTAATTAAAATTATTTAAGTTAGAAAAAACCGAAAGATTCATTTGTGTTTAATACTGTAAAATCAGTATAATAGTTTAGAAATTTAAAGTAGTGATAATGAGTTTATTTTCAGTTTTAATTTTTCCAAAATACAATTTTGATATTTTTAGTCTTGATACGAATTAATGAATAAATAAAATTTCAATTACTGGCAATTTGCGGAATGCAAAATCAATCATAACATATGTAGTATTTTGACTGAAGATATTCAATTTTATGTAATTTGTAAAAAAAAAATGATATTAAAATTTTAAATTTTAATTTTTAATTTTATTACACATTGTCATAAATTAAAGAAAATCATTAAATAATATTATTTTTCTTTTTTTTCTTTGAGCTTTGTCCTTCCAAAGCCCAGAATAGGCCCAGGATATTTCGTGCAGCTCCTGAGATGAGATGCATGTTTGGTGGCCCAAAGATTTTAAAAATTCTAATCTTATTGGGCCTTGGAGTTTTAGGTTTGCTTGTTTGCTTTGAAGTCAGTCCACTAAATACATATTGCTAAGCAAGACGCGATTTCTTCTATTTTTAGAATAAGGATATTTAAATAATATTTAATATTATTTTTTCATTAATATAATTTTGCTTATCGGGAATTTGACATGCCAACTAAACACACAGGTTTTCTAGAAAATAAGTCATTTTAAACCAAGCCAAGCCTTAACTTGACCCATAACGGCCCATGGCTATTAATATAGGCCCACCCAAGGTCCTCCCATATAGGGGTAGCCACAGTTGAATTTTTTTAAATTGGAACCGAACCGAAAATTAACGATTTCGATTACGGTTTGAAATCAAATGGTTACGGTTTTGATTTCAGTTTTTTAACAGTTTGAAATTGATAGTTCCGACCGGTTCTTTGATTAATTTTCTGGCGAATCACATAATGATAAAATCAAACATTAGAGATTTTTTTTTTTTTGTTGAAAATTTAAAATTTAAATATTTATGAAATAATTTTTAGAAAAAACTTCAAGAAAAAATTAATAAAAAGACTTAATTTATTTTAGAAAAAACTTCAAGAAAAAATTAATAAAAAGACTTAATTTATTTGTTTTAAAAAAAAACTTGAACTTTTTTTTTTTTAGAAAAAAAGGTTTTAAACTTAATTTATTTTTTTTAGAAAAAGTCTTAATTTTATTTTTTTTTTAAATGAAAAAGGTATTATAGTTAAAATATAAAACATCAATAAAATTTAAATATTTATGAAATAATTTTTAGAAAAAACTTCAAGAAAAAATTAATAAAAAGACTTAATTTATTTGTTTAAAAAAAAACTTGAACTTTTTTTTTTTAGAAAAAAAGGTTTAAACTTAATTTATTTTTTTTAGAAAAAGTCTTGAATTTATTTTTTTTTTTAAATGAAAAGAGGGTATTTATAGTAAATATAAAACATCAACTTTTCACAAATAGTTATTTATAGTAAACCTAAAAAATAAATTTTTTACAAATACCTTAAAATTAGTTGTTATATAGCTGTTAGAAGGGTTAATTTGCAATTTTCACAAAAATATTTGTAAAAATAAAAAAAAATAATTGTTGAAACTAGATGAAACCATCAATTCGAACCATTGAAAACATCAATTATAACCGGTTGAAAAAACCGACGGTTTCAGCCAATTTCGGCTCGTTCTTGGAACCGCTGGTTCTCGGTTTCACGGTTCCTCAAAAGAAATTGAAACCGAGAACCGCCGGTTCACGGTTCCTCAAAAGAAATTGGAACCAAACCACAAATCTCCGGTTCCAATTTCAGTTCAAACCGATTTTGATTCCTCACAGTTTCGATTTCGATTCCTCACGGTTCCGGTTTCTCCGGTTCCAAAAACCGTAATATGACACCCCTACACTCATCTTCACTGCCTTTGGTTGGGCAATTTTCCGCACGCGCCGTCGGAACAAAAAAATTTCCTTTCAAACCACTTTCAGGTTACTTATACGCGCTTCTCCTAGCGTGTGACTAACCCGTAGATACCGATGGGGTAAAATACTGACTCTCTAGTCTACTGTCTACCCCCGCTCTCCAGCGGAGTTGTCATTTTATTTTTTAACCCTCTCTCTGTGCCCTATATTTCACTGTCTCACTTCGCTTCACTCCCCTGTTGCCGGTAAGCGTTTTTTCAAATTTATCTCTCTGTCCGACTACTTTGTATTCCGATCAATCGAATCATTCGTTCGCTGCTTTTATTTTATTTACATTTCGAGTCTGCTTTGATCATTTTAGGTTTTTCTTTTCTAGGTACATTGTGCTTGTTTAGGACACTTTGGACCTTTAATTTTTTTTTTTTTTTTGGTTTCTTTTTCTTTTTTAACTTATAATTTTTGTTTGGGTGCTAAGAAATGTAGGAAACTGAAGATGTAATAAGGGAATGAAACTGCATGTCGATAAGGAAGTAGTCTCTTCGGTTTTATTAGACTGGTGAATAGTTATAAAGCCTTGGTAAAGTAGAAGCAATTGCTGAAAGAGCTGAGTTTGAGTATTTTGTTTTTTCTTATATTTAATAGTGTTATTCGTTTGGGTTTGATAGAAGCTGACTGGTTGAAAGCGTTGTTCAAGAAACTTTGTTATTTTATTTTCTTTAATATGAGTTCTGACCTGAATTGGTATTTGTGTGATTTTTAACTTGAATATTGGTAGTTTATGTATCTAATTATCTATCTTCACATGTATTTGGTATCTGCTTTGTTGATTTTTGAAGCATCTAGTGGGTTTTTATGGTACTTTAACTCACAATTGGTGACCACCCCATTTTCTATTTCTTCATAGGTTCAGACGTTCTTGTGCTCTTAATGTTTCCACATGGAAGATGTATTCTGTGAAACTAATGAAGCCTTAGTTGTGTTCCTTTTTCAATAGGTTGTTGGAGTCTTGGAGATTTAGCTTATGCCTGTATTTAGTGGATGGTTTGTTTTACTCGGTGCTTTCTTTTCTTTTTTAATGTTCTTTTTGGCTGGTGGTCGCATGCTGATCTTAAGTGTGATTTCACTAGTTCTGGAGCATTTTTTCCCCTCGACAGGATTTCACTCAAAGTAACTGAATCAAAATACATAAATTTTGCTTTTGCTGCTGTTTCTGATTTTTAAAAAAGGTTTATTTTGTAATTATCTGCTAGATGGTTTATAAGTTTACCTAGAAATGTGTTTGGACTTCTGTCATACTCTTGTTAATCACCACCTATTGTGATGTGGGAATATGCAGGAACTTCTGATGTTGGAGAGCTTCTTGCAAGCAAATTTACTGTTCAATAATGGCACCAAATCCCAGAGTTACGAAGGCCTTTCGTGCAATGAAGGCTATCGGAATAACTGAAAATAAGGTGAAACCAGTTTTAAAAAGGCTTTTGAAATTATATGATAAGAATTGGGAACTAATTGAAGAAGAAAATTATAGAGTTCTTGCTGATGCCATATTTGATGAGGATGATTCTCAGGTGCAATTCGCTTTTCTTATCTTTTTTTTTAATTATAATTATTGTTTCCTTCCTCTTATTCTGATTATTTTCATTTGATATTAATAGGTACCAGAGGATAAGGAGAATGCTAATGTAAGTAATTTTGTATTTTATGTTCCTTTTCTTCACCTTTCTGCCTGTATATAATCTGACAAGTCTGTACTTGATTATTAGGGAGAGAATTTTGGTGAAGAACCTGAGGTGCATGATGAACCTGAGCGGCCATTAAAACGATTGCGATTAAGAGGCCAAGAAGGGCAGCCTTCTTCATCTCTTAATAACTCCAGTCCTGGGGTGGGTGGACCTTCATTAAAGAAGCCTAAATTGGAGAATGAAGAGCCGCTAGGCAAACATTCTTTGCCGCAATCACAAGACATGAGAAAGTCACAACCTGGACCTGTTTCACCCCAGAATCATACTAGAAACATGGGAAAGCAACCAGCATCACCTATCCATTTGGGAGCAAATGCAAGCTCTAATGCATCTTCGGAAAGAACTTTGCCTTCTGATTCTCAGTCGCCTCAGGTGCGGCATTCATACAAAGGAAAAGAACCATTAATACCACAGGTTTCTCCCAGAGAGAAGAGACCTATTATGGAGAGACCGTCTCATGCAGTGCGGTTCAAAGATCCTGTAATGGATCCAGGCAGTGTACGATTGCCCAAACAAAAGGCACCTGATTCTCATGCTTTGATCATTCCTAAAGATGAGCCATTTACTGATGACTTTCCTCCTGATAACTTACCGTGTTATGAGGCTCCTATTGCAGTTATCCGACCAGGTAAATCAATTTTATCTGTTGAACCAATAATAATGAGGGTAATGTTTTGAATTTGAGGTTCTTACATTACATGATGCTGCAAGGGTTCAGTCTGTTACCCTCACTTTGTTGAAGGTTGAAGCTGCAATTTGCAATGTTCAATGTGTGGAATGATATATTGTTTAATTTTTGCAGATTCGTCTGGAAAAGGAGATAATGTAGTTAGAAGTGTTTCAACAGGAAAGCCAGATGATCAGGACCCTCGAGCATCCCATTTTGGAGCAGAAGAAGATAGAAGTGATAACATTCCAGTTTCATCAAATGAGACAAGAACCAATTCTGAACTTGCAGCTGTTCTAGAGGAATCTCCAGCTAATCTAGAGATTGCCTCCTCATCATTGGGAGAGGTGAAGATTTCTTTGAGCTGCAACTCTATGATTGGAAGACCAAATTTTCATATGCCTAGTCAAGATGAACTTCTGAAATCAATGCAGGAGAAATGTCTCCGGTCATATAAAATTTTAGATCCTAACTTTTCTGTCATGCAAATGCTGAAAGATATGTGTGAGTGCTTCCTGGATTTGGCAACTGATTCCTCTCATGAATCGCAGGAAAGTTTACCGAATGTATCACCAACTGTCAGTGCTTTGAAGAGATCAACTGCTTGCAGTGCTTTGGGTCTTGGGGGCATTGGAGGAAGTAATTGTATGCCAGTCAAATTTTCAAATGGTTCAGTTGATATCCATGGCTTTTATGAGATGGCTGCACATCAATTTCCAAAGCAGCTACAACCTTTCAGTGAGGACACAGAAAACAACAGAGGAATAGAATTGAGAGATTCGGAATCACGTAGTTTAGTGGTCGTTCCACAGCATGAGTTCACTTCTGAGGAGCTAAGATCTCTTATTGACTTCAATGACATAACCAAGGGAGAAGAACTAATTGAAATCTCATGGTTAAATGAAATCAACAATGACTGCCCTTCATCTTTTTACTACATAACTCAGAACCTTGTTTATCAAAATGCTCTTGTGAAATTCACTCTTGCTCAAATTAAGGTTGAAGATTGCTGTCCTACCTGTATTGGGGATTGCCTTTCCTCAAGCACAGTTTGTGTTTGCGCCAGTGAAACTGGGGACCAGTTTGCATACACATCAGAAGGCCTCATCAGGGAGGATTTCTTAGAAGACTGTATCTCTATGACCCGTGATCCTCCGCGACAATGCCTTTCCTACTGTAAAGCTTGCCCTCTTGAAAGGTCAAAAAATGACGAAATCTTAGAACCATGCAAGGGTCACTTGAAGAGGAAATACATAAAAGAATGTTGGAGTAAATGTGCGTGCCATAAGCGTTGTGGCAATCGAGTTGTACAGCGAGGTATAAGGTGCAAATTGCAGGTATGAATTTGGTCATACATTTCTACTTCTCTGAAGTTTTTCACTAGTGGATATTTGAGATTTCTAGTAGTTGATAAGTATGATACTGTAATCTATTGTAGGGATCCATATGTAGATGCTATTTGGCATTTGCAATGCACAAAGACACAATAATCATTCCTAAGAATTTGTGTACCTCCTGTCAGTTTCATGTGCATCTTCCCGAACTAATTGATTGTGTGCATCAGGTTTTCTTTACACCCGAAGGAAAGGGATGGGGTCTTAGAACCCTAGAAAAGCTGCCAAAAGGGGCATTTGTGTGTGAGTTCATCGGAGAAATACTAACCAATAAAGAGTTGCATGAAAGGAACACGCAAAGGACAAGAGGCAACAGTGGTGATCGGCATACTTATCCAGTTATACTGGATGCATATTGGTGCTTGAAAGGAGCTTTGAAGGAGGAAGAAGCTCTTTGTTTGGATGCATCCTTTTACGGGAATGTTGCTAGGTTTATCAATCATAGGTAACTTTGTAGAGCTTTGCATGTTGTTTCGGATCCCTGTGACTCTACTTGTTCCTTTTGTGCTTCTCAAACTTTTACTTGGTTTTCCTCGTGATTCACATACAATGAAAACGCGGTGCAATTCATCTGTTTTCTGGAAAGAAAAACTTCTCTTGCAGCTATATTGACTGCTTCTGATAAATTATTTTCATGTGCTAGATGCCTTGATGCAAATCTGATCGAGATCCCGGTTAAGATGGAGACCCCTGATCATCATTATTATCATGTATGGATTTCCTAACATGTTTATATTTTTTGCTACCATTTTCCATTTGTGGCTGAACATTGTTCTGTTCTCAATGTCAAATCTTATAAGGAATAATATTTTTGCAGCTTGCCTTCTTCACAACAAGAGAAGTGAATGCCTTGGAAGAGCTAACTTGGGTGGGCAATAGTATATTTGAGATTCTTATTTTCATGATTCTGCTTACTTTTGCATCTGTTGCTCTTCCATCATCTTATTTTACTGTTCAACTATGTCGTGAATGGAATAATGGGTCACATTTGCTATGTTATGTTTCTTGATACCATTATCACCTTTTCATCTGAACTGCTGTGAAATTTCAAATTTCTGATTCAAGGAGCTGATATGGCTGAATTTTTCTGTCCTTTTGGCTGTTATCAGTGTTGTTTCATTAGATTCTGAGTGATTGGAACTGATCCTCCTTGTTTAATGCGTTGCCTTTTGGGGGGACATTTTGCCTTGGGTTGCACCCATCATTCATACCCTATGTTTACTTCTGAACACGTATCTTCCTGAACCGTGTATTTAAATTTGTGCAAGAATGTTTATGTTGCCATTTGACCTAGTTAGACAATTGACCTCAACCTTCTGAAGGTACGATCAACTTATAATATCGGGCATAATAGTAATAAGAAGGATAAAGTAATCATTAGGTTGCTAGTGGAACCATTATTTTAGACACTCAGAATCATATATCATTAGCTATTTTACCCGGTCTGGAACTGGCTGAAGTTGTCTAGGAGCAGTAAGCTGAATTGGCAGAAAAAAAATGTAAATATGATGATCATATATTTCATGGCTTCGGCTGAGAGATGTAAAGAGTAATTCTGCCACCTAATCAAATTGATATTTCCAGTTTTGAAGCTGGGAAATTCCTAAAGTAATTAATCATTTATTGTACATGGTCTCTTGTTTTTCTTAAATATTGCTTAGCCACTGTCAAGTCTTCACTTGGAACTTCATTAGCCATCAAGCACGCTTTCCAGTTTTCATTATGAAAAAGAACAGGTTCTCAGCAGACCAAATTATTTCACTCCTTAAGCTTCTCCTCGGTCATGGCAGTTATGTTATAGTCCTCATAACTTCTCTGATTAGGATGCTATTTTTTTAAGTACGCCCATTTGATTTGAAATATATGCTTTCGTGCATGATATTTAGATAAACACAAAATGACTATTGTTTTCTTTAGACGTGTAATCTGCTTGTGTCATTAACTATCCTGTGCCATCTATTTCAACATATTTTATCAAGTCCATACCTGTTTCCAGTTGATTTGTAGATGTAATAGCCCCATGAGGATTTCTTTTGGTCATTTTCTGAATCAATATCTACTGCATTTATAGGATTATGGTATCGACTTCGATGACAATGATCATCCGGTTGAGCTGTTCCGGTGCCTATGTGGTAGCAAGTTCTGCAGGAACATGAAACGTCCAAGTAGTAAGTTCGTTCGAATCTTTATGATGCTTATGGTTGGGCAATTAAGAGAACTTCCCTTTTCCCTTAAATGTTGTACACAGCTAATTTCTACTGGATCACTTGAATACTCCAATAACCCTAACTAATCATTTCATTTTGCTATGCAGGGTCTAAGTCTGCATTAAGATGATCAGATAAACAGTGGTTCTAATGTTTTGCAAAATGATCTCTCCCTTGTTGAGGAGGAAAAGTTTATGGAGTGGATTTTGCTTAACCTCTATTGGTTCTAGTAACTTTATTATGAACTCGCGCACACGGGTATTCTGTAAGACCTGGGCGCCATTTTGCACTGCAACCTAAATCTGTAAGGAATATATGTACATAAACAGAAATCATATTGCCCGTTGATGTATTTGGTCCCCTTTTTCTTTTTGGTTTAGGATGAGGGAGGGGAAAGTTGGATTTTGAAAAGTTAGTTTTATGCTCCTTTCTTCTGTCTTTGCCTTGTAATGAATGATAAATGGAAGACCCAAGTTATGCTGCGAATAGCAGTACTTCTTTAAACACTTCAGATATGCTGAAAGGCAAATGGCTATTTTGGGGATTTGAATGAAAGGTTCACAAATTGAATTTGATCTGTGTCAAATAAATTCTTCACCTGCTTTCATGGTATCTATATTGAAGGAATATTAGTTCAAAATTCAGGTCAAAGCCAGTACAAAGTAGGATTTTAAGTCTAGGGACAATTGCAGAAGTATGATCAATTCAAGGTCAGAGTAATCAACTTATACATACAAGTACCCCCAACAGAAAAACAAATCTCAAAACAAATTAATGAAAGTCTAGTATGTGATTATGAAAATTTTAATTGCTATAAAATAAAATTTTCAAAAAATGATAAGAAAAATAAAAGCATTACAAAAGCTTTTTCTCCTCTAGTCTACTTGAGTTCCATCATCATTCATCGAGTGAATAGTGTCATTACCCTTTGATCGCAGCATCCTCTTCTTGTTCAGTAATTGAGTCCTAGCCTTGTTCAATGGAGAATTTGGAGACATTGTCATCTTCTTCACTAGCTGCTTCGCATCATTGCTCATGAACGGTAACAGAGAACCATCTTTCTGTTGAACTTTGGGTTTGAAGAAGCGAACAGTAATTTCTTCTCTGTCTGGTGTGTAATGAACATTCCCTGTGGAATCCTTCCCTTTCGGTGTAAACTCAAAAATGGTATGCAAGTTTTCATTCCTTCTCATGTGCTTGACAAATCCCTCTTCTCCAAGAAATCTCTTCACAAAATTCAGCTGTATTCTACGAGACCATGTAGAAAACTTCAGTTTATCTTTACCAATCTTTACACTCTTTTCCAACAATTCGCCAGCCTCGAAAAATTTCAAAACATCATCAATCTCCGCCTCTTCTTCTTCTCCATCTTCACTTGCTTTTATGGATTGGCACCTCAGTTTCTCTGATATATCATCCTTCAATGCTTGTTTATTCGCATTGGTTAATTCCTTTGCTTCAGTTGAGAACTTCTCAAGGCAGTCGATCTCAAATATCAAAGCCAGTGCTTCGGCAGCTGCTAAATAGACAGATAGTTCGCTCTCCATTAATAAATTTGACAAACAAGAAATTGAATCTTGCCAATTTTTATGGTTTAGCCTCCATCCTTCAATAGTAGTAAGAAGAAAGGACCAGGTGGAAATTGCTGCAGCTAAGACATCTGTTGAGTGCTTATGACAAGAATCTGGCTTAAGGAATTTCCATATGATCAGCATAACTGATTCAGTTTCATCAGGATCTTTTGCACAAAAAACACCAACAATCCCTAAACAATCTAAACTGTTTAACTTCTTGGAGCCAGATTCAAGAACCTGCGAAAGTACAGGAACTGAATCTTGATATACCTCATGTGCAAGACCTTCATCTTCAAGAATTATTGCCAGCAGACCAATTACTTTCAATGCAAGTTCAAGTTCCATGGCAGACCCTTTCTTTAAGCAGGACAAGCACTGATACAACAATGTAGCGGAATTCTTCTCGACAAACTCAGTCCGTAGTTCCATAGTTAGTTCCTGTACAATTGCAGAGAGTGCTTCTCCTCTTTTTGATTTCCCCTTTTCGGATAATTCAATCAAATAATCCTCTAGTTTTCGACGTGAGCTCCTAAAACTCTCACTTCCATCACTATCAGTAATAACAACGCCTTTTCGACCGCTTATGGAGCTACCCGTTCGCCCATTGCTTGGCTTCCCTTTGGAACTACTACACATATTCATCTTGTCAGGGCTATTCGTCAAGGAATGAACTTTGAACGATCTTTCGTGTATCTTGGAGTTATATATGAGAAAACCTAAACACAAAGATGTTTATTGCTAATTAAGAAGCTAAAGCAAAGCACTTTTATCCTGGTTTTCCCTTAGTTTACATGAATTCAAGTGAATGAAGGATTTCACGGTAGCTTTGCGATATATAATTACATAAATTTCCACCTAACGAAAAAAGGGATAAAAAAAAAAAAATTGAACTTTAGCCAATTTATAATTATATTCAAAAACTTCTAAAATACAAGGTTGTATATATCTAAACCTTACCATCAAAATTGAAGAAAAAAAAAAGTATATTTGTGATGTTAATATAAAATTAAAATTTTAATTAAAAGGAAAAATCTTTTCTTTCTCTCCCCTTCTCCCCCACGGTCTATCCTCCATTTGAGACAAAATATCAAACACCTAATGTGCAAAAATGCACTGACCTATATGACAATAAAACCCAGAAAAAATCTACCCCAAGACAACCAAAATCATATGCCTGAAACAAATACAAGCATATATATACGAGAGAAACAGAAAGTGCTCATTTTCCAATGATTTCTAAAATCATGTGAAACATACCCTTCAAGTTCAAAAAAAGACGATATTCTTCAGCATTTTCACTTCCCCCTAATTATTTCTCCTTAATGCAGGTGGTTTTGGAGAAAAAAAGAGGGATATGATTGTGGAAGTTGGTGGCTGTTGGGAATTAAGGACGGAGATGTGTGTGTATATAAGCAAAAGGAAAGGGGTTGGGAAGCCGTAGGTGTGCAAATAAAAGGTTATTGATGGGGTGCCATGTACTTACAAAATTTATGAAATTTAAATTTTAGAACTTTAAAAGAGGAATGTTAGCTGTAATACCTCATTTAAGCTATCGACTAACAAGTATTTTCCTATTAATTGAAATAAGTTATTATTTTTGAAAGCAGTAACTTCTTCCTGTTAAACTAGACAACCAATTAATTTAAATAAAGGAGTTATAAAAATAGTATATTTCGTTTAGATTGTACGTTTTGATAAGTAACAGGTTACCATAAAACCAGAAATAAAAGAAAGAACTAACCGTAATAACCATGTTTTCTATGCCAACGTTTATGTTGTTCTTGTCTCAAACACAGTTAACCTTTTTTTTTTTCCCAGTAAAAAAGAAATGGTTAAGATTTTCTTTTTTGGCGTGCACCAAAAGTTTTTTTTTTCAGTCTTTATATACAAGTGAATTTTCTCTATACACAATGCTCTGTCTATTTTGAGGTACTATTAGGTGCTGAAATGAAAACCTCTCCCAAGTGAATTTTCTCTATACACAAGGCCCCAAATTGAACCCAGATCACTTGCTTACGAGTTTGATTAAGAGGTAGATGAGTTTTCATTGAACGTAGACATAATTTCTTCTTCCTGTGTTTCAAGATATGAGATTGAAATGAATCTGTCAAGCTAAAAATTCGACAAAATTTCGAACATATGGAAGACAATGTACTATTAAAAATTCAGTTCGTAATCATCTATAATTCTTCTTTCACAAAATCCAAGTTGTGGAAAAAGTGAAAAACATATTGACACAGACAAAATTTAAGTTACAGGGTACCATTGGTAGCCAATTAAGAAACATAAACCTGCTCTGTTTTGTCTATACATGACAGTGATTCCCTATTGTGAGGTGCAGAAAGGGCTTCATGCTCGCATCCAGAAGGTATCACCGGACGAATACTGCCCGGATTCAATGGAAATAGTATTTTGTAATAACCGTCCATAATTGCAGAAAAATTGCAAGTTTCTGCAACTTTTGGTATCTGAAAATTAACAAAGACCAAGATAAGCAAACCAATATAGCAATTGCTACCTTCCAATAACTAACACAAATACTCTATTACCTGATATATTTCGCGCATATATCCATGAAGATTGGAGTACTCAACCAGCTTCCTCTTGGTGCATTTGAATAGAATATTATATACAAGATCAAACCTAATTAATGTGGTAAACAAGCAAATATCTGCGTGTGTGATTGTGTCTCCACATAAGTACCGTGAAGTAGACAAGTAATTATCTACCATGTCTAACGTACTAAATAGATCATTCACTGCTCTATCATATGCCTCCTGACTCTGAGCAAATCCACATCTGCAAATATCCAAATAAGGCAAGTTAGTGCGGTTGGGATTTGTCATCTTCTCCTCTAATCAGGGGAGAAGCCAGCAATTTAAATTAAAAGGGCAAGACTTTAACATCAGAACACATTAAAATAAGGGGCTTGGATTCTGGGATTCATTGTAAATTGTTAAACTTTTGATCTTTGATGATCAAACACATCTTCATTCAAACTGCATTTGATTTAAGGCAATCTGCGATTGAAACTAGAGAGTCCCTCTCATAAAAAAACATCATTTCATTTCAGCTCTTTTATGTATATGATCAATAACAATGCAAATTCTAATATGAGAAATCAAGTGTAGAACTTTACCTGTAAACACCATTATTTATGTTAGGATATATCACTTGATTCCATTCCTCAATCTTTCCCTTCACTGAATTTGGGGAAAGATCCAAATCCGGATTGCGAGCGAACCCATTTAAGCCCGAATTGAAGAATTCAATTATATCATAGCTTTCATTGCATACAACCTCCTTTCTTTCTGTATCCCATAGCATTGGCACCGTAGCTCGCCCGTTATAGCCTGCTTTCCTCAACCCATAAACCTCCTTCAAAGTCCTGCATCCATTTACATTATCCTTACCCGGGACAAGGGTGTCCTTATCCGTGTTCCGAGTATTCTGAAATTCCCAAGAACCGTCCTGCCCCGGCGCTGCAACCGATACTGGAATTGCATCTTCTAGGCCTTTAAGAGCTCTTACTATAAGGGTTCGGTGGGCCCACGGGCAAGGCAGGCCCACGTAGAGGTGCAAAGTTGTTTGATTTTGGCGGGAATGATATTGAGAATTGGGATTTCGATCGAGGCGGAACTTGGAAGCCGGTCTAGAGTATCCACCGGAGGAATCTGATGGCGCCAGCTGGGACATCATGACTTGCCAAGTGGAGTTCCATGCTGTACGGACGGCGGAAATGAGGAGTCCTGGTGGCAGGGATGGGCCCCAAAGTAGCTTAGTGACGGCGGCGAGGAGGTCTTTAGAGATCGGTGGCACTGGCTGTGGAGTATTGTTCAAGGACATTTTAGGGCGGAAGTGGAATTTCTTATGCTTGGATCTGACTGCGATGGTGGTGGAGGCGGTGGCTGGGATAGTCGGAAAATGGGAGCATAGGAGGGAAGTGCAGTACATGGTCTAGTTCTGTACAGTGAGTCGGAAAATGGAAGCATAGGAGGGAAGTGCAGTACATGGTCTAGTTCTGTACAGTGAGTCGGAAAATGGAAGCATAGGAGGGAAGTGCAGTACATGGTCTAGTTCTGTACAGTGAGTCGGAAAATGGAAGCATAGGAGGGAAGTGCAGTACATGGTCTAGTTCTGTACAGTGAGTCGGAAAATGGAAGCATAGGAGGGAAGTGCAGTACATGGTCTAGTTCTGTACAGTGAGTCGGAAAATGGAAGCATAGGAGGGAAGTGCAGTACATGGTCTAGTTCTGTACAGTGAGTCGGAAAATGGAAGCATAGGAGGGAAGTGCAGTACATGGTCTAGTTCTGTACAGTGAGTCGGAAAATGGAAGCATAGGAGGGAAGTGCAGTACATGGTCTAGTTCTGTACAGTGAGTCGGAAAATGGAAGCATAGGAGGGAAGTGCAGTACATGGTCTAGTTCTGTACAGTGAGTCAGCATTCCTTCTTGGGTGCGATTGAAGAGAATAATTATATAACAAGATCAAACCTAATTAATTATGTGGTAAAAACAAGCAAATATTTTCTGCGAATGGGTGTGATTGTGTACATCCACAATAAAGTACCGTAAGTAGACAAGTAAAATTATAACTACCATGCACTCTAACGTTACTAAATAAAGATCATTCTCACTGCTTTCATATCATATGCCCCTCCTAGAAACTCTTTTGAGCAAAGTCCTCATCTGGCAAATATCCAAAAATAAGGCAAAAGCTTTAGTTCTGGTTGGCGATTTTGTCATTCTTCTCCCTCTAATAACAGGGACCGGCGAGAAGCCAGCGAATTTATATTTAAGCAAAGGGCGAAGACTTTAACATCCAGAACACATAAGAAATAAGGGGCTTGGATTTGGGATTCAATGTAAATTGTTTAAACTTTTGATTCTTTGATGATCAAACACATCTTTCATTTCAAAAACTGCATTTTATTCTAAGGCAATCTGCGATTGAAACTAGAGAGTTCCCTCTCATAAAAAAAACCATCATTTATTTCAGCTCTTTTATGAATAAAGATCAATAACACATGCAAAATTCTAATAATGAGAAATCAAGTGAGCTATATAGAAACGTGTTACCTGTAAACTACCTATGTGAGTTGATATGTCTAGTGACCTACTATTCACTTTGATTTCCATTCCTCAAATCTTTCCTTCACTGAATTTTGGGAAAAAGATCCAATCCCGGATAACTGCGAGGCGAACCCATTTAAGCCCGGAATTGAAGAATCTCAATGTGATATCATAGCTTTCATTGCATACAAACTGGCTCCTTTCCTTTCTGGTATCCATTAGTCATTCACCGCTAAGCTCGCCCGGTATAAGGTGACCTTGCTTTCCTCAACCCATTAAACCTACTCTTCAAAGTCCTGCATCCCATTTTACCATTACTCATTACCCGGGGACCCAACTGTAAAATTGGTGTATCCTTATCCGATGTTCCGAAGTATTCTACATTCTCCCAGAACCGTCCTGCCCCGCGCTGCAACCATTACTTGAATTGTCTTCTAGGGCCTTTAGAGGCTCTTACCTATAAGGGTTCGGTGGGCCCACGGGCAAGGCAGGCCCACCGTTAGAGGTTGCAAAGTTGTTTTGATTTTGGCGGGTAATGATATTGAGAAAGAATATGATCGAGGCGCGGAACTTGGAAGCCGCGGTCTAGAGTATCCCACCGGAGGAATTCTGATGCGCCAGCTGGGACATTCATGACTTGCCAAAGTGGAGTTCCATTGCTGTTACGGACGGGGAAATGAGGAGTCCTGGTGGCAGGGATGGGTCCCCAAAGTTACTTAGTGCGGCGGCATAGAGAAGGTCCTTTAGAGATCGTGGCACTGGCTGTGGGAGTATTGTTCCAAGGACATTTAGGGCGGAAGTGGAATTTCTTATCTTGAGCTGACTGCAACTAATGGTCGGATTGGAGGCGAGCTTAATGGCTGAGATAGTTCGAGAAAATGATGGTGAGCAAATAGTTCATTGATGGTTCGAAAGTTGGCAGTACCCGATGGCTTCATAGTGCGGGTTGAATTACAGTGAGGCTCGGAAAAAATGGACGAAGCAATAGGGAGGAAGATGCAGTACATGGATACTAGTTTTCTGACAGTGAGTGCATAGGAGGGAAGTGCAGTACATGGTCTAGTTCTGTACAGTGAGTCGGAAAATGGAAGCATAGGAGGGAAGTGCAGTACATGGTCTAGTTCTGTACAGTGAGTCCGTTTATCAGCATTACAGTTGCATACCCGCGAAAAAGGATTTATTAAAAAGGTAAATTGGATGATTGACGAATTTAAGAGTAAAACGGCGCCGTAATGGATATATGTTGTTTACTCATTAAGACGGTGTCGTGTGATGCCAAATACTCCAAAACCCTAGTGCAATTCTAGTTTCGCGATCTATAAATAGACTCCCTATCTCGTTTCACAGACGACGCAGGGAGCCGATCAAAATGTCGAAGCGAGGTAAAGAAAAAGCTCTCATTTAATTGTAGTTTCTGCTATTTTCACATATGCCAAACACGAAAGCTATTGATTACTAACTTTTGTTCTTGTTATTATTTTTTAGGAAGGGGAGGATCTGCTGGGAACAAGTTCAGGATGTCACTGGGTCTGCCAGTGGCGGCGACGGTGAACTGCGCCGACAACACAGGAGCGAAGAATCTGTACATCATTTCAGTGAAAGGAATTAAGGGCCGCCTTAACCGTTTGCCATCGGCTTGCGTTGGAGACATGGTTATGGCAACTGTGAAGAAAGGGAAGCCAGATCTTAGGAAGAAGGTGATGCCAGCTGTCATTGTTAGGCAGCGCAAGCCCTGGCGTAGAAAGGATGGTGTATACATGTATTTTGAAGGTTTGCTTCACTTTCTTATGCAATTTAGTTAGTTGTTGTTCGTTTTATTTGCTTATTTGCTTGATTTTAGATACAGTTTGTTTGTGTTCGATAGATTCTGTATTTTAAATGGAATGAGGATAGAGAATATTGTAGAGATTGAGAATCCTCTCACTGTATTTGTTCTTATGAATTAATTTTGTAGTATCAGTTGCTTCTTTAATAATAGAGTGGCCATTGAACAATTATTAGTCACTTTTAAATCTGGAGCATATATAAAGTGAATGCCAGTTTTAAACAGCATAATTTGCTTCCTCAGAATTGTGCTACCTGTCTCCTGGTAAATTTCTTTCCTGTATGCTAGTTGTTCTGTTGTACCCATGTTCTCGGCAAGTTAACTATCCTTGACTTTGTTTTCTAATGTGCCATGTTTAATGATTCAATGGATTGGTACTTTTTTTGGCCCTTATTGGCATTTTTTCTTCAAATCCATTAGTCATCTTGCTTTCAGATTTTGTACATAATTATTCTTGCTGGTATGAATTGCATGTTTAATTTTGTGATGTTCCTTTTGTTGGGTAATTTTCCTTTTACTTTGTTTGGCTTTTTAAAATTTATAGTTTCTAATAGTGGCTTGTTTTTTCTGCAGATAATGCTGGTGTGATTGTGAATCCCAAGGGAGAAATGAAAGGTAATGAATTTTCTGAATCATGATAATTTGAGGCATGGAGTTTTGAACTGGCTAAATAGAACCAAGCTGTCTAAGTATTATTTTTCAGCACTTTAAGCATTTGGGTTTCTTTTGGATTGGTTCAGAGTGCGTGTAGAAGAATAAGACAAATGAGTTATATATAATAATATAATTCGGCAGAAATTTTTGGGGTATGGTTGGAAATACGAGACGATTCAACTCTAAACTAGCTGCTATTGGGATGGTTGTCTAGACCAACATCTTTCTCTCCCTATTTTTCTCTTTTGGCTAGGATGATAAATATTTTAATCCCAGCTCATTATGAGACCTTTTTCAAGGTCTGGGAATTGAATTATCCAACATTTATCTGAGCCTTTATTGATTTGTCATTTTCTATTTTGGAATTATTGTGGAACTTCGTTATTTCACGGTGACATAAATGATGGATGCATTTGTTTTGAACTTTCTAAATAGAACCAGACCAACCATGCTTTAACGTTCTCCCAAATTTTTCTGCTTTTTGGCTAGGATGATAAAATATATTTAAATCCCAAGTCTCATACTAATGAAGACCTTTTTCAAGGGTCTGTGTGAATTGAATTTATTCCGAGAGCATTTATCTGAGCCTTTATTTGATTTGGTCATTTTCTATTTTGAATTATTGTGGAACTTCTATTTCACGGGGTGACATAAATGATGGATGCATTTGTTTTGAACTTTCTAAATAAGAACCGAGCTGTCTTAGATTATTTTTCGAGGTTCTACCAAGCTGTTGTCCTTATTTTGGTTTGCGTCCATTGAGTTTATTAGCAAGAATCAGAAACAAACTGGAATTATATAAGTATTGAGCCCAGAAATTTTTCCGCGAGATCCGTGGCAGATCCACGATAGAGTTGAAATACTGAACGACATACTTATCAAACTCCTAAGTCCCTAACGCTGTCTATTTGACTTAAATAATCACTGTAGCCGATTTTCTCGATGGTTTGTTTTTAGGAGCCAACTTCTTTTCTCCCTTTATTTTTCTCTTTTGGCTTTTTATCTCTCTCCTTTGCATGGTTTGTTTAGAGCAACATCTTTTCTCCCTTATTTTTTCTCTTTTGGCTTTTCATCTCTCTCCCTCACTTTCTCTTTTGGCTCCTTATCTTTTCTATTTTGGCTATGATGACAATGTTATAATCCCAGCTCTATGAGACCTTAAGGTCTGGGAATTGACTTTATCCAACATTTATCTGAGCTTTTATTGATTTGTCATTTTCTGTTTCGGAATTATGGTGGAACTTTGTTATATCAGGGCAACATAGATGATGGATGCTTTTGTTTTGAACTTTCCAAATAGAACTAAGCTGTCTTGAGATTATTTTTCGGCTAGCATTTGGTCTTATTATTGTTTGGTTCAGAGTTTATATAATTCAGCAGAAATTTTAGTCATAAGGTTGGAAATACTGGACAATTCAACGCTTATTTAGCTGCTGTCTGCATGGTTTGTTTAGAGCAACATCTTTCTCTCCCTTATTTTCTCTTTTGGCTCCTCATCTTTCTCTCCCTCACTTTTTCTCTTTTGGCTCTTTTTTTTTTTGGGCTATGATGACAATGTTATAATCCCAGCTCTATGAGACCTTTTTCAAGGTCTGGGAATTGACTTTGTCCAGCATTTGTCTGAGCTTTTATTGATTTGTGATTTTCTATTTTGGAATTATGGTGGAACTTTGTTTATTAAGGGTGACATAGATGATGGACGCATTTGTTTTGAACTTTCTAAATAGAACCAAGTTGTCTTAGGATTATTTTCAGCTCTCGGTGCATTTGGTCTTGTTTTGGTTTGGTTCAGAGTTTAAATAAAAGAATCAAAACAAATTGAATTATATAATTCAGCAGAAATTTTAGGGATATGGTTGGAAATGCTAGACGATTCAACTCTAAGCTAGCTGCTATTTGCATGGTTGTTCAGACCAACATCTTTCTCTCCCCCATTTTTTTCTCTTTTGCCTCCTTCATCTTTCTCTCCCTTACTTTTCCTCTTTTGGCTCCTTCTTCTTTCTCTCCCTCACTTTTTCTCTTTTGGCTCCTCATTTTCTCTATTTTGGCTAGGATGACAAATGTTATAATCCCAGCTCTATGAGACCTTTTTCAAGGTCTGGGAATTGACTTTATCCAACATTTATCTGAGCTTTTATTGATTTGTCATTTTCTTGTTTTGGAATTATTATGGAACTTTGTTATGTCAGAGTAACATAGATGATGGATGCATTTGTCGTGAATTCAACTTTTTTTTTTTTTTTTTTTGTAGAATTCACTTTTTTTTTTTTTTTTTCTGTTTTTTTTTTTTTTTTTTCTGTATTTGGAAGTTAAAGGTGAACTAAAAGATGTTACTGTTTTACAGAATAACTTGATAGTTCCATTCAATGTGACACCTGTAATTAGTGAGAGTTTAAAATTTATGGAAGCCATTGTTTTCCCTTGGCAAGGTCATGGTTGTTTCATAACTTAAATATAAGAGTGTTTGATGGCATATTTTCTCGTCTTGCTTTAATAATATGTGTTCATGATTTTTCTCTGTTTGTTTTCATGATTGTAGGTTCTGCTATCACTGGACCCATTGGGAAAGAGTGCGCTGACTTGTGGCCAAGAATTGCTAGTGCTGCCAATGCTATCGTCTGAGATTTGAAGAAATTCAATTGATATCATTTTGTAGTGTGTTTTTGACCTTAGGATGTATGATGCCCTGGAAGTATTATTTTGCTTGTGTGCTTTTCGGCTAGGACAGGATGGAATATGTTCAGATTTCTTTACTAAATTTATGTTGGTATTTTTCCCTCAGTTTTTTTTTTTAATATATGATTACTTCACTAGTTCACCATCTTCAAATTCTTGCTTTTGACCATTACGTGCAATTGTTGCTTATAACATCTGTTCAAATTCTAATCTTTTATACAGTTAACTCTTTAAAAGTAAATTCATTGGTAAACCCTTGTCTATCCCTGCCAGCTGATGTTCTGTGGTTGATGGTCTAGTTCATGCACCCTCAGCTCTACTTCCTCTTCAATCGATAATTGGCTATATAGGTCTTCTGTCCTTGTAAAGCCTTTCCAACTCTCTTGCTGCCATGTCCTAATGAAAATCTTTCCAACTTCTTAAGACCACCTCTGAAAAAGGACTCAAAAACTTGTCACTCGGGATAGGCAATGAAATTGTCGCAAGGCAAGGCCATATTATGCTTTGTCCCATATTGATGGGATTTTGTGGTTATGAAAGTTAGCGAGACAGCGGGTCTCTTCAAATTCATGCCAAGAAGAAATTTTCAAAAAAGAGAAACGAAAGCTTAGATTAAGTTGTTGCAAAAGCTTTGTTCGGTTGTCGAGCTATTAATGGGGCAGAAGAAAGCTGCTCCGCGCCTTCCACACCAAAGTCTATCCTCAAGTCAAAACTCTCACTTGATTAAAACTTTGGTTTTCTTTCCCCCTTAAAAGACTAATGAATATGATACAAAAATTATCTATTTTATCATTTTAGTCATACTATGAAAACACTTGTATATTAAAAGCTTTTGTTATACCGAAGATATTTCTGACCATTCATGAAAACACTTGTATATTAAAAGCTTTTGTTATACCGAAGATATTTCTGACCATTCATGAAAACACTTGTATATTAAAAGCTTTTGTTATACCGAAGATATTTCTGACCATTCATGAAAACACTTGTATATTAAAAGCTTTTGTTATACCGAAGATATTTCTGACCATTCATGAAAACACTTGTATATTAAAAGCTTTTGTTATACCGAAGATATTTCTGACCATTTAATTAGTGTCCACCCAAACAGCAAAATCAAGAACACAATCATAAAACATTAAAACAAAAATTTTCAAAAGATTCTTTAGGGGGAAAAAAAAGTAAGAACTATTCTTTATGAAAAAACCATAAAAATTTTATCAAAATAACAATAAAATTATAATAGGGGTACAATTGTTTGACGGGGCAAATGGGGATGTCATTCCGTTAATATAGTAATATGGTAAGCAAATAAGTTGTGATTAACAATTTTGGATTAAGTTTCCATTTTTGAATTGAATTTCTCAAATTAGTTCAACTTCCAATTCCAGCTCAATCTCGATAAGGTCCTGCATGATCAATATCCATGCCGTGTTCAGTGGATTCTCCCCTTCCATTGGCCCAACTCAGTATCTCACTTTCTGTCTTTAAATTATCCATTTCAATGGGTATTTTGTTCTGATCTTAGCTGTTTTCTATGTATATAATTTTCCAAATCAAAAGGAAAAGAGATTTTCGATTCCTGTGGTCTTTAACTAGATGTTCATTTGTTTTTTCAAAAAAAATTTATGGTTCAAGTTGAGTAAAATGAGGAGTCAAATTTTTCCTGGAATTCTTTTTGGGTTTTGAAAAATAAAAGAAAAAAGAATGTCGATTTCTTTGCTTGTCAAACTGTCAGTTATGTTCTGGCATGTGTTTGAGGTATTGGTAGACGGTGTCCTAATGGTTTTCCAACAAAGTCGTTGAAATATGAACTCTCATCATCCAAAAATGAAACATAGAAACCAGAAATGTACACCCAATATCAGTTAGAATCAGTGTATCAGAAACCAAGAAGGGCACAAAAAGGACATGCATTAGATTGGGACAAGATTTCTTATCAATGTCCCTGAAGATCTAATCAAGGAAGTATCATTACATGATGTGAGATCAGACCCAAATTCTCTCCATTGAAGAGCACAAGTTCAATTTACAAGAACCAACCATAAAGTTTGAATCTTGCAACAAGTTGGAAATGGTTCTGCTTTGGCAGATCTTGTCATTGGATCACAATTGCAGTATGAAATCACAGCCGATGTTCTCCATAAGATAAATTACTCTCCATGGATCATATGTTATTTGATCTTAACAGAAGCTGACATCTAATCAAGTGCTAATGTTTGTGACAGGCCTGAATATGCTTCTTTAAGGCAATACTTTGTGGCCCTTTTCTGCTTGCGGGGCATAACTCTGGCGGATGGATAACAGTCATCTAGTTACTTTTTCTCAGAAGTCTGGAAACTCTTTTTTTTTTTCCTTGATGAACTCAAAGGAAGGACTCAAAATGGGAGATTTTGCTAGACCTGGCAAAATTCTGCTTTTCAGGCCACTTTCATGTTCGTTTTTAAGTATCATTCCCTCCTCAGAATTCTTATCTCTTAAGGACGCCGTCGGCAAGTCAGTCAGGATAGAACCATGGAATTATCCAGGAATGCTTCTAGCACTTCAAGGAAGAAGAACACAAACAAAACTTCGCAATGGACAAGGGAATGAACATGTACCATCCTATGAATTTTGTGGCCAAAACTAGTAATCAGGAATTTGAGCTTTAAAGATGAGACTTAGACCGTTAGGCTTTATTTCAAAGTGCAAGCATGAATAGCTTAGGGCAGAGGACTGATAAGTCCAGGAGTAATTTCCTCACAAGACCTACACATTTTGTACGTTACTTTTTTTTTTTTTTTTGGTAGAAACAGAAGTTGTGATCTTGCATCAGACTGTAGACTATAGAGTGTAAAGGTTTTAATGCTTGTACGTTGACTCTTAGCTTTGCAGCACCACCATGAAGGAACTGGAAATCAGGATTCTTGTTAATATTAATTCATTATCACAAATTATATTATCTTAATCTATTGAATCCTAATTACATATGTATTTCTTCATTTTTTTGGCATATTTCACAGTATAATATATGCCCAACACGAGTTCTTTTGTTTTGGATATTTTTCTCCATAAAATGCTTATTTAAACCTTTAATTCATTAATTACTTGACAAAGATAAAGTTCTTAATTTTCCTACAGTAATAAAAAATATAAATATAAATAATTTATTTTTATTTAAAATTTTTTTTGAATCATATTAAATTTGATAATATATAAGTTTATGCTAGAATTATATTTTTAAACATTGAAATCTGCTGTTGCTTAACCCTCATATATTGTTTTTTCGTTAAACCCCCGGCTTCTGGTCACTCGTCTTCTCGCGCCTTCTTCTCAAAACCGAAACGCTCAGTCTCGCATTGAATTGAATCTCTACATTGTAGTGACGGATCATAAGATACGGTTTTTATCATAATCATTTTGTTCATTTAAGAAGATGATGGATTGGAATTACCCAGACATATCCTTAGAGGAAATGATGAAACTAATCAAAGGTTTTGTAGATATCATGATTCTGGCATCTGGGTATCAGTCTTCTGGTCTTTTAGCCCAATGGGATGCCCACAATATCAAGAAAGCTTTCCAATGGGCTTCCTTCTTTGAGAATGTAAGCAAATTTTTATCACTTCCTTTCCTTGATTTTATCTTCTGATTGGTTTGTTTTATGAAATATTTTTGTTATGGGTTCCTCAATTGGTGTTGTTCTACTGCTGAAACGCATGATTTGTGTACTATATTTGAATATATTGGAGGAAAATGAACTTTCTATAGATACATAACTTGGGTTTACATGCTAATCTCCAATCTTATTTAATCTTATTATTAAGCTCATGTGTCAATTCCTTTTATTTTTTTTTATTTTTTTATTTTTTTGTAAAATTGTCTTGATGAATAATGTTTAGGTGCTTGGGAAAATGAACAGTTCAGATTTTTACCAGGAGTCACTTAACAAACTTGATGCAGTTATTCATGAAATGAAATCCAATCCTTCTTTTCCTCAGGTAGAGTTTACTTTTTTTTTTTTTTGTCTAACAATGATTTTGTGTTATGTTACTATTGGTGAATTCGAAGTGATTGCAATCACTGATATATCTGTTTAAAAGCAGGGTCTTGCAAATCTATCATGCGATACTCTTAATAGGGGAAGAAGTTTTGTACTAGCACATTTGTTGCACACTTTACCGTTGAGGGATTCACATCTCAGGGCTTTTCTAATTGCAATAATAGAGATGGATCTTGATAAGCATTCGGGATCAGGGCATGATTGCCTCGGTGTATATCTCAACAATTTAATGATGAATACACCACTTAACTTGGTTTCGGAAAGGAAGGGTCTTGTGAAGAATTCAGTTACCACATTGGAAGATGCTGCTTTGGCTAAAGATGACTTGACAAAGTTTACTCTTCAAGAGCTGTTCAAGAGGCAATCTGCAGTGTCATGCATATCCACAGTCGGTAGAAGCTTAGATATCCTCTCCAACTCGATCAGATGTAGCAGTTTGAATTATTCTGATGGTAGCTTATCTGAAGAACAATTGAAGCAGGGACAAGCTCAAGCATTAGTGGGGTACAAATTATATTCTCTGACAGAGTAAAAATTGTTTGACTGATGTTACAGTATTTACTAATTACATGAAAAAGCCTTAATTTCTTTTAAAAAATTTAAAACAACAATGATTCCCTCATTAGCTACCAAAATTAATGCTTAAATTGTGGGAAGCGTGTAGCTTATGATAATTTTATATGCTTAAAAGTTTACCTATAAACGATAAGAAAATACCATGTCAAGCTTGTTTTACACTTGTTTAAATTTCTGTGATGTTTTTAAAATAACATCAGTAACATTTTTTTAATTGGTTTGCATTTGAAAATCACATACATAATCAGAGACTCTGTATGTCAAACTGTTAAACAACGATTGATCAGAATGATTGCCTTGAATAGCCTGCTTATATTTGGTTGGCAACTCATGAACTTTCAGATATACATCATGTATATATTAATTCATACTCGGTTCATTCATAGGCAGACTTGATAGTTTGAACAAATGGTGCTGCAAGTTGCAGAATAACACATCCAATGACATAAAAAAGTTAACACTTTGCATTAACTATTGTTTGAGTAGACCAAATGGATACTTAATTATGAGATCAAATTGAACTGTCTTTTACTTTTCCACAATTTTTTTTTGTTTGTTGTCTTGTAAGTCCTTTATTCTCCTGGGACTCACTGGGAGCATATGCCCCTCCTATTTGCATATCAATCTGCACTTTAACCATATGATTGCCTAAGATGATGCTGCATGCATCGAAAAAGTTTAAAGCGAGATCCTGCATTATGTAGCGATCTTTTTTCTTAGTATAATATGAAAATAGTTACTGATACTTTATAGGATTTTGGAACCAAAAGTAAAAATGCTTTTGCTTCTTATGCAGGAATGTAGATCAAGTATCAGGTTATATGACATGGAATCATTGGAAATCATCAAATGTTTCATATCTTCTTCAGAAGAGAACTATCAGATTGGTCTCAGGTGCCAGCTTGATATTTTCTGCCCCTAAGGCTTGCTGGGTTCAATTTTTTGAAAGGTTGAATACTTCAGCAAAATGCAATACGGATGATGATCTGTGTGATTCAATAGTAAGCTTATTCATCCTTGAAACTAAATGCAGAGGTGCCTTAGCAATTTTCCAGAAGGCTAGATTATGCATATTAAGTAATAGTCATTTGGCTCGTATTTCATAGTTTAATCCTGTATCTGCTCCATACACTCTCATGTGTGTGCATTAGAGTTTATTTGCATAAATAATTGATTATTAATAAGTAAATATTAGTTCATAAATGATATACATTTTGCTGTTAGTGGTCTTAGAAATAACGTACATGTAGGTTGCAAATGAATTGTCTTCAAGCTTCTAATTCATTATCAAAGTCACTTTGCTTGATAAAAAGCTTCACTTTGCATTTTGGGACTGTTCAATGTAAAGAGATTAAGCAGGTTAGGCCGGCAAATTTGACATTGTTAATGCTTTTTGATATTTCACAGTTTTCAACAGTCATTTTCACTTTGAAACATTCTCATAGAGTTATCATTAGGAAAATATAATTTTGTTAATGTAATGCTGCTGAATTCATATGGATAAACTTGGCCTGACCTTTACTCCATGTTTATTCATTTACTTATTTTTATTTTTTGTTTTCGGTCATTCCTCCATTAATTCAGGAACTCATGTTGCTTGGACTCATTGCAGCCAAATGGAATTGCCTAATTGAATATTTCATGTCTATTTCTTATGACTCCTTCACTATCTCAAAGCTATTTCATGAAGTCTGCAACCTACTTCCAGGAAGATCTCAAGATTTTCATTTGAAAGAGGGCACAATAGACTCAAAGGTGTGTTTGTGCTCCCAATTTTATACATATATGAAAAGGAAGCTATTGAGATGGAGCGTAAGAGTTCCCATCTTTTGCTGCTTCCATGACTTTCTATTGGATGCATTCTTTATTCAGTTGTTGAGTCCTACATTCTCCTTGCATAACACATGCTATATTTGTCTGTCAACTTTAACCTCTATTCGGGCACTTGGACTTTCTATAATTGTTATTTTTTTATGAAGAGCGTATGCTGAAACTTCAAGTGAAGTACTCATATAGATTCGATCGTCAAGTACACCTTCTCTTCCTTTCTCAACACAAGCATGCTCATTAACATGCAGTCGCCTTCAAATGATTCCATTAGTAGGTGTTTGCAAGAACAATATTGATTTTGTTGTTAACCATCATCATTTTGGTTCATCTTAGCTTCATCAATTTGTTAATTTTATATGTCAAAGTCATCCTTGGTTTCTAGTATTAAATTTCAATAAACATTGCCATGTGATGCTGCTGATCTGCGTAGATGATATACAAGGGCCTATGACAGGCTCAGTTGGTCAACGCTCCAATGTAATTAAAACTATTATGAACTTGAAGACAAGTGAGAGTCTTTTCTGAGTGAATTATTCTAATTCCATAGCCATTTTCATGAGAGTTTTTATGTAGACGATGTTTATGTATTTATTTACAGGTGAATGCTGTTACATTTGGCTTGTAGCTCCACATTTTGTGTTCATTTATGTCATGTTTTATGATTGATTCTATGGTGCATGGCAGGAAAATGGGATTCTTGATTACTTGGCTCGGTTGCTGGATGGGCGGCTTCATCATCTGTGGAAACTCTCCCCTGTCCTCGTAGCTGTTGCAATCCCGTTCTGGTAGTCTAATGGTTCTTCTCTCTCTCTCTCTCTCTCTCCCCCCCCCCCCCCCTGGCTCGTTTGCTGGATGGCGCTTCAACATCTGTGGAAATTCTCCCCTGTCCCGTAGCTGTTGCAATCCGTTCTGGTAGTCTAAGATGGTTTTCTCATCTCTCTCTCTCTCTCTCCCCCCCCCCCCACCCCGGCGTTTACTGATTGTCTCATTTTCCCCGTGTATCGATTTTCACCCAAACTCATCCTCTTTTCAACATTCAACACTGAAAATCATAAGAAAGAAAAACTGAAACTCCACAAGAGCATTTAATACCCCTATGGATTTCACATGCTTTCCAAAACATAATTCCAGATACAATAATATCTTTAGTGCTTGTGGTTTTCCTATTGTGTTATGGCTGATAATTGATGGTTAGGTCATCAATATGTTCGGTTATATCTAAATGAAATAGAGAATCAATTCACCCCCCCCCCCAACCCCCGGCGTTTATGATTGTCTCATTTTCCCCGTGTATCGATTTTCACCCAAACCTCATCCTCTTTTCAACATCACACTAAAATCATAAGAAAGAAAAACTGGAAAACCTCACAAGAGCAATTCAATACCCCCTATGGATTTCACATGCTTTTTCCAAAACATATTCCAGATAACAATAAATATTTTAGTGCTTGTGGTTTGCCTATTTGTGTTATGCTGATAATTGATGGTGTAGGTCATCAATATTTCGGTTATATCTAAATGAAATAGAGACTCAATTCAAAGGAGAATCTTCAGTAATGAGGTTTTCATATTTTTAACCTTTTTGCTCTCTGATTATGGACTAAATTTTTTTGATGCAATATTTTCATATTTCTCAATTAAAATCCAGTTCATTATGCAGATGCTGCAGGTGTATCCAGGATAGGAAGGAACATGAGGATTGTAAGTATTTTCAACCTCCTCTGCCATATGTCCCATGCAGTTTTTATCAGCAATTCTGAAGTTGGGAACCCAAAAAAAATGAATACTACAACACATGATTTATATTCATAGATAAAAGGAAATTTGGCATTGTTAGAGTAAGCAGTTTTTGAAATAATTACATTGGAGATGGAACATTGTTCTTGCATTCAGATGGAACTTGTCACAGTCATTTTGTACAACTATTGTTTTATGCAGAATACAACTATAGCAATGACCCATTCTGATGCTAGAATGTTGATGACCCTTCATGCTTTTAAGGGTGTAACGATTCCATATAACCTAACCTTTGGGCTAGTTGAAATGTTGTTTGATTCTTTATTTTACTTTTAACTTTTTCTCATACTTTATAGGTAGCTTTGTATCTAAGGATAAGAGTTACATCATGAACCACATAGAGACACACACAAGAATGTTAACTATTTGACTGGGGCCCACTTGAAACTGTCTACTTCCTAAAATGTTGTCAATAGTTGAAATGTCATTCTAGTTGCCTGACCATGGCAATTCAATGCTAGCTTAGGATGGTATTGGATTCAATTTTTACCAATTATGAACTATGAAATAGGTCTGATAATATTAAGATAGTTGGATAAATTTGAAACGTTAAGGGAAGGTGGGTTTGGATCATTAGCCCTTTGTTTTCGTAGTACTTCTCTTCCTCACTTTTATGGTTGTTGAGTAACTTCGTTGATGCAAAATCTTGTGGAAATGTAGGTTGCAAACTATACAAGCATCCTTTTAGAAGTTTGCCAAAACCATTTATAATGAACAAGTGGAAATTCTTTCATCCAATTTTTATTTATACCAGAGTTAGTTTGGTCATGATTACCTGAAGATTATTTTTCAAGTTGTAGAGGGCCAAATAGAAAAACTCTTTCCCAATATAAGAGTTTGATCCAGTAAATATAATGATAAACATGGGCATCGGATATTATTTTTTTATTGAATGTAAAAACTGCTTCACTGTAGCATTAGAGCTCGCTGAGTTTATCTTTTTCTCAAGTCTTATAGCCACCGTGTCTGGTGAATTTCCAGGTCAACTAGCTGAGAGAATTTGGTGTCTTTACATCTTTCATGTTTGTGGCTCTCATGTAACGTATGCTGCTAAAAGTGCTTGAAAGTTGACTACCATGTTTGTGTTGGTGAGAACCTCTCCCCTATGTTTCTTGCAAGTGACTTCCTGTTTATTCATCTTGTACTATACTAGGAAGACAACATGCTATACATATTTTTAGAAAGAAAAACAAATAAATATTATAAGAAAAGGAAATTAAAAGACCAATTTGTACGAACAGAATCACTGTGTAGGTATAAGGAATATAATTTCACGATTTCCTTTTTCTTTTAAATTATGGAGTTGGAGATTACTGTACTGAAACTGCAGGACATCCAAGCAAGTGCATGATTAGATTTCCTAGATTTTTTCCAGCATAAAATTGAGGACTTGTTATTTAATGTGTTTCTACGTACCCTGTAAAGAAGCTATTTTCCCTATAAAAATTTGTACTAAATTCATAATTTCATTTATGGTGTTTAATTTATTTCCCTTCTTGAAATCTTCTCAAAATTTTCCCCCAAGTTGTTTTAAGTTATGACCATGATTATGTCGAATAACAGTTTGGATTCTGATTCTAATGAACCAAATATAATTCACGCACCCTCAAACTTCTTCCTTTCTGACTTGGTGAACATATCTACATTGATTTTTTTTTGGCTGGCGCATGTATTTTTGTTTGTGCTAACTTGCATGTGTAGTTCACCCCTTCTTGATCACTAACCCTTCTGGTCCTGGTTTCACTTGTTGCCTTTATCCAAGAAAAACTATTCATCTCAATATAATGTGACATGATTTTTATTTTTTCTAATTTTGTGATGCATCAGTTTATCTACCCCACAAAATATATTTGCAATCTGTGTGGTCCCCTTTGCATATGAAGTGTGCGACAAGCCAATTTGAATTGAAAAAGCCATGAAGTTCGCAAACATCTGATTTTGATTATATCAGGTCTCTCTCACTCTTTTAGGTATGGACGGTGCTAGCCTTTATGTTATAGTAAACCTCATCTTACTTTTTTCCTTTACAGATGATTCCCGGGAAACTTCACCAACCAGGAGTAAAAGAGAATAAAAACCAGAAATGGATAAACACTAGCTGCTTTTTGGAAGACTGGCCAGCTTAAAAGTGCATACCATCAACTGTTGACATTGCATCATTAGCTGCATGTCTCACTCCCTTCTCCACTTTGGGACCCAGAAAGACTAGTGGCATAAGCAAAGTTGAATGTTCCCTTGATGATAATGTTTTTTCGCCTCCACTAATGGGAGAATGACATCTGATGTCATTGATAATGCTTCCAGCCAATGGCTATTGTTGCTCGAAAGCTCTCAATTTGTGGTATTCTGTTATGGTTTAGGTTTTAAATGCATCTTGCAATACAAGCTCCACTCTGACTAATTCCAAATTAGAGTTGAAAAAGAAAGTTGATCAATGAAAAATTTCAGTTTACAAAGCAAAAAGAAAACTCTATGCCTAAAGTGGGGGAAGAGAATTGCAAGCACCGAGTCTGCAATTATACTCGGTAATGGGAAAAGTCGAGTGTCATTTAGTTGCTGCTGTGGATCACAAATTTTGAGGCACCTGCTATGCAAGTTCAGGGCACAGTGGAAGCAAGCTCTGGGGTGGCAAAGGAGCACTGTAAAGTACAGCTATGATATTCACAGCTACTCTCTTAACTTCGATGATGGTATCTACCATTGCTATCTCCCATCAAAGGATTCTCAATGAAGTTTTTTTCTTTTTTGTCTCCTTGAGCAATAAAGTCATCCGGTTTATTATCAGTCGCTTCGGAGGACCATCTGGCATATAAACAGGGTTTTGTTCCTGCATTTCTTAAAGATATTGGAGGTATTATCTTAATTAATACATTACCAATCGGTTGGAAATGGAATTATAGATTTATAATGTTACTTTGCTTTACTCTGAACTATACCATGGCGGGTTGTACAGCTATCGAGCCATGTCGTGTTAATCTCCTGGATTTTTGCACAAAATTTCGTATGTCTTCAACTGTTCTTACATTATTTTCCTGCATTTTGATTGCTTTACCGGTTTATTTTGGTAACTTAAGGGGCGGGGGAATGACACAGTGATATTGCAAGGATAAAATTTTTTTACCTCCCCATTTGTCCGTTATCTGATTTCCATTGATTGGATTTTGTTCCACTATTTCACATGTCTACAGGTGATGGGGAAGTTGCATCACAGGACATTGTACGTTCTGGAGATTAAAGAATGATTTATTGAATATAAATATTTAATCACTGTATTTTTTTTTAATATTTTTTTGAGGACAAAGATAATGAAAACAAGACTGGGTTATCTTTTTTCTTTTTCTTTTAATTATTTTTTTAATATCATCGATGGAGTTGAAATTAATATCATTAATGATTTTTGTCAAATTTTTCATTTTTAATAAAATTAATAATGTCATTAATATTTTCGAAAATTTTTCAATTCTTTTTGTTAATAAATAATAAATGTTTGACTTTTTTTTAATAATTAATAAAATTAAAGATTATTAACATTATTTTAAAGTAAAAATAATAATATTATCAACTTTTTTTGTTTTTCTATTATATACCTACGTCTATTTTTCTTTTTCGTTTTGTTTTTAAATTTTTTTTGTTTTATAATTCATTTTTCTTTTAATTTAAATATTAATGGAGCTGGAATTACTAACATTAGAAATAGTAATGATATTTTTCAGTAATGGTATTTTGTAGTAATTAACAAAATTAATAATATCATTATTTTTTTTCAAATTAATTATAACAAAATTCTTAAATAGAAGCAGATCAGTTTCGAATGAATGGATACTCTGAGATCGGACGACAAAAATCAAATTTGATTAATTCAATTTCTAAGACTTTAGAACAACTAGAAAATTACAAAAACGAAACCATTCATTTTGAACAACGAAGAACGATTAATTAAGTCCGACAACGGGTTTTCCAACAAGCCTTACAAGGAGCTCTAGGAACTCTGAATAGTTCTTTGACCAACGAGTTAAAGTCAAAGTACTGATATTGTCAAAGAAAACCTTTTCCAATTGAATAATTAGTTTTAGTTTTTTTTTCCTTTTTATTTCAATTGAATTAATTAAAGGGAAAATTATTATTTAGTCCCTCAGGTTTGATATAATTATCTAAGTAATCCCTGACGTTTTATATAATATATAACTAGTTTCCGACCTTTAACTCCATTTAATTAAAAGGTCCTTCCGTCAGAAATGTGGTATTTTATCGTTAAAATCACTTAAAAACAATGAGAGACATTTTATAAGGACAAATTATGCCCTTATTGAACTGTCCATCAAAAGAAAGGAGGTTTGACCATATTACATAGGAAAGAAACACAAAGAAAGGAAGAAAAAGGGGAAAACACCCAAAACCCAAAATAGGATTTGCAGGTAACTAGAGAAAAGACAACCGACATGTCTTCTTCAAGTGCAGCCGATGGAGCATGGGAAGGAAGGTTTATGAATATGTATTGCAAGTGTGGAAAAAAAAGTAGGCATTAGGATCTCAGAGACACAAAAAAACAAAACTTGACTCTATTATTACTGTATTGATAATGCATGCGGGTCTTTCCTTTGATGGTGTAAAGCTATAGATTCATCAGATCGATCTCAAGGAAGCGATTTGGAAGTGAGGCAAAGAAGTGTAGCTACTGACTTGTTTGAATTAAAGGAAGAGATGTTGTATCTGAAGAGGGAGCTGATGAAAATGTACACTGAGATTGTGACGATTGGAGGAAAAAGGGAATGCTTAGAGTCAGAGATTGACAGCTTGAAGAAGTTGATTTTCATATGCATGATGGCTATCATGATGCTTTTTACCTTACTTGTAATTTTGCTCTACAAGGGTAACTGAGGATTGTGATTTTTTTTTTTTTTTTTTTTTTTTTTTTTTTTTTTTTTTTTTTTTTTTTTTTTTTTTTTTTTTTTTTTTTTTTTTTTTTTTTTTTGTTTTTTTTTTTTTTTTTTTTTTTTTTTTTTTTTTTTTTTTTTTTTTTTTTTTTTTTTTTTTTTTGTTTTTTTTTTTTTTTGTTTTTTTTTTTTTTTTTTTTTTTTTTTTTTTTTTTTTTTTTTTTTTTTTTTTTTTTTTTTTTTTTTTTTTTTTTTTTTTTTTTTTTTTTTTGTTTTTCCCTTTGATGGTGTAAAGTAAGATTCATCAGAATCGATCTAAGGAAGCGATTTTGAAAGTGAGGCAAAGAAGTGGTAGCTACTGACTGTTTGAATTAAAGGCAGAGATTTGTTGTATCTGAAGAGGAGCTGGATGAAAATTACTACTGAGATTGTGACGCTGAGGAAAAAGGGAATGCTTTAGAGTCAGGAGATTGACAAGTTGATTTTCATATGCATGATGGCTATCATGATGCTTTTTACCTTACTTGTAATTTTGCTCTACAAGGGTAACTGAGGATTGTGATTTATTTATTTATTTTTATTTTTATTTTTTGTATTTTGGGTAGTTTTTGTAGTTTTTATAGTAGAATGTTTTAATGTGGTGGGTTAGTTGTTGAATGTTAGTAACTCAGGTGGGGACAGCCAATTTGCAGATGAATTGAATGTAATATACCTTTTGCAAGAATATGTGTACTTATTAACTCTAAAGTCATTTGGTGTTAAGTATCACAAATGTAGAGCAAGAATAATATAGAATATTTTTCTACTTGTAAATATTTTTTACAAGTAATTCCATTCTCATTAATCAAATGTTTCCGATACACAAAAGACAAAAACAACATGCTTACATAATGTGCATTACAAAAAAAATCTCAATGTGCATTACAAAAAAAATCTCGAATCAAACTTGGCTCACATGCACTAGAGTGTTTACAAATATTTCCATTCTCATTAATCAAATGTTTCCAATTCACAAAAGACGAAAACAACATATTTACATAATGTGCATTACAAAAAAGAACTCAAATCAAACTTGGTCCATATGCACTGGAGTGTTTTCTATAACACAGTTGCGTGTTTGCTGTCAAGAAAAAGACAGACATAAAGTGGAAAAACAAGTGAGTGACACATTTGTTCCTGTGCTTGCTAGAAAATCAAAAGATTCCTTATTCTCCCTTTCTTAATATCTTCTCACCAGCAGCACCTCTTCCCACAAAATATACATAGCAGGATCTCCAAATGAATTACTGCAACATGTGAAGCACAAAATACCATCTGCAGCACCTCAACAACCCAAAATACCATCTACATCATGTGAATCCACAAAAAACCATCTTCAACATATCAACAAAAAAATCAAGTCTGCAACATATTAACCCAGAACAAAAAATGCCTATTCAAGACATAGGAGCTCCTCTCCCTCTCAAACCAGAAGCATCTCTCCCTCTCAAACCAGAAGCACCTCTCCCTCTTGTTGCAGCAACACCTCTCCCTCTTGAACCAATAACACCTTTTCCCATAGCACCAGCAGCACCTCTTCCCACAATAGCAGCAGATCCAGATGATCTTTCCTTTTCCGCACTAAAGCACCAGCAGCACCTCTTCCCACAACATGAGCAAAGCAAGCCGTATCCAGCACTGAGATCTTTTCCTTCCTTCTGTGGCAGACAAGTTTGCTTGTTCCTATCTTAATAAATAACAAATGGGATTCATCCAATTAATAATAAAACAAATGGGATATACATTAAAAACAACATACTATAAAACAAAATAGTAACTATTCAGATTGCAAAAGTGAATCTAACCTGAGACTTGGCTAGGGGGGCTTGCTCGCATGTTCTTTTATTATGGCCTAGTTGCTTGCATGTCACAGACCTAACTGTGCAAGATCTTTTTACTGTGCTTAGATCAGCTTCACCCTCTTGAAGTGTTCTCCTTTCTTTTGGTCTACCAGGCTTCCTTTGAACATCTGGAGCCTTTAGGACTGGAAATTCAGTTTGTGGTGGGATGTTGTAATTTGGGATTGGATGAATGACTCCTTTGTAAAACTTTATATACTTCTCTATTGTGAAACACTCATCACAGAAGTCTTCAAGATTGAGTCTCATGTATCCAAGTGCAATGCAAGCATGTTTATATGGAAGACCTGAAATGTCCCAATAATTGCAGGTACTTGTCCTTTTCCCAATGTCAACAACAAAAGCCACAGGCCCCTCTCTCACCTCAAACTCATTATTGTTACTTGGTAGTATCTTGCATTGTCTTGATTCTTTTATCAATCTGTTCAATGCACTCTTGCATTTTGGAGTCACTCTCCCTTCCCAAGTAGCAGCCATTGCAAACCTTTTATGAAGCCTAACCATACATTTCTGCCTAATAAAGTCTATTAGCTCAACAATTTTTATCAATCTGTGATATACAATAGCACTCTATAGAGCAGGTTGGTTTGTGAGTATCAGATCTCGCCTTCCCAAGTAGCAGCCATTGCAAACCATTTTATTGAAGGCTGCTAAACACATTACATATTTATCTGTTCTCTAAATGTTCTAATTAGACTCAACAGAGTTTTTGGTGTGATTTATTTGTTCCTCTCAATTCTCTTATTCTGCTTGTTTGATAAAAAACTCTTCATAGTCATGTTACTTTGTTCAAACAATTGCTTTTTAGGCTGGGCTGATTGAAAGGCCCATTGTCTAGTTCCAATGGTGAAAGAGGAAAGTGATCTAGTAACCATTTTGCAGCCGTTCCCTCATTTTCTTTAGCCTTTTATGCAAGACAGTTCTCCTTGACGAACTTGATAGCTGCTTTATAAATTCTCATTTGTATGAGCATAGACTTTTACGCTTCCATCGCCAATAGAATCTCTTCTTCCTACAAGAAAACATCCACCCCTGGAAATTGCTCTTGCGTGAGTTTTCATTTAAAGCAAAAATATAATGTGTTGACCAAAAACGCAATTATCTTGCTGGATTGTACCTTTCAGAACATGTTCTCTCACATCCTCATGCTTATTTCCCTTATGTTAAAAGAGAAAGATACAAAGTTCTCAAACATCATTACGTTCTAAAATAGAATATCACATATGTATGCAATTATAGACCTATTACTGTTTTGTAGAGCGAATACATTTGCGTTCTCTCGTTTCTTGATAAACTGGAATGTGATCGCATGCGGCTTTTGTGATTTCACATCCAGGTTCCCAACGCACCAAATTGGGTCTACAAGAACAGTCACACAAGGGAGAAGAAGGTCCCATTGTTGCAGTTGCTTTTTTCACTTTTTGAACTGATTGCAATATATGCTAGTGGTGAAAGAACACCCTACTTTATTTCCGCATTCCCTATATAGTGTAACTTGCAGCTCATGTGGAGCAAACATTTCCTCAAAAGGCGCCCTTCTTGCGGAGAAGACA